TTCTCACCTCACATCACTAACTGTACCAACCAGCAAAGTGCAACAAGCATTCAGGGCTGTGTGCTGGAAGTTCTTATTGTATCTCTTCTGCAGCATGGTTTTAATAATTCAGAAATCCCACAGAGTTCAATAATAAAATAGTTTCCCCCCTCCACCACACACACCTACAGTCTGGAGTAAATATAGACCACTCAGCTGTTGGATGTATAAACCAAAAGAAAGTGGGAGGTAAGCTGCAGTAAGGGAACTAGGCGTTGGGTCTTGCCCAGAGTCTCTCTTGTTAACGGAAGGAGGGAGTAAATTCTCCTGTCTTGCAACATGAACCGAATTCACCAGAGGGAGCTAAAGTAATACATTCAGATTCTAATATTATGTGCAAATGTTCATGCTACACCAGAAACATTACAGCATTCCTGATTTTTCTATTGACGTTTTATTCTGTTAACATTTATTCTTTGCTATTTAGATACATTTATAAAGTTATTATTTTTTGGATAATCTATTATATGCATGCTGTACAATGTGATACGGAATCTGTACCTTGGAACACTGGAACGTGCTGCTGTGATGCCACAGTTGCAAGGGGCCTAGCTCATAGTTTGCTACCAGGCTATGCCTGCTTGGGTAGTTTCTCTTCCTATGGGAAATTAGTGAAACAAATGCTTTCAAGGTCTATTGCTATTTAGGATTGCCGGTTTCAGATTGTAACAATGTTGCTGTGCAATCATATGCTTGTTAATACACTATGTGCAGCAGGGTTGAACAACATAGAGTTGTGCACAGGACAACAACCTCAGGCAACTTCTAGGAGGTTAGTTGTATTAGTCTGTTGCAACAAAAACAGCAATGAATTTTGTAGCACCTTACAGACCTAGCAATTTTATCAAGGCATAAGCTTTCACAGACTAGCGTCCATTTCATAGCTCAGTCAGCAGAGCATGAGACTTGTGGTCCCTTCTAATCCTACAAATCTATGATTTTGTCTATACAAGCAGAAACTTATCTTTACATGTGTATTTTATATACTTTGATGTCCATCATGCCTTTCTTTGTTACCACAAACTGCTGGCTATAGAACAGGCACAGGCAAACTCAGCCCCCCAGATGTTTTGGGACTACAACTCCCATCATCCCTGACCACTGGTCCTGTTAGCTAGGGATGATGGGAGTCGTAGTCCCAAAACATCTGGAGGGCCGAGTTTGCCTATGCCTGCTATAGAAGCTGCTTCCCTCTTACAGAACTGCAAATTAGAAACTGTATTTCACCCAGGTAAGCGGGGTTAGGATTGCAGTCTTACTTGTAATTTTAAAAACAAGCACGAACACAAGTCTGGCCCCCCTCACCGCCACGAACATGCTGTATGCGGCATTCCAGGCACTCGCATTCTGTAACCTTTATTACATAACTAGACTTGCAGCTATGAAGGTGATATTATGCTTTATGTACTAGGTCTTGAAAGTGACAGTTTCCTTGAGATAAGCGCAGATCATATCACAACTGGATTCACAGTGATTTAGCCCAGCTTTCAAAAATAATTTGCATTGGTTTGAAGGTTCATGAAAAGCTATGAAAGGAAGCTTACAGGTGGTTTTTCTTTGGCTTTTTTGGAATTGGTTCTTTTGAGATAATTTTCATTGCCGTTGCAGATAGAGTACATTGTATTATCTGTAAGTCCAGCCACGGAATAGATGTTCTAAAAAGCAAATGGCTCGGAATGTGACATGCAGTATGTTGCAAATACCACCACAGACCTTTGTACCCATTTCAGAAATCACAAGTCAGCAGCTACAATGGAGGCTATTGCAAGATAATAATAATATAAATGTCCACAGCTATTCAGACTTAGAAATATTCCAAGCACCATCCAAACTCAGGACACTATTTATTTCCTATATTTTTGTCCTGATTTCTAGACTATTATCTCCAAAAGCAGATCACATAAATGAAAAAAACCAAAGAGATAAAAAGCATAGGCCCTGACATCAGGCTTACAAAATCAAAAGGTAAAACATACAAGGGAAGGTGAGTGGACAGTATTTGTAGAGTAGAAAGATCAGCCTTTCAAGGCCGAAACACAGTGGTAAGCTGTAAGAATTTACATCCAGTGGATTGTGAAATCATTTTATTAAACAACAGAGGTTCCTCACTGGAATTGTAGATGCCCATTCTTCTTATTTCTGAGGCTTACAGATCCTGGTATTATTATTATTATTTTGCACTATAACTTGTAAACTCCCCCACCCCTTTTCCTGCCCCCAGATCTTTATCCACCCCTTGCACATTCCTATCAGCCCTCAAAGGGGTCAATATCATTTTGGGCTGAAGGATGGAGCCTGCTCACTTTTTTCTGGAGACTGACACTCACTCACTCTCTCTGTCTCTCTCTCTCTCTCTCTCTCACACAGAATCTTGCTATTTAAAAAAGGGTGGGAGAACAACCACATAAAGTATAGAATTGTAGTGTTTATAGGGACCACAATGGTCAAGTTCAGGCACCCCCAACCTGCAGCCCTCCAGATGTTTTGGTCTACAACTCCCATGAACCCTAGCTAACAGGACCAGTGGTCAGGGATGATGGGAATTGTAGTCCAAAACATCTGGAGGGCCAAAGGGTGGGGATGCCAGGTCTAGTCCAATCCTCTTCTATGCAGTAATCTCAACTAAAACCTCCAAGACAAATGGCCATCGAAACCTCTGCTTAAAAACCTCCAATGAAGGAGAGTTCACCACCTTCCAAGATAGCCCACTCCACTGTTGAACAGCTCTCACCATAAGAAAGTTCCTCCTGCTGTATAGTCAGAACCTCCTTTATTGCAACTTGAATCCATTGGTTTGGGTTCTACCCTCTAGAGCAGGAGAAAACAAGCTTCCTCCATCCTCCATGTGACTGCCCTTAGCTATTTGAAGATGTCAGTCATGTCTGCTCTCAGTCTCCTCTTTTCCAGGCTAAACATACCTAGCTCCTTTAACCGTTCCAGATTCTTTATGATCAGGGTCACCCTCATCCGCACATGTTCCAGCTTGTTAACTTCTTTCTTAAATTGTGGAACCCAGAACTGGACACAATACTCCAGGTGTGGCCTGACCAAGGCAGAATAGAGCAGCACTATGACTACCCTTAGGGGATGCGGGTGGCGCTGTGGGTTAAACCACAGAGCCTAGGGCTTGCTGATCAGAAGGTCGGCGGTTTGAATCCCCGCGACGGGGTGAACTCCCGTTGCTCGGTCCCTGCTCCTGCCAACCTAGCAGTTCAAAAGCACGTCAAAGTGCAAGTAGATAAATAGGTACCGCTTTGGCGGGAAGGTAAACGGCATTTCCATGCGCTGCTCTGGTTCGCCAGAAGCGGCTTAGTCATGCTGGCCACATGACCCAGAAGCTGTACACTGGCTCCCTCGGCCAATAAAGCGAGATGAGCGCTGCAACCCCAGAGTCGGCCATGACTGGACCTAATGGTCAGAGGTCCCTTTACCTTTTATGACTACCCTTGATCTAGACACTATACTTCTGTGGATGCAGCCTCTAATATAATTAGCGCCTCCCCAATAGCTCCTTTGCTGGAAGCAACAATACAAACCACACAGTGAAGAAACAAAAGCCTACCATACTCATTCCTTAAGCAATGAAGAGCATGTGCAGAGCGCTTTTCCCTAGATTATCATGATCTATTTACAAACACTCCGCCTTTTTCCCTTAAGCCTTTTCCCTTTTCGCCTAAGCCCTTTGTGGCTTAGGACCCTTGTATTTACCGGACCGCCTCTCCTGGTATGCCCCACAGAGGACCTTAAGGTCCATGAATAACCATAGTTTAGAGGTCCTGGGCCCTAAGGAAGACTATCCTCCACCAGGGCCAGGGCCTTTTCAGTGATGGATCCTACCTGGTGGAATGCTCTGTCCCATGAGACTAGGGCCCTTCAGGATTTAACCTCCTTCCATCAGGCCTGTAAGACAGAGCTATTCCACCTGGCCTTTAATTTGAATTCAACCTGATCTTTTATTTCCCTTCTCTTCCCTCCCCCTCCCCTTTTATGAAGATTACCCGCTCTGAGACCCCACAGCTAATTCTCCCCTGACTTCCTTGCTGGCCCAAGTAGGACTAATTCAGCCAGCTAGCCCTGGTGATTATCTAATGCTTATTAGATGGATTTCCCCTAAATAGATTTCTGAACTTTGAATTTTATTGTTATTCATGTTTTTATACTGTATTTTATGCTGCTTTTATAATTAAGTGTTTTAAACCGGGAAGGGTGGGGTATAAATAAAATTTTATTATTATTATTATTATTATTATTGTTATTATTATGGGACTAAAGGTAAAGGAACCCCTGACTATTAGGTCTAGTCGTGACCGACTCTGGGGTAGCGGTGCTCATCTTGCTTTATTGGCCGAGGGAGCCGGCGTACAGCTTCCGGGTCATGTGGCTAGCATGACTAAGCTGCTTCTGGTGAACCAGAGCAGCGCACGTAAACGCCGTTTACCTTCCCGCCGGAGAGGTCCCTATTTATCTACTTGCACTTTGACGTGCTTTAGAACTGCTAGGTTGGCAGGAGCATTATGGGACTAGTGGTGGCTTAAGAGAGAGAGAGAGAAAACAAGAATCCCCTCAAAAGATAGGGGGGAAATTATTATTTTTTAAATAGACATTGATATCATTAAAACTACATCCATATATAAAATCTACGAAAGCCATACGAACAGCAGGGCACCTGCCCTTTAATTAACAGCAGCCGCCCCGCCCCTTTCCTATCTCCTTGCACGCCTCCAGCCAGCCTTTGCCCTCCTCGCTTCTTCCTCATTTCTCATTCTCCGCCCCCTTCCGCTCCGGAGGCTCCTCCCTCTCCCCCCCTTCCTACCACCTGAAAGCTTTGCCTCGCCCCTCCCCTCCGCATCCCCAAAGGGGCGCAGCCGGCGCACGCGCAGCGCCTCGGTAAACAAGGGGTGGGGAGGGAAAGGCCCGAGGCCCCGCCCACATCGCGGCGTGAACGTTCCACGGGCTTCCCTTCCCTTTTGCTTTCGGGCAGGGGAAGCGAGCTTTCCCCCTTTCTCGGCGGCGGCGGCGGCGGCGCCTGCGCGCTGGCCTCAACATCCGGGCACTGGGGCAGGATGAATGCTCCTTTCCAAGATGGCGGCGGAGGGAGGAGGGAAGGAGATGAACGAGATTAAGACCCAGTTTACCACCCGCGAGGGGCTGTACAAGCTGCTGAGCCACTCGGAGTACAGCCGGCCCAACAGGGTGCCCTTCAACTCGCAGGGCTCCAACCCCGTCCGCGTCTCCTTCGTCAACGTCAACGACCAGAGCGGCAACGGCGACCGGCTCTGCTTCAATGTGGGCCGGGAGCTCTACTTCTACATCTACAAGGGGGTCCGCAAGGTAAAGGGACGGGAAGGGGAGGGCGCCGCCGCTCGGAAGGGGCTGCCGGCGCCGCGCTGAGGGAGGCGGCGCGGCCTGAGGAGGGGCGCTCGGGGCTGGCGGGGTGGCATGAAGGGGCGCCCGGCCCTCTCTGGCTGGGCTCACCCTCGCCGAGAGGCTGCCTGACTGGCGTAACCGCCTCCGCCGCGCGGGAGCTGTCAACAAACACGTTTCCCTCGCTTCCTTTAAAAAAAAAAGGGGGGGGGAGAAATCCGTTAAAGGGTCCCCCACCCCTTGTAGCTTTTTTGGGTAGGTGGGTTGGTGTGAGGGAGGTAACTTTGCGTGGTTTGGAGAGCAATGGAGGTGTCCTTGCCGGGCTCAGGCGTATAGGGCAGGTTACACAGGTCTCTCTTAAGTGCTGTGGGTCTTCACTTTGAATAAGATAAAAGCAAATGGAAGCGGGGAGGCGGCAGCAAGACCTTTTTTCTTCTTCTTCTTTTTGCCTTGGAAGGCTTTAATGTAACCTGCCCTCTTGACAGGAAGCACAAAAAGGTGTCTCTGGAAGTATGTGTGGGTGGACTGCTGGATACCTTTAAAAAGTTGGCTGCCGTGCTCTTCGAGGGAGAGCAATAAAATAAGAAGGATGGACTTCTTGTTCTGTTGATTTACTTTTTTTATTTTCAGAAGCGCTGTTAGCTAAAGCAGTATTGATCATTTTGGTATTCCAGGAACGCTTGTGCTGTAAGGTGAATGTATTTACCCTTAAACAAAGCTGGTCTATAGGAGCCCTTCCAGCTCTCCGTTTACAGGACAAATGAATTCTGGATGTGTTCATTTTCATTCACTGCCTCATGAGATTTTGGGAGGAAAAAATTATTTTGTCATCATTGTGTCAACACCCTTTTGAGGTGCATGTAGTTTGCAAGGAAAACTGGTTTTAGCTAGGAAAACTGGGAATTTTGATGTAGAAAGTGAGGAGTTACAGCAGTGTTCTGGTTGGTAGTGAGTTTTGGTTGGAAAATGTTTTCAAAGTAGTGAAGCTTCTTGTGTGTTTAATGTAAGCGTAGGTGCTGATATGAGATAATGTAATAGAAACAGCTCTTAAGAGGAGCGTGCTGGATCAGGCCACTGGCCTAACTAGTCCAGCACCTTGTTCTCACAGTGGCCAGCCAGATGCCTGTGGGAAGCCTGAAAGAGAAGGGATAAAGTTTTTTTAGCCATTCGCTTGATATTAAATAATATGTAATCACAGTTAAGTTTATTTGGATAGTTTAGAAAGTATCATTTTCACCTGTGAGTTGGGTGCCTGACTAAATCATACAATACCATGTTAATGAACATAGGCATGTAGATGCTGATAATGATAATAATAATAATAATATCTGGTACCTGCTGTATTATATTGAAATGCCAGTTTCCTACTCAGTAGTAACACGATGGGTTGAATTGCCAGTGAAAAATCAAACACTCTAGTTGAGGATCAGTTTGCAGTAACTAGCCCTACAGACCTATTTTTAAGTATCCCCTTAGATCAACTAAAGCCCAAATCTTGTACACATGCACCTGTGCCATATATTGAGGCAAGCCTTTCATTTCAAAAGGAGAAAACAGAGACCTTCTGACTATATACAAATTAAGTGGTGTGCTAATTAATATTGGCAAATGAAGCTTTGTGGTTTCATTTCATAGCCTGATGAAGTTATTACCACATATTAATTGCTTGAACTTTATCGTTTCTATGACTCTTCTGTCTGAGATTCAGTGCCCTAATACATAATTAAAACATTAGTTCATCTTTCCTCAACAGTCTGGTCTATAATGCATTAAGATTCATATTCGGTGTAATATTTGTTTATTCTCTTCAGCCAAAAAAGAGTTCAAGGGTGGCTTTTAGATCACATTATTGAAGAAGAAAAAGAAGAAAGCTTCTACACTCATGCTTATACTTTAAACAGACACAACACAGAAGTAAAATGGATAGGGATGGAGGAGGCAATAAGCAAACTTGTCTACAAGTTCTTTGTTTTTCTCTACTGACAGGTTGGGGTGAAAAAGTTTAAGGTAAGAAGCGGCAAAATCTTGGTGCATTGGTGGCGCGGCCCTACCTCTCTCCTCTTTCCTCCATTACTGCAACTGGATGTAATGGCTGCTGCCAGTGACAGTTGCTGAAGGAAGGAGTCTGGCTTCTCAGTAGAGCTGTAAATGACCACTCATGCCTTCCCTTGTTTACAACCAAATGCTACTCATGGGAACTAATTTTCAAGATGACCCAGTGAGTCATTACATTTCTGTGGCACCAGTTATCGCAATTGTAAAATATGGGGGAAGGGGTGTGCAGTTTGGAAGTAGGACAGAGATCTTGAAGTGAAATGGTCAACAAGGAAACCAGTATATTTTGTTTGGCTTTCTGAAGCCATTTAGATTCTCCCTTTTGATTAAAAGAATAATGTCATACTGAATGAATGACAGTAAGCTCTGTTGAGAAACATCTAGTATATTTCAGATCCAGCTGTAAATATTTTGAAAGGCAGTACAAAAGTCAAGAAATACTTTATTTTAGCAAGTTGGCTAGAGCCATGAATAGCCTTAAAAAGTGCTTGAATAAAAACAGTATCTTAGCTGGCAGTGCTCAGATTTCTATGTTAAGAAATTGATGTTAAAGGTTTTTGTTGTAGTTTTTGCTATGCATGGTAATCTTTGATACAGGCATTTTGTATGAGAGGCCTTTTTGGTTTTAGTAATAATTAAATGTTTTAGACATCTTATCAAAGGAACGTATAGGGTTCTGTTTTCTCCTTGAAGAAAGCTATGGAAGAAGAAAGTAGAAAATGTGAAACATTATGTTCTGAAAATGAAACGTTTTAGTTAGAATGCAGCAATCATGTGCTAAACCAGTGATGTCAGGTGGACATCTTCAAAAACAGTGAACTTTTTCCAGTGGTTCACTTTTCCGTGGAAATTTAATACTTTCATAAGTTCATTAGTAACAATGAATGGATGCCAGTTGCAAATACAATATTAGGCAAACTCAGCAGTTTGAAAGTTGCAGTTAATGTTTTTCAGAAGATTATCCCTATCAAGTGTGAGAGAGAATACATGCATTTGTAAGTGGCAGGTGCAAGGGAATCAAAACAACATGTCCACCATTTTCAATACCCTTTTGCCTTAAATTTAGAAAATGTAAGGTGAATACATGCTACTGTCATTAAATTGTACAAGTATTCCAAAAGAAATGTCTACATAATATATCATTTAAGCCACTTCAAGTGTGCTTTGTAAGACAATTTTTTTTGCAGTGCTTTTATCTTTGTTTACTAAATGGAAGAAAAATAAACATACTAAACTAGATCACTTTCTATGGCATCAGAAAATTTTCCAGTGCAAACAAGAAAGATTTCCAGAAAACTGGTGTAATGGTTAGAGTATTTGACTAGAACCTGGGAGGCCAGGGTTCTGATCCCCACCTATGGAGCGTTCTAGGTGGCTTTGGGCCAGTCACTATCTTGCAACCTAATAGACCTCACAGGGTTGTTTTGAGCATGAAACGAAGAGGAGAACCATGTATGCCACCTTGGGCTGTTTACAAGAAATGTGCAATATAAATGTAGCAATAAAAAAATCAGTATGCAGTGGTACCTCGGTTTGTGAACTTAATCCCTTCCAGAAGTCCGTTCTTAAACCGAAACCGTTCTTAAACCGAATATTTCGTAAACAGGGCTGTTCTTAAACTGAGGTACCACTGTACTTACATACATTATTTTCAATTATTCATAGGGCTGTAGGATCAGTCTATAGAATCAGATAAATATGGTAGTATTTATCTTCCTGTTTGCTGTTTGAAGGCCAGTGTTTATTCATGGGCTATCCAGATTCTCGTGTTCTTGCTTTGCTGCCTACTTCTGAAATCTCATTGTGTTGATTCATTCCTCCTAAACCTGGTTGTACAGTAATAACATTCCAAGGGAAGACTAAAGTCTCATGTCTTTGCACATCACCATCTCTTTGGTTGTAATTTATTAGCATTTTTTACTAGTATTTATATACTGTAACTAGTTTAACGGGCACTTTATAGAACAGAACAGGTCCCAGCATACCTTTTAAAACACTTATGATACAATTGCAAATCCTTACGTTAAGCCTGCTTCAGGGGCTTGCATGTCCCTAGTGGAATTTTGGCCTTCAACCCTTTGAAATAGCAAGCCATGTTTATCAACTGTTACTTCATATTTTAAAGCAAATTGTGATAAACATGTTCATTTTTTGTACAAAGGTAATAGGCAGAAATTCCTCTGGGTGTTTTGCAAGTTCTTGAACATGCCTAAAATTAGGTATTTCAGTTTAAGCTCCTTGAGGCAGAGACTTGTCTCTTTCTTCTGTAAAACACCATTAACAACAATAACAACAACAAGAGTTCTTGTATCCATGTTGATGACGCTTGTACTGAAATATCGGTTTCCAAAACAGTTCACTACTGTATAAGAGATACAAGTTAGTGTGGTTAGCAAGTTGCTGATCGAAATACTGAGTACAAATTCTCCTTGAATCATGCTATTTGTGGTTTTTGGATCCGAGCTTTTGAATCTTTTTTGCTGATGACCGTAGGCTCGAATGATGGAGCTGAATCTTGGGAGTTCATACTTCATATTCTTATTTTCCCTACCTGTCTCAGAGGATTGTTAGGCCACAGTGTTGTTCTGAACCACTGTCAGAAATTAGCTTTGTTTGTGTGCATGTGTTGGCCTTAACTTTAGATGTCTTGTAAAGGGCATGTGACTTTGCTAAAATGTAGGTTAAAAAAAAAAGAGGTAGCCAAACAGAATGAGATACAGGATATTCAAGTATTATAAACCTGTGGGAAGATGTCTACTTACTGAGGAGCCTGTCCTTAATGTTCTAGTCTGTCAAGACAAACTGCTGATAAATACTGCTCTTGAAGTTGCATCTGTTAAACAAGGAATTGATCTCTTTTTTTCCTTGCAATGTATTTGAAAGTCTTAAGCTATTCTGTCATACCAACTGCAATGATACATAGAAATAACAATTCATGTATTATGATATAAGCTTTTGTGTGCCAGAGTCCACGTCATCAAATATATTTATATATTTTATTACATTTTTATCCTGTTCTTCCTTCCAAAGAATCTCAGAGTGGCAATATCTGAAGCATAATATTTAATTGTCAGGCCAGGCATACACATGGTTAAGGAGAAATGGAGAAGGCAGTGGCCAGAGGGAAACAAAATGCAAAAAGGAAACTTTTGACTTTGAAAGCATGTGCCACAATAAATTGGTTAGTCTTGAAGGTATCACAAGACTGTTTTTGCTGCAGCAGGCTAACATGGCTGCTACTCTGGAAGTATTTGTGGAAAGGCCATGCTTCTATAATGCTTGCCTCTTTTCTGCATTTGAAGGTAGATGTGTGTCCAATGACATAGGTGAAGGTGAATTATTTTTTTAAGCCAGCTTTGTGAGTACAGAAGACTAAGGGATCCAAAATACATGTCAGAAATATGGTGGCTGGTTTCTGTTTTTCCATCCCTGAGACTGTATGTTTTATTTTGCTTTGTCACAGATAAAACAGTACCTGGACTCATTAATTTATTCTAAATTGCTCTTCTGTCAACCCTGTAAATTTCATGTACCCAGCTGCAACTGCCATTGGCTCCTTTGAATATTCTTGAAGGGTGGATTACTGCAGGGGTAGATTGACCTGGTCTTGTGTCTACTTATTTTCACGTGCATCGTTATGATCCATGGTTGAATTTAAAATTGACAAAACAAGAGTGCATACTTGGGATCTCTGACCAATTAAGGCATAACTAATCTGTTTTAAGTAATACTTGGTATGCACCATCACTTTTTGCCAGAATCCCAACAACCAGTAGGTCCTAGGCAGATTCCCAGAAACTGGCCAGTTGTTCATCCATGGAGCATAGTCTGTCTTTTGCCCAACCTTGAATTACTGGATGACTTCTAGAAAAGTTTGCTTTTTAAAAATTCTCAGACTGACATATCAGATTGCTGTATGGTTTACCAAATATTAATTTTTAATGTAATGTCGCTACTGTGGGAAGGTTAACAACGTTCATGGCTTAATCATATGAAGTTCTTGACCTGCACTGAGGCATGGCAAATGATTGTCTAATTGTCTTAGTGTAATACATCTTGGCTTTCTGCATACAGGTTAACTAATTTAACATGAATTAAAGAGTTGCCTGATAAGATGCTTGCTCTTGGGTTAAGAGGCAGATAGCCTGTTATTTGTACCTAGATGTGCTGAGGTACATAAAAGTTTAGACTACGGTTAAAGTGACAAACAGAAATACTTCAGTATCTTTGGCTTCCAGACTATTGTACCTGATGATTTCTTTTCTTTTGTTGCAATTGAGATGATTTGTTATCTCTGGATGCCTTCACTGTCCATGCAAATTAAGGGTGGGGTACCTCTGCCCCTTGGGCCCAACGGTGCCTCCCCATTGGCCCATCAGGCCATTTGGCCAAACATGCCCCCTTGCATGATGCCTGTGGGGCAGGAAAAACCTAGCTCAGCTGAAAGGGCATTTGCAGGCACTGTTGATTAGCTTGTCAACAGCGTCTGAAAAGTGCTGTACAGATAGCACTTTGAAAGGGGCTTCTGAAAAATCCTGTAGGCAAAAAAGGTCACCAGATGCCATTGTGATGCCAGGTGATTGACATGTGGATGGCTGTGCCTACTTGTCAGACTTGACCTGTAAGGGATGGGGAAGATAATGATAAGCTCTCTGGTCAGGGCCAGTTCCTCACCCCTGATGTAAACAATAGTTCTCTAGGAAAGCAGATTTATGGTATTGTGTCCATTACTGGAATTGGATGAAATGTGTAACAATGGTTTTGGAAAACAATATGGCATAGACACTCTAGATGTGTAAGCAGTTTGCTGCATAATCCTAAACATGTTTACTCAGAAGGAACATAGAAGTACCACTGTCCTAAGCAGGGCTAATTCACAAATATAGATAGGACTCTCTCATAAGCGATCTAGAGTTAGAAGTGAGCACTGAGATGGTCAAACTTGCTGATGATACTAAATTGTTTAGGGTTGCTAAAACAAAAATGTGAAGAGCTCCAAAAGGACCTCTCCAAACTGACTGAATGGTCAGTAAAATGGCAAGTGCAGTTCAATGTAAACAAGTGCAAAATGTTTCATATGGGGGCCAAAAAAAATACCTTAATTTCATGGGGTCTGAACTGGAGGTGACAGACCAGGAATGAGACTTTACGGTCATGGTAAATAACTTGATGATGATGGGAACCCAATGTGCAGTGGCTATGGAAAATGCATAGTGTCAGATTAGGATCTGGGAGATCAGGGTTCAAATCCTCATTCACAGTCATTAAGCTCACTAGGTGACCTTGGGCCAGTCACAGCCTCTTAGCCTACCTCACAGGATTGTTGTAGGGATTAATTTAGGAGGGGGGTGACCCTTGTACTCCTTGGAGGAAAAGGTTGGATATAAATGCAATTTACTAGCTCTTAAGAAAGCTGGAGGTGCCAGCCAGATGACAGTCGTGAGTCTGACATCCAGAGATCTCCATGTCATCGAAATTGGATCTGTGCCGGTTGCAAAACATGCTTGGTGCCTGGGGAATTTCAAACACTGGTTGGGGTACCCTCCAGAACAGCATGAGAGTCTTTCCTTCCTCCCGCAGGAACCTCCTCCTGGATCTCAGTTCCTTCTGTCAACAGGAGCAAGTCTGGATCCTACTGTCTTGGTAGTTTTAGCCAAAACTATGATTTTCTATAGGATTATAAGGATTTATCAGACGAGGCTTTTATAAGGATGCTTGAGAACTTTTGTGAAGCTTTTTGTAGTGCTTTTCTGAAATGATTATACTCAACAGTGTTACTGCTGTTTCCCTGCATTTCAGTCATGACCAGACAGTTTGTGGCTAGTGGTTCTCTTCTTGCTAGTTGGAAAGGTGGCAGTAAAGTTCAGTAGTTTTTATTGTATGTAAATTGCATTCTTGGTGTTTCAGAAACAGATAACCATAGTAATACTCGATTCCTCAGTTGGTTTCTGGGTGGTGATGTTAGCGAGTGATTTCTCTTGCTAACTGCCTCCACTGTGTGGGGAACTCTGATCTCAGTTGCAATTCTGATTTCTGGAACATGTTCTTCTAACTTCAAGATTACATAAACTGAAGTTTTGAAGATGGGATGTTTACAGTACTTTCTCCCTGCATTTCTGAGGTCACCATTTCTAGTAACATGGTTATTAAGCTAACAAACAATGGAAAACAGCCTAGAAAAAACAAACAACCCTACAAATCCATTTTTTGTACAGCATCCACATGATGGCTAAATCTGTGGCTGTATTCAGGATACAGTTGATTTGTTTATTAAGTATGTTAACTATTCTGCTATTCTAATACTAGAGGGTGAGCTTATTTAATATGGGGATGTGGGACCTATGGCCCTCCAAATATTGTTGGGAGTCCCATCAGCTTGCTGGGGCTTACGGGATCGAGAGTCCATCAAGGCTGCAAGTTCCCCATCCCTGTTTTAATATAAAGACATGATTATTTCCTCCACCCACCCCAAATTGGTAGAATTTAACACCTACAGCCCTGGATTCTGGCATCCTTTTTGTAGAGATGCCAGAGATTTCATATGGCATCATCTTCATCAAAGCTTGGGCTTTACTAGTAAGCTATGATTTTAACTCTTTATCTCTGGGCTTGGTTGTGGTCCCCAGGATATTCAGACTAATTTGTGACTAAGGATATGTGCAACTTTTTGAGCTCTATAAAGATGTTCACAGCTTTAAAAATATGTATTTGCTTTTCAAAATCAGTTGTCAGATGAAAGCTTTTGTTTGGGGGCTAAAGTAGATATAACGGCAGCAGTCGCAAGTGTTCTCTGTGTTTGCCCTACTAGCATACGGAATGGGGTGTGTCTAATTTAAACATCAGTCTCAGGGTCATTGGTACGAGCCACACATTAGGCAAAAGGATTAGAACAAAATACATGTGTGCCCTACATTGTGACTGATGTGCAAGCAGTGAAGTGTTGGGGTATGTTGTAAAAATGATTTGCTTCTAAAATGTTTTTGAAAGTGGCAAAATAAAAATGGACCCTCCTGATCCTAAGCATCTCAGCTCAATGGAAGAGGGGTTTTGAGAACCTGAAGCTGTGAAGCCTGATAATTACTGTATTTTTGGCTCTATAAGACTCACTTTTCCCCTCCTAAAAAGTAAGGAGAAATGTGTGTGCATCTTATGGAGTGAATGCAGGCTGTGCAGCTATCCCAGAAGCCAGAACAGCAAGAGGGATCTCTGCTTTCGCTGCGCAGTGATCCCTCTTGTTGTTCTGGCTTCTGAGATTCAGAATATTTTTTTTCTTGTTTTCCTCCTCCAAAAACTAGGTCTGGTGTCTTATGGTCTGGTGCGTCTTATAGAGCGAAAAATACGGTACATGGGCAGATTTAAGAACTCTGAAGGCAAACAACCAATAATTGTTATAGCTTTATTGGTTAATAATCAGACTTCACTGTACTGGAACTATCCAGACATCCAGCTGGCTGGAAGAACTGAAATGTAAAAGAAAACTATCTTGCGTATCTTTAATAGGCCAGTGCATGAAATACCTATGCAAACTAAAGAATAGTGGGAAAGTTCCTTCTTTCTGGAAGAGGGTAGTCTTCATTTTTTTCTCTTTTACCTGAGACGGTTGAGTTGCAATTAGGAGAATGTTGTTCTTGACCTCAGCTGTTAATAATGTACATTGCCTATTCAGAAACTGCAAAAATGGTATTTATAAAATTGCAAAGTGAGTCAGGCCATGAAGCTGCCTACAGCTGAGGCTTGCATAAACAAACAAGGATACAACACAAATTAAATACACCACTTGTGTAAACATTCTAGGCTACAGGGGCACCAAGAAGTGGAGAATTAGCAAACTAGAAATCATAACTCTAACTTGGGGTCCCTCTAATGTACCGTATTTTTCGCTCTATAAGACGCACCAGACCACAAGACGCACCTAGTTTTTGGAGGAGGAAAACAAGAAAAAAAATATTCTGAATCTCCGAAGCCAGAACAGCAAGAGGGATCGCTATGCAGTGAAAGCAGCAATCCCTCTTGCTGTTCTGGCTTCTGGGATAGCTGCGCAGCCTGCATTCGCTTCATAAGACGCATACACATTTCCCCTTACTTTTTAGGAGGGAAAAAGTGAGTCTTATAGAGCAAAAAATACGGTAGGTGATGTTGGACATGCACTTGAAATCCTTTTATTATTTTGTATTGCATATTTAATACTGTATTTTATTCTTTTAATTTTTGTGAGCCTCTTGAGAGAGTAAGTGTTTTTGGGCAGCCCTACAATTATTGTAAATTGAAGTCTTTGGCTTTTTTTAATGAATTGTTTTAACTGAGGAAATAGTTACAGTAAAAAATTACCACCACTACCAGAACCCTGGAAACTATAGCTTTGTAGTTGTGCCATATATGCACACACACACCACTTGACTCCATATTAGTTCAGAAAAATCACTACCCCTTGGCACCATAATCACTAAATTTATACTGGTCCTTCTGCAAGGAGACAAACTCCCTCTTGATTTTCTGTACAGTTGTCCACCAGCTCTTAGCCTAAATCTTATTAGTGCACTCAAAAGAAACACATTGGACTTTCATGACTTCCATATCTTATATATCACTAGTAATTGACTGTATTGATTTCCAGCTGTTATGGTTTGGTTAAAGCATAGTGACCAAAGTGTATTTTGGTGTCTGACTATCTACAAGGTATAGCACCTTCCTTTCCCTGCTTCGCTCAAACTTTAGTTTTGTCATTGCATCTCAGTTGGATGAACTGTAGTTGCTTCCACCCGGGAATCGCTTCCAAACTATGACTCCAGAAGGTTTGGATGCAGTTCCTGGTTTGCAGTAACCATAGCTTGTCAAGGCTGGATTTTGCAGCAAGCTACAAAAGGGAGGAGGAACGCCCCTCACCAAAGTTTCTGAACCATGGCTTGACAATGATATCTGAATTGGATTGGTGAAATGTCAAGCTTTGCTAAAACATCACTTGCTTTGCCACTGAGGGACAGATTCAGCTACCTGGTCCCAGTAACTCAAACCCACACAAGGACTTATTGTAGTGCAATGGGGCATATCCCCTCCCCTCCCACCGTGTGTTCCACCAAATTGGCTGCTCTGAGGCAGGGTGGGGTGGGCAGGATAACTCCCACATCAGCATGCGGGGAAAGGAGATGGGAGATCATTCCATTGGGCATGCAGAAATGCTTGAACTAATGGGTCAATCTCCTTAGTGGTGTGTTATACATAGAGAGATATATAGTAGATTATAGCCTGCTTTTTGTCATAAGTCCTCAAAGCAATTAACAGCTGCACGCTCATGAAACAAAACAAAAGCAGGAGCTGGATCGGGTGGCAGTTGGTGTCAATTGGCTCTGAGATGGGATGTGGGAAAGACAGCCTGACAGGATTGGGCCCCGATGTTACTCTTGATTGCTTCCCTCACTCTTTCCATAGAAGATATCACCTCTGTCCTTCATTTCTGCCATTCCACATATCTTCTCTTGCCATAATTGGTAAGTGGTGCAAAGCCCTATTCTATCTAAATGCCATTCTTGAGCTTGAAACCAAACTATTCTCTTAAATCTGTTTGGCTTAGAACACTGTTGCAGGATTGCTGAGGGTAGCGCATGTGACCATATCTTCTTTTCACTGTGCGTATATATGTTGTATATGCGTTGCAGGCTTTGTGTAGCTGTGTGTGGGAAGTGAATGAGAGGATCATATGCATCCTTTTAAAAATATAGAAGGTTGTTTTGTGTGGAAGGGTGTGCACCTTGTCTCTTAGGGGCGGGCCCCAGAGATTGGCACAGCAGTTCTATTAACAACAGCTGATTGTGCCAGCAAGAAAGTTTTTCTCAGGAGACAAAGTCCCTGACAGAGGCAAGACCTGCCCTGGTGTGGGTGTGCATGTGAGCAGGTGGAGGGAGGGAGGATGCAGTGAAGAAATATCTTTATGCTCCTGAGACATGCCAAGCTTTCTACACAGCCAGTTCCAGGTTGGGTCAGTTCCAATGCTCATGCCTATTCTGCAATTGTTAAGGCAAAAGATGCACTGAATACTTCTTCATTGTGGCTGATAACTCCTCATCTAAAAATGGGCTGCAGTTCCTTTTTATTTGTTAGGATGCAGAAGAATTAGTTTTTTATTCTCTAAATCTATGATGCCTTAGCAGGGATAGGATGGGAAAACTTTCAGAAAAGTGGTCTCACTGACATTGATTTCATTGCATTAAGCAGCAATAGAGTCCAGTTTAGATGTCATGCCAAAACATACTTTTGATTACCATACTGTATACCTGGTTATAGAACCTTGTTCCTTTTCTGAATCAGTTATCTCCAAGAAACGGCTGTCTAAACATCCTGCACAAACTGAGAACCCTTATTCTAAGAAACCACAAATTCCCTCCGCTTCATACCTTTTCTCGTTTAAATCTTTAAGGGATCAATAATCTCTTCCCTTAACCTCCTCTCCAGAGATGTGTCAAAGAATGGATGATAAACATATTGCTAATGATTTTGAGGTTGCAGTTGGTGGCAAGCATATGTAATATGATCTCTTCCTCCAATAGAAATCTTTGAGGCCACCCAGTACCTCTCCACAATGACACAAGTTGGCATCTCACAGGTTAACTTCAATCACAGCTATTGCATACTCTCCTCAAGGATCCCGAGAAACCACAAGTGGCCATTCCACATTGTCTCTGGCAACAAGAAAAACAGTGAATGTGGATTCATATACAGGAGCCATTCTTGCAGTGTCCAGAAGTTCCAAAACTCAAATGGAGATACTGGAAAGCAAAATGAAAAATGGCAAGTGAATAAAAAGTTCATTGCCTGGAACGAGTTGTGAGGTGTGGTTGATGTTAAGATGGTGCATTTGCTGCCTTGATTCACTACTAAGTCCATGTGCAAACAGGAGTGGCTGTGCTGGTCCATGTCAGATGGCACAGATCATTTTGAAGGAGGACAAAGATGAAAATGGCTGAGAACAGCCAAGCCATTCAGACATCTCAGCTCCCTTTCCCAAATACTTGCATCATCCTGGGGCCAGGAAATGAGTTTCATTAAGAGCTAAACTTGCAAATGTTGCTTCTACCAAAGCTTCACTCATCAGCTTCAGGGGTTATTTATACCTTATAATAGTCTCATGGCTTGCTTCCATGTTTTTAAGGGTGGGTTTGGGGACTGTGTCATCCTGAGAATGGAGGCAGAAACTCTCCCAAGCCAGCATTGGTTTCAGCAGGGAACTCTGACATACATAGTGCAGAAAGCTTGACTGTGCTTTGCAGCATCAAAAAACAACAAGAAAAAGTTGGGTAGCAACCATGAGTTAAAACTACTAATGCAGGGGGAGAGGAGAACCAACACTCCATTGTGAAGTACTTAAGCCAGATGTGGGGTGTGGATGGCAGCTTCTGTTTTAGACATATATTTATTATATTTATATACGTTAATCCAAACATGTTCTCTGCATGAAATACAGTTTATAATTTGCAGTGCTGTAGGAGGGAAGCAGCTTCTATATTAGCAGTTTGTGGTAACAGAGAAAGAAGGGCATTGTTGACATCAAAGTATATAAAATACACCTATAGTATATCTGCTAGTATAGAATCATAGAATTGTAGGGTTGGAAAGGGACTCCAAGGGTCATCTAGTCCAAGCCCCTTCAATGCAGGAATCTCAACATAGCATCCATGACAGATGGCCATCCAACCTCTGCTTAGTAGAAATTGATGGTCAGAATAAGAGCTGAGCTTAGCCTTTAGCTAATACTTTTTCTTTGAAAGAAAAAGGCAAGGTGGGAAGAATAAAATCTTATTGGGTGTGGGAGAAAGTTTTATGTATTTTTAACAGGGTAGGGGGCCATACCCTAACAAGCAGTTAGGGTTGTACATCGTGCATTGAGCATACCAGTATGTTTGCCTAGGGGCTTCTTTTCTCTTGGATCCTTTTTTCAGATGAGTATGGCAGAACCTTGAGCCCATGCCCTAGGGCAGCCTGGGTCCAATATATGCTTCCTCCCAAGCAAGCTGTCTGGGGTTTGTATAATATTGAACATCCTTCCCTGGAGTGCTGCCTCTGAAGTGCCATAGGGACACTGATGAGTAATGATTACCAGCTGCAACACAGTCACTGGACTGATTGAGTCAAAGTGTTCATGAGCAAGTGATGGTTCTCCCATCTCAATGCCCTTCTGGTGCCCTTGCCGTGTTGTGTGGAGGAAGGGTACTGTCTGAAACAATAGTTACCCCTTCCTTGGGAAGTGGGACTCTTACGTGCATAGAGTCTAGGAAAGACTGGGTACGGATAAATAAATGGACGAGAACAAAGATCTGTGCTCAAAGTAGCTGTGCCCAGGCATTGATCCTATAAGGCAGGTGGGCCTCTGCACCTTTGACCAGCAGTTGCAGTGGCTGGAACAGAGCACATGCTGTTCATGGACTCGAGCATTTCATCTACATAATTGAGAGTATTGAAGCATGAGGAGCGAAATGTGGGGGACGTGTGTAGCAGTTATACTTTGAGGCATGGCACCTTTCCTCCTTGTGAACCCTTCTGAAGCAGCGGAGTATAATCTCTGTTTTGAATCCCGAGGCAGAGTTAGAGTTCTGAGAAGGCCAATGGTGGCAATGAGCTCTTCCTGTATTTGTGCTGAGGCTAGGCTGTTCATGTAGGGTGCCCTCTCTTTGTGCAGTCTGCCCTTTCACCATAGATCTTCTTACCAAAGTTCCCATTGTGGAAACTATGTTGAGACCCAAGTGATGTGTGCTCTGTCATGTAAGTAAAGGGCTTCCTTAGTGCTGGGCAGTTTGTATACTAGTGATACTGCACTGCAATTGGGTGCAGTTAGAGTCTATAGTCTGCCACAGCAGTGTAGGTTGTGGCAGGGAGAGGAATAGTTTATTTTGGCAACTCATTTTCAGTTATTTTGCCAGCAAAGAAATTGGGCTAAGCTTGATCCTCACCACCTGCTGCCCATCTTGGCCACTCTATCAATAGTTCTGCCAACAGTGAGGATATGTTGCTGTCTCTGGGACTATCAGCTAAAATGATCGCCAATGATGGTGTGGTATGTGCCCAGGATACATCAGCATTGGGAACGTAAGCCAGTTAAGATGGTATCCTTGAAGCCTGGGATTGTAGTGTGAGCTGCCTTGAGTTGGTAAAATCTTAATTGGACCGATGTGCTGGTAATCTCTTGGAAGAGGCTTTGCTATTACTGCTTCCAAAAAATCCTTAATTAAAGGACAAAATAGTTGGTTCTAGATTTTCTCCTTAGCAATAAAACATTTACTGGTAAGCAGCCCACAAATATCTCATGTCTCGCAGAATACCAATGTTCTGCCCCAATATCTCATTCTGAGGAGAGAAGAGAATGATTAATCCAAATGACTTCAAGCTGCGAATAGGAACCAGTACAGGAAAAGGTGGGCAGCTGTTATGGAGGGAGGATCTGTCCAAATGAGCAGTAATTAAAATGGAGTGCTGAATATTTGAAGACTTAATAGATGCAGGAAACAAGTTGCTACAACTAGAAAGAGAGGGAGTAGGAAAATAAGGCCTTTGCTACATCCTTTTTATAGGATTTATAAAAGTGACTGAGAACAGGGATTGGAAGGCATGGCACAGGAGACACTGTAATTATATTTTCAAGTATAAATAGAAGTCTGTCTGGGATTGCAGTTCCTGGAGGCATCTGTGTGTGTGGCACTAAATAAGTTTCTCACTCTGGTGATGGAGTTGAGAAGCTACACAAATCAAAGTAGATGGTTAACTAGTTTTTAACCAGAACAGAAAAGTACTAAATTTGGAGGCAGTGTGTCATGAACACATGTGAAACCTAATTTTTCTATTTCTAGAATCGCTGTAGCGCTATGTGTTACTGTTGTAACACTTTTTCCTGATTGTGTTGGGACTAGAGTCTTAACATTTGGGGGGGGGGGGAAGTAACACGGTTTTTCAGAACTTGTCGAGGAGCCTCCCAAAGACTTTTGACTTAAGTTCAATAGAAGTTTAAATTGTTATTGCCTATTCTTTCTAAGACAAGAACATTAGCATAAAATGATTTTCTAGGAACTGTTAATTACTTTCTTGCCTGAATAGGTAGAAATCCTCCGCCTAACTGGCATGTATGCATCTAAATTGTTCCCATTGCCAGTGGTGTTTTTTTTTATAAAAAAAAAAATTATTATTATTATTATTATCTTTGCACCACCCTCTTAACCCTCAAATTTGCTCAACAAAATGATTATTGATTAATGAGCTTAGATTATTCTTGTCTTCATAGTTTTTCTTTAAGCTATCAGTTATATTATACCACATCTTTCTTGATCATCACTGTTTCTGTAAAATTAGCATGATTTAGAGTTCAAAGAGTACATTTGATTAAGCAGAGAGAGTGATCTAATTTAGGGGTGTCATAGGGATGGATGTAACCAAGATTATAAAGAAGATGAACAATATTTCTGAATTAATGTTTCTTCTACCAGCCTGTTATTGCATGGGTGTACAGAGAATGAGGAGCTCACACATAGCTATCTATAACCTATTGATTGGAACAAAAGGATATTATTTGAATAGGAGTGCTCCTTTTCCTCCCCTCCCTTTTGCCTGGCTCCAGATTCATTTTATTTCTCCAAGATGGGCTGTTGGAGATTAAGGCCTCACACCAATGTCAGGGAGGGGATAATCTGGCATGCTTTCCTGGACAGTGCTGTGTTTGGAAGTGCTGTGTTAGGAGGTGCCCTAACCAGATAGGCAAGAAGGCTTTGCATAGCAGGTGAGAATAAGGAAGTTGAGAGGTACTGCAATTTTAGACACTGATCCAAAGGAGGAAAAGATGTGAGTAGCTTCTTCTTTCTTCAGATGTTTGGAGTTCTGGCTCATCATCGCCTACCTCAAATAATCACCGCACTGCCCTTTTACCTACTGGGCCATGTTGTGGAGTTTTCAGAAAAATGGTTCCATGCTCTAAATTAGGATCTTATTCAGCATGTTTATTTTGACTAATAGTAAACAATTTAAGAAGTACCGTGTACTCTGATAACCGTACATGCTATATAGCACCAGCATTTTTCCAGCAGCTGAAGGGATTTTAATGAGAAGGTCTGATAAGGAGGAAAATTTAAGCACACTAAGAATTGAAGGCACTTGTAATGGTTCTAAGGGTTGCTCGTGCGTAAGCTTGTCCCAACCTCTGGCTGGGTTGCCTGAGTGAACCTTTCCTGTCCGGGCAGCCACTCGCCCGTGCCTGTCTCAATCGCTGGCAGAATCCGTCAGTGGGCGTTTCTTAAACTTCTTCCAGCAAAGAAGCTCTTTGACGCCAAGTCTCCTCCTACTCTCCCTGTGCGGAAGCCTTCTGCGCAAGGAGGGCGTAGGCAGCGGAGGACCCCTACTCTCCCCGCTGGTCCCCGGCAAGGAGTCATGGGACCGCCTCGCCGATTCCCCCATCTGCCCCCCTTCTCCACTGGAGCTACGTTGATTCTCTTCCCCAGAAGACGGGCTGCCTCTCCCACTCCTGGGACGCTGTCCGGGATCCCTTTGGAGCTTGCTCTCTCCCTCGGACACTGATGGCAGTTCCCTGACAGCACTGAAACAGGTGTCTACAATTTTTGGCTTTCCTTGCTGGCCATGCAAAAAACTGGATAGATACTGTATTTTCCCGTGTATAACACGCACCCGTGTATAAGACAACCCCTATTTTGGGGCATCCAAAATTAAAGAAATGGGGGGGAGATTGTCCAGAGTTGTTGAGCTTTTTTAGGGGGGATTGCCCAGAGTTGCACAACTCACTGAAGCCATCGACCATCTGCCCACTAGCCACCAGCAACAGCCAAACACACGGCCACTTCCCACAGCAGCAGCCAGTCGCTAGCACACATTGCTGCAGCCCCAAAACCACAGCCAAATCACTGCTTTACATCTCCTGCTCGCAGCTGCCACCAATCGCACGTTCCCCCCTCAGCACTATCCGTGTATAAGATGACCCCAAAATTGTAACAGTTCTTTATAATATAACAACCTCATCTTATACACAGAAAAGGACGGTAACCCCTTCTCTACATTTCCTGAACTCAAGCACAAAAAACATTGGGGGCGATGAAAGGCAGTCTGTTCCAGAATGACCAAGGTTGTCCGGCAACATAGCTGTCAGATGTCCCTTAACTTTCTGCCTAGTGGCCCAGGTGGTAGGGATCTCCATAGAAAGATATCTGCCACTTTCTACAGCTTCAAAGTTGGGATAAAGGCAGGCTGCTCACTACAGTGAAGTTACATCCTTGCCACGGTGAGCATAATTGGACACCTTCCCTGTTGTTATTGCTAAAATTATAAAACTCAAAAGAGTTCTGTATTGGGCAAGACATTACTGTTATAAGTAATGTGGAGTTGTAGGGGTGGGGAGAGACGTGGAAAGAGAGGGAAGGAAGGAATGGTGAAATTTCATTATTTTGCATTGTAATGGTATATGAACAAAGTTTTGTGTCAGAGTCCCATAAATAGGTACCTTATTTTTGTTGGCGGTATGAGAGTCCGGCGTGCCCAGGGCATGGTTGGTTGCAGATGGCTGGTTACCTGACTTCTGTAGAATTAAGAAACAGGCTCTAGTGCATACAGCTGCATGTGTGATTAGGAGCCCTGACCAGCCATCAGCACAGATCCAACACCCCTATAGCCTGCAGGACTTCCGGCGGATCGCGAAGTGAAAGCAAGCGGGATCGCTTGGCTGCAAGCGTATCCAGCTTTAGAGAGCCTAAAGGGGGGTCTGCAAGAGCGCCGCAGCCCCCCAAATACTCTCAGAAGGGAATCTGAGAGGCAGGGGTCCCGGCTTTGCCAGTTAAACACTCCCCCGGCCGCCAAGTAACCCTCTTTTTGGGGGCGACGAGTGTGGCGGGGTTGAGACGTTGGCAGCGGGAAGCCATTTCTAGCTCTCTAAAGCGAAGCTCCAGGCTTGCGCACAAAGCGATCTGTTCTCAAAAAAGAAGAAATCAAATTGGAACATAAAATACAAATTGAGGGATCTAATTGGAACTAATTCAAGGCAGTAAGGTGGAAAAAAGGAGGTCAGCCTTACTGGGAATTTATATTTTGACACAAGAAGAAATCGCGGAACAGGAAAAACTGTAAGTCTCGACAAATGGGGAGTTTTTATGATATACTTTGGACTTACTTTTTTTTAAAAAAGCTCTTCATAAAATTTCGGGAAGGAAGATATTTAAGGGGTCGAAAACTGGATGAAGAGTTTTCTTTAAACAGCACTTTGGGAGGTCGCTTGGTCTCGCTGGGAGAAAGCGTTGAAGTGTCGGAGTTAGTGAGACGGATTACCGTATTTTGCGCTCCATAGGACGCTCCGGCCCATAGGGCGCACCTAGTTTTTTGGGGGGGAAATAAAGAAAAATATTTTTATTTCCCCCCCAGGTGCGGGGCTGGAAGAACTAGGTCGGGTAACAGAGGGAAGGTGCGCTCTGCCTCCCCGCTGTCCCCCGAGCTTGTGGGGCTGGCGATGGGGAGAAGTGCGCTGATCCTGTGACTGCAGGCAGCTCTGCGCGGCCATCGGAGCGGGGTGGGACTTCGCGCCCCGCTCCGGATGGCCGCGCAGAGCTGCGCTGATCCCGGGACTGCAGGCAGCTCGGCGCGGCCATCCGGAGCCGGCCTGGACTTCGCGCCCGGCTCCCGGTGGCCGCGCAGAGCTGCGCTGAGCCGGGGACGGCAGGCAGCTCTGCGCGGCCATCGGGAGCGGGGCGGGACTTCGCGCCCGGCTCCCGGTGGCCGCGCAGAGCTGCGCTGAGCCGGGGATGGCAGGCAGCTCTGCGCAACCCTCGGAGCCGGTCTCCTGAGGGTTGCGCAGAGCTTCCTGAAGCCTGGAGAGCGAGAGGGGTCAGTGCGCACCGACCCCTCTCGCTCTCCAGGCTTCAGCGAAAGCCTGCATTCGCCCCATAGGACGCACACACATTTCCCCTTAATTTTTGGAGGGGAAAATGTGCGTCCAATGGTGCGAAAAATACGGTACTTTTACTTTTAAAAAATCTGCGCAACAGAAGTTAAGGGGTTTAAAACAAAGAGAATAACTAAAAATAACTGTTTTGGCTTAAAAAAGAAAATTAGAAATTAATCCTTGGAGATATAAATTTGTTATGCTCTAATTGGAGGAATTTTTAAAGAGATTTTTAACAATAGAAAGACTTGCTCTTTCTGATGGACAATCCCCCCCCCCCTTTACCATTAGCGAAAGGAAAGTTACAAAGTGCCATCTTGTCGCCATTTTTAGAGAGATACTTTCTCCTCTTGCTACTTTGTTGTGTCTGTGTATGGCAACAACTAGCGGAGAGGTTTGGATTGAATTGAACGCTCCTGTTTGTGGCTAACTGGATTAATTTACTTTTTGCGTATTGGTTTATTTTTCCCTCACCCTCTTTTCTGATGGATTTACATTTTGGACCCTGCAAGATTAAAGATTTTAATAGGTGGCTCCCTTTTATTTATGATTTGAATTCGAAACCGTAAAAGTGGATTTGGCCATACAAGAGGCGTGAAGCTTTTGGATGATTTAAAAGAAAGTTTGATATTAAACCCTGAGTGGAATTGGCCGAACAAGTGGCAAGAAATCATATTCTTCCTTTTTTCTTTGTTTAAGATCAGGGAAGCTCTCATTACATTTAAATCCTTGCTACCATATTTTGCTATTATTTTTAAGGGACCAACTTTCTATATTAATATCGATATTTTGGCTGATAATTTTCTTTGTTTCTTTTTCCTCTTCTCTCTGCTTATATTTACATGCTTAAAGGTCTAAATTGTTCTCAAAATTGATATTATTTTGTTATTAGATTGTTTTAAATTGTGAAGTTTTAAGATTGCTTTCTATCTTTAATTTTTCTATACATGAGAATTTAAAGATCCCTGGTGAGTGCTCTGTTGGTTATGGGTTTTTTAGGGGTTGGTTAAATTTAAAAAAGAGGTGAAAATATTTTGGAATTGTAATTTGATTTTTATATTGAATTTAAATTTATAAATTTTTGTGTTGAATTTAAATTTGTAGAAAGTTGATTCTCCCCTCTTGATATTTTATAATTGGGGGAAGAATTTTAAAAGTGGTTAAAAATGACACATTTGCAGAAGAAAAGTGAGGGGGCAACACCGGGGGAAAGAAGGGGTTCGAGACAGGAACCAGACTGGAAAATAGATATAGCTAAAATGCTTGCAGAATTAAGGACAGAGATAAAAACAGATATAACAAGCAGTGAAAAAAAATATTGAGAACAAAATAGGCCAAATCGAGACCAAATTAGAGCAAGTGGATAAAAAAATGGATGCTACAGTGAATGAATTAAAAGAGCAGATGAAAGGGATTTCTAAAAGAATGCAGAATCAGGAGGAAGGAATGAAGAGAATGAAATTGGAAATGAGAGAGTCCCGAAAGGAGGAGGAAAAAATAAGAGCGGAAGTATCTGAGGTGAATAAGACGCAAGAGGAGTTGTGGGACACGGTTTCAATGAATGAACTTCGACAAAGAGAAACGAATTTGAGGTTCAGGTCTGTGCCAGAGGTTCAAGGCGAGAAAATCAAAGAAAAGCTGACAACAGAGATTGCTCAATGGCTAGATATGAAATTAGAGGATGTGGAAAAAATGATTCAAAATGCCTTTAGGATTAAAACAAAGACAACCAGAGTGAAGAAATTCCCAGGAGACTGTTTACTTGTCTTCAAGGATAGAGAATTCAGAAATTTAATTTTGCAAAAAAAATAGAGAAAAACGTTTAATTATAGATGGGAGTTTCATAATCATTTTTAAAGATGTGCCATTAAGACTTCTGAAAAAACGAGATCAATACAAAGAGATGGTACAAGTTTTGAGAAAGAATGATATAGAATTTAGATGGGAGTTTCCAGAAGGCGTCGCATTTACCTATAAAGGGAAGAGGCACAGACTGACAAAACCGGATGAAGTCGACAAATTTCTTAGAAGATATAAGGGGCTGACCAGAGAAGGAACAGAATTAGAAGCTGCAGGAGCAGAAGGTGGTGAAGGAGAAGCCACGGACCAGGAGGAAGAAGAGCAAAGAAGCAGGAAAGATAAAAGAAAAGAAAGGAGAGGAAAAAAGGAAGAAGAAATAGAAGAAACAGAAGAAGAGCAAGAGGAAGAGGAGAAATAAAAAGTTAATAAAAAGAATATTTAATTGATTGACATCATGGCATTGAAATTATGGACTTGGAATGTTAATGGAATGAACGATATAAAAAAAAAGGAATAAAGTGCAACAATATCAAAAGCAAAAGAATTTGGACATAATCTGTTTACAAGAGACTCATGTGAAAAAAGTACACAGGAAAATTTTGGTTAACAAAAAATTAGGAAACGAGTTTATTTCATCAGACAAAAGTAAGAAAAGAGGGGTGGTCTTATATGTTAAAAATAAATTAGAAGCACAACAATTGTTCAAGGATGAAGAGGGTCGAATTATTGCAGTTCAAATCAATTGGCAGGGTGAAAAATTGATAATAGTTGGAATATATGCACCAAATGGAAGCAAAGCAGAATTTTTTAAGGACTTAGAAGAGAAATTATTTGAATATATGGATCAAAAAGTTATAATAATGGGTGACTTCAATGGAGTGGTGTCTATGGAAATGGACAGACTAAGAAATAAAGGTAAAACAAAAGAAGGGAAACTACCAAAAACTTTTTTTGATATGGTTGAGAATTGTAACTTGATAGACATCTGGAGATTGAGACACCCACTAGAGAAACAATTTACCTTTCATTCAGAAGTAAATCAATCAATGTCAAGAATTGATCAAATTTGGATATCTAATGAATTAATTTCAAGATTTACAAAAATTGAGATCCAACCCAAGGTTTTATCCGACCACAACGCCATCCAAGGTATTCTGAAAGGGTATGAAGAAAAATCATTCAGGTGGAGAATAAATGAGAATCTCTTCGATGACCAGAAGATTGTGGAAAGAGCACAGAAATGTTTAACTGACTATTTTGTGAATAATATAAATAAGGAAACAAAAATTAATATGGTCTGGGACGCTAGTAAAGCGGTCATGAGAGGTTTCTTTATTCAGCAAAATGCAATAAAAAACAGATTGAGGGGAAAAAGAAATCTTAAGATAAATAATGGAGAATGAAAAAAAATTGATTAACAGACCTAAGGATGAAAAAGTTAAGCAAAGTATAAAATTACTTCAGACACAATTTGCTATGATAATCAATAAAGAAGTAGAGTGGAATATAAAAAGAATGAAACAAAAGAATTTTGAATTTGCAAATAAATCCGGAAAATGGCTGGCGTGGCAACTTAAAAAAAGGAAAGAAGAAAATATAATTTAAAAAAATTAAAGTAGAAGACCAAGACATTGAGAACCCGAAAGGAATAAGGAAAGGATTTGTGGACTTTTATAGAGATCTATATAAAAGAAAAGAGAAATCTAAGATAAAGATGATAGAAGACTATTTAAAGAAGAAAGGGGTGCAAAAAATTCCACTGATAAAAATAAATTGAATGAACCAATTGGAATAGAAGAAGTTAAAACGGCTATAAAAGAATTAAAAAGTGGGAAGACTCCGGGACCGGATGGATTTGGTGCAAGATATTATAAAGAAATGAAAGACATCTTACTTGTACCGTTGGTAGAAGTTATGAACAACATTCTGAAAGAAGGACAAATACCAGAGACATGGAAGGAAGCATATATAACATTAATTCCCAAGCAGGACTCAGATTTAACTCAAGTTAAAAACTATAGGCCAATTTCGCTATTGAACAATGACTATAAAATATTTGCTAACATCTTGGCAAATAGAATGAAAAAGACATTAAAGGAATTGATCCATAAGGACCAAACAGGATTCCTGCCAGGGAGGCAGATGAAAGACAATATAAGAAACATAATAAATATAATAGAATATCTGACTAATAAGAAAGATAAGCAAGCGATGTTGATATTTGTTGATGCGGAAAAGGCATTTGATAATATTTCTTGGGAATTTATGTTAAAGAATCTGGAATTTATGGAGATGGGTTATTCATTTGTGAATGGTGTAAAGGCAATATATTCTGAACAAAGAGCAAAATTAATTGTTAATAATGTACTGACAGATGATATTGCTATAACCAAGGGTACAAGACAAGGGTGTCCCTTATCACCATTGTTATTCATATCGGTCCTGGAAGTCTTGTTGAGAGGGTTAAGAAGTAATGATTTGATAAAAGGTGTGACAGTTGGTTGTAAGGAATATAAGGTAAAAGCCTTCGCTGATGATTTGGTTATAACAATAGAAGACCCTATTAAAAGTGTTAAGGAAGTGTTAGAAGAGAGAGAGCAATTCGGACAAGTTGCAGGATTTAAGTTAAATAAGAGTAAAACGAAAATAATGGTTAAAAATATGGACCAAGAGATAATAGAAAGAATTCAGCAACAAACAGATATGGAAGTGGTTAAGAAAGTTAAATATCTTGGGATTATATTAACTCCCAAGTGTATTGATCTTTTTCAAAATAATTATGTACCAGTCTGGAACAAGATTAGGAAGGACCTGGAAGTGTGGGGAAGAATGAAGTTGTCATTTTGGGGAAGAATTGCAACGGTAAAAATGAATGTGCTACCAAAAATGTTGTTTTTATTTCAATCAATACCAATAATTAAAGGTGTTACGATATTTAAAGAATGGCAAAGAGCATTATCAAGATATGTCTGGCAGGGCAAGAAGCCTAGAATAAAATTTAAGATTTTAACGGATGCAAAAGATAGAGGAGGCTTTGCCCTGCCAGACTTAAAGTTATATTTCGAGGCTGCATGTCTTTGCTGGGTGAAAGAATGGATAAAGTTGGAAAATTCAGAACTTTTGGATTTAGAAGGATACGATAATAGATTTGGTTGGCACGCATATTTATGGTATGAGGAAAAATGAGTGCATAAAGGTTTTGAAAATCACATTTTCCGAGGTCCCCTGATTGAAGTATGAAATAGGTACAAAAATTTATTAGAGTTTAAAACTCCATTCTGGCTGTCGCCATTGGAGGTAATGAGTGTTAAGAAGATCAATATGACGGGGAGTTGGATTACATATGAGAATTTAATTATAAAAGAAGGAAATAAATGGAAATTGAAGCCATACGATGAAGTTAAAGAATATGTGTTTGATTGGTTACACTACTTCCAAGTGAATGCGATGTTTAAAAAAGAGATGCTGGAAAGAGGTTTTCAAGATGAAAAATCTAGATTTCAAAAAGAAATTGTGAATAATGATGTTAAAATTTTATCAAAAATGTATAAATTATTACTTGAGTGGCATACTAAGGATGAAGAGGTTAAAGTTGCAATGATTCAGTGGGCCAAAGACTTTGGTTATAATATTCAATTTGATGATTGGATAAGATTGTGGAAAGAAGGAATGAAATTTACTGCATGTACTACAATAAAAGAAAATGTTATGAAAATGTTATATAGATGGTATGTTACACCAGTAAAACTTGGAAAGATGTATAAAGTGAGTAATAAATGTTGGAAATGTCAGGAGAAAGAAGGAACATTCTATCATATGTTGTGGGAATGTAAAAAAATGAAAGGTTTCTGGGAAATGATTTATAATGAATTGAAAAAAATGTTGAAATATACCTTTGTTAAAAAACCAGAAACTTTTCTGTTAGGAATACTAAGAAATGACATAAAAAAGAAGGATGAGAAGTTGTTTTTATATGCAGTAACAGCGGCAAGAATTTTGGTGGCACAAAAATGGAAACAGGAAGAAATCCCGACGAAAGAAGAATGGAGAATGAAGTTGATGGAATACGCAGAATTAGACAAGCTAACGGGGAGAATTCGGAACCGGCGAGACCAGAGATTTACCGAGGACTGGAATAAATTTACAGAGTATATTAAAAATATATGTGAAGGTCAATTAACGTTTGTAGGTTTTCAAGAAGCTCTGTGATGATAATGGAAAGAAATACTGTTTTATAATAATTGCTAAGATTAATTTGGTTAAAAAAACAAAACAAAACAATACCGATGCAAGAAATGTGAATAACTGTGAAAACATGAAAATTCCCAGATAGACTGAAGGAAGTCTGAAAGTGGAAAGATTAGAATTGGATGTATAATTCAAATGGAATGTTTTTCTTTTATTGTTATATTTGAAAATTTTATAAATATATTTTTTTTAAAAAAACACCCCTATAGCCTGTTCTCACTTTTTGCTCAGAGAGCAGAGGTTGTTTGGGCAGGGGTTCTGCATGTTTGGTGAGAAGGGACGAAATAATAAGCCACAATCCCACTCTCCTCCATGACTAGATGGAACATGAGAAAGGACCTATAGTTAAGGGGGTGGGGACAACTTACAACTTTGAACATGCCCAGTGAAATTGCATTTATTCATTATGATGCTACTAAGTCATTTTTAAGAAACCATTCTTTCACATGGAAAATGTTCTGCCCCACATCACTTCTAGTATACTAGGATGGGTGAGGAGGTAGTAGGAAGTGAAAGAGAGCAGATTTCCAGGAGGGAACACACTAAAATGCCAACTTGTCTTCTAGCAGTGGTGGCTGCCAATTGCTCCAAAACCCCAGCATTCATTTTCACTCCCACCCCACCAGTTGACTACCTGCATGCATATGACGGAGTAGCTGCATATGGCACCATTTTGAGAATATGTGAATTCTTTTCTGCTGGCTGTCAATTGCGAAGCCAAACTTCCAAATGTTACTAAACCAGGTTAACAAGTTGTATGATTATGAAACAAATGGGGCTAATTGCTTTCACGTTGTTATGCTGCTAGGGTGCATCTTTTAATTGTTTCAGTTGGACCTTGGGGAAGGGAGAAGTCTACAGCAGAAATCATTTTGAGAGAGCTACTGAAATTGAATTGCTCAATAATTACTGAGGCCTTTTAAAATTGCGTCTGACAATATTTTTTGACTGCAAAACCTTTCCCTACTCCTCCGATAGGAAAACACCTGCTAGGGAGGGAAATTTGAGACCAGTGTATATAAGCAAGGAGAACAGTAATCTTGTTCACGTGCTTTAGACTTGTTTTTTCTGTCTCAGTGAATATGGGAAATCTTTCATACCAGGAGTGTGAAAGCATTTTGCAACAATATTTTGTGCAGCAGACAAATAGTTGTACATATGACACTGCACAATAACACTGAATAGCCCCCACAACCCTGTTGGCTTTCTACCTGCATGCTTTTTGTTCTTGGTCTTCTACAGTTGTGAAGTTAGGATTTGTAAGATAAAGTGGGAAGGTTATCTGCCTTTGCCTACTGGCCCTATTGCTAAACCTGTGCAGGTGGCAGGTGCTTACCTTGCTTGTTTGCTTAACTGTTTACCTTAATGCTTTGTCACTGAGGCTGAGACTCTTGTCTGCTGGGATTCTGCTAATTCTTGTAGAACTGCCACCATCTCCCTCCCTCTGCCGACTTGTTTCTGTCTGCCATCTTTCTTTTCCCTTCCCTTCCCTTCCCTTCCCTTCCCTTCCCTTCCCTTCCCTTCCCTTCCCTTTCCTCTCCTCTCCATTTTGCTGCTACCTTCCTTTCAAACACCATTCAGTGCTCCAACTGGCCTATCTGGAAGTGGAGAAATGCAGTAGTAGGTGGTGGTGGCGGCAGCAGCTTACACCCTGCGAACTACTGAGTGCTGAGAAGTGGTGACAAAGAGTTGTGTGCTTGGCACCAGTGGTACCAAGAAAGGAAAGGGAGGTGCAAATTCAGTGTGTGGCGGTGGAGTGAGGGGCAGTCTTTTTGCAGTTGCAGGGAAGGGACCATTGACACACAGTCCCAATATTACAACCAAACTGTGGGTTGTCCGTAATCTTGCTGTAAAGGGCTTACATGGTCACTTATTTACTCTCCCCTTCCATCCTGCACTTCCTGGTTTCTGTCAACCACACTTTATCCTGACACCAGAATTGTTCAGACAATGGTTACCACAAACCATGGCTTCTGGTTCTATTTTTGAAGCATACTGTGAACCTTAATCTTCCCAATTCAGACATCATGTCAAGCTATTGTCATTGAAAATCAAGAAGCTTAGATGAGAGTTGGCATTGCCATTAGCTTGCTTTTCCCTCTTGTGTTCCCAATGGTGAAAACCTGTTTTCATTTGTGCCATGCTATTAAAACCAGAGTTGGTTAGAGCTCTTTAAAGAGAATGTGTGTGTTTTTAAATACTCGGTGATTTTCTCAAGATGGCATTGAGGTTTCTTGATCTTTAGATGTCTATAACCATGCTGTGCTGTTTAGTTATCACTGACAAGAGTTTCTGTTTGAAGCTCACTTGCTTAAACTAATCCACTTTAAGTTTGCAACTGTTCATTTTTCTTCCCTTCAGTGGACTGGTGTGTTTTTTTCATGCCACCAAGCCGTACTTTTGCAAAGCATTCTGTGGTTCAACATAGATGCACTTGTTCTGACAACTTGCTGCTTTCTCTTCTCCTATTCAAAAGTTGTTCTTGTCTTTCTTCTTTGGCATAAGTTCATTCACATCTTAAATACACTGGAATAGAATATGCATTTCCCATACACAGCTTATTGCAGTCATGCAGCACAGAAGATCTATAAATCAGAGCTGTTAACCAACCTATGCTTACATACTGTTTGTGTGTGAGGGAGCAGATGAGCAATGAATTTCACCACTTACTGGCTACAAGGCAGTTGCGTTGCTGGTACTAAATGTTTCATTATGAGGTGGGAAATTGAAACATGACTGTAGAGATGAACTTGTGATATTTAAGTTGAACTTCCTCCTCCTCCTCCTAGGGTTCTATGAAAAATCATTGACTTTGGGAACTGTTGCTGTAAAAATGACAGAGGGAAATCATTAATAAAACATTCATAATCTGTTAAACAGTATTAACAACAAAGGAACACAAAAAGCTAAACACTATTATGTGTAAAAGGTAAAGGACCCCTTGATGGTTAAGTCAAAGGCGACTATGGGGCTTTCAGGCCGAGGGAGCCGGAGTTTGTCCGCAGACAGCTTTCTGGGTCATGTGGCCAGCAGGACTAAACCACTTATGGTGCAACGGAACACCGTGATGGAAACCAGAGCACACGGAAATGCTGTTTACCTTCCCGCCGCAGCGGTACTATGTGTACGTTTTCTCTCTCTTTCTCTCTGTCTCACTCACACACACACACACTCCACCAATCATAATCTTTCACTCTATTCATCCCATTAAAATACATACCGCTCCTGATCCATTTATGAGCCTACTGTAGTGTTGACTAGTGTACCTTATACCTATTTTGACTTTGAACTCTACTTCTGAGGCCTTTAAGTACACCAGAGAGATAAGGTTATGCAGGTGGATTCTGGGGGAAAAGGCCTCTTCAAAAGGTGTGCCCTGACTGTAGACTGCTCAACTCAGAGAGGCTCACCTGGTGTCTTCATTGATGCCCTTCTTGCACTTAGCAAATACCTCTTTATTCCCTCAGGCCTTTTTTATTTATTTATTTAAGTATTTCTGCACTGTCAAATTATTAAATAGCAGGGTGCTGTACAATAATAAGCACCATTAAAAAAAATACAAATTGTTTAGTTTCTCACTGGCATATCCCTCTGTGATTTTAGACTTGATTTGCCTTTTCATTGCATTTCACACTTTGTTTTCTGATAGTTTGCTCCCCTGAGAACTTACTCAGATGTGGAATAGAAATGCAGTCAATCAGTTGCTAAAGTAGGTGGGATGTAAAGAGCTCTGTTCTGGGCCTCTGCACATACAGCCCCTTTGCTTTGCAAAAGACCACCTTGAAGCACTTGTAGAAACAGTCTCTGGCATACCACAAGGAACATTAATCAAAAGTGGAGAACAGAAGCTTTCTTATACATGCACCAGAGCATTTGAACCCTTCCTTAGAATTTTTTGTATCCTGTCCTATATGTTTTAAAACAAATCTGACTCTGATTTACATAGGCTGCTTGCCAACTCCTGTTGCAAGGTAGGCTTGCATAATTATTGCAACAAGTATATCTGATCTACCTTTACACAGACATAGCACTGTGACACAGATGTCACCATGGTGGTGCCCACAGAGGCATATGCTTCTGTGCACAGAGTCTCCCCGCCCTCACTGAAATTAAACACAAAAGAAGCATTCTGATAGTTTCCCTGGTTTGCAGTTGTGTCCATGACCCAAAAAGGTCGGGAGCCTTTATGGACAGGAAGGAGTTCACTTATTCCAAAAACTTCATCTGAACTCTAGTCCAGAACTTCTGCCTCGTGCTGCCTTAGAGTTAAAATACTTCTGCACCTCTTACGACCCTGACAATCATTTTACAATGTATGTATAAACCAGCTGGTTCTCATTTTTAGAATTCAAGGAGTGCTGTAAAATGACATTTTATTCATAGCTTACTTGGAATAAAACATGTCAGTTCCAAGACAAAAGCAAATTAAGACTTCTATGCATTTCTTAACATTTCATAAAGCAGGTGTCTCTGGGATTTTTGTTTTTATTGCATGCTGCAATACTAAATAATTGAATAATTTTGTAATTCTCACCTGTTCTTACTAGGCAGTTTCCACATGATCAAAAACATCTCTACAATTTAACAAAAGTACAAAATCAGAATTTGACACAACCATTTAGGATAGAGAGAATGCACAGTGATTAACCATCACCACCACATTAGAACATCTCCATGGCAACCCAAGATAAAATATGCAAACTGCATTTAGTTTGTTGATAACTTATTTACATCTAAATGAAAGATGAACACCTAAGATTTTGACTTTTGTGGTGTGCATATTATAGGACTGTGAACAGTTTCTTTTACTCTGAAATGCCAGTATCCGTAATACATTTATTTTTCAACCAAGGTGCTAAGATCTTTGAGGTTTCAGTATTACTGTTTGTATTGTGCTACTTGATACTTATATATAGTACTTGATAATTGACATGTTGGTGTGTTTGCACTTGAAAAAAACCTGTTGCTTAAGGGCCAAAGTAGACATTACACACAGATGTGAGTAACATCTCTTTAGGAACCTAAAAAATCAAATCAAAAATTTTGAGAGATAGTGAGTAATCTTTTCCCTAGGGCTGTTCTTTATTATCCAAATATGCCACCCTCCAAACCCATTTCTCTCTCCCCCGCCCCCCCCCCGGAGACTTATATTTGAAACTTGCTGGCTGTAGTACTACTCTGAATTGAGAAACAACTACTGGGGAGAGGGAAGTAGACACACCACCTGTTTCTCCTCCTGAACACCCTGTCCTGAAGCCGCTGCTGAATAGCCAGCAGGGTAACCTTAAAGAAACCCATGCATTTGGCCATAAAATGCAGCCAAATTGGAATCATTCTAATTTCAAAGAGGAAAAATAATATTGGACAGTTAGAGTGGCTAACCATTGAGTCTGACTTGATACTACATTAAGGACCGGATTTAGACATTGCCCTAGTTTGCATGGAACACTAAACTCTGGATGGGGTGAGTTTCCTCATAGGAACCTTCTCGCATGCTGGCAGTGGGTGGGAATAGAGACAGAAATGGGTGGGCGAGAGGCAAAACAGTCAATGGAGCAGCAGCTGTCGTTCTTACCTTTGAATTATGGGCCACATTCCAGCCTTGCAAAACCCAGAGGTTTCCCCACATGCAGATCTCTCTTTCCGTCCAGGCAAGCAAAAGGGATGATCATATTCTGGGCAGGCAAAAGCACTTGAGGAAGTGAAGCAGTGCCAGTGAGGTGAGCTTGTATTGAGGTGAGCTTGCATTAGAGCCCTGGGCCTGAGGCTCCCCACCCCAGCACTAAACCATTGCTTAGTGTAGGCTTGGCATTAATATCTTTTTCAGCCTAAGGGCCATAGTGAAAGCTGCTCACTTATGGCATGGGCATGACAAACATGGATAGTTTGTGTCTGCATACACAACATTTTCAACCCCACAATAGGCTAGGAATGCGGGTTGAGATAAACAAAGGGAAGTAAAATCAGGATAGTCTTAGTGCCTTTTCTCCCTCTGGCACAGTACCTTTGCAAGGAAGTCTTCGTGCTCTTTCCTATTTCTCAGGTCTCCAAAATCACCTTCCAATGACAAGACAAGGCTTTCCTACCCCTGATTTTGGTCGAAGGTTGGTAGGCCATAAAGGTGGTTCTGTGGATCAGAACCAGGCCAAGGTTTCGTGCTACATGCATGAGGTGGAACAAACCCAAGTGAAGCATTGGGCTTCATTTCCTCCTTACCCATTTTACAGGGAGAGCTTTGCAAGGCCCCATCCCCACTTTCCTCTAATCTCTGCTTGTTGCATATAAGCAAAATATTGCAGTTTATCACATATACTGGTTAGTTCAAAATAAGCTAGCTTTACATGGCGAGTTAAGAAGCTGACTTGTTAAACTAAGCAGAACTTTCCGTAAACTACAGTTTCTATTTCGTACACAAGGACAAGCTAAGATGAGGGGAAAGTGAAAGAAAATGCTGGCAAAATCCGTCTCCTGGCTGTACAAGATAGGGGAACGCATGAGCCTGAGGCTTTGTTTAGGCTCATTGCAGCTTGTGCGCATAGCACTAAAGAACGGTTTAGCATCACACGCAAGCACTTCCAGTGAGTTACTATGTCCTTTATAGGAAGCACCTACTGTTTTGAATGACCTAGAGAATGTCAGGTTTTTGTGCTGATTTGTCAAGTAAGTACAATCATAGGGTTAATCATCAGAGAAGAGAGAAATCTGCTGTAATACCTTTTTTGTTTAACAAAATGTTGCACCAAACCAAAGAATGGAAATCTTTATGCATTCATGTAGCACAATTGCATGGTGTGCAGTGCTGAATTGCCATCTGAAGAGCTTAGTCAAAAGATGGAAGTTGACACAATAGATAATAAACAGTGGTGGTATGTGTACTGAATGAATGCCTTTTGGATGATGCTAGCAATCTCCATCTCCACTTATCTGAAGTCATGCAGATCTTTGGCAACAAGTCTCAGTGGCTTGAAATTGTGTTTAAGGAGCATCAGAATTTTGATTTAATCTCTGCTTTAAACACATAAGGGTGCAGAAGAATATAAAGCAGGCAATAAGGGAGAAAATCTTTGTTTTGAGGGTGTCACCTGAAGCCTGAAAGAGGAATTGAATCATTGCTTTGTGAATGTGTATGGAGCCTAAAATTGGCCCAGCCTAAGACGAGTAAATGGGGTATGCAGAGAGCAGGTTGGGATAACCCTTGAAAGATTCTGAATTGATGTGTCTAATGAATGTATTTGGACTTTTCTATCCACTGCATAGCCTTTGTTGCATATAACCACAATCAATAGCCCTTTGTGTTGATGAAAAGTGGCATATAAATGCTGGTATGAATAAAATGAATACTACCAGTATATCTTAATGATAGAACTTCTTGTTCTGTAAATATTGGCCATTTATTGTTCAAAATCACTCTGAAACATCAAGATACCCTGAGGCATTTTTGATAGGCCCCTTGGCAATTTTGCTTTGAGGTTGTGCAAGGATCCATCTTAACCTCCGTGTTGTTAAATACCTATATGAAACTGCTGGGGAACATCATTTGGGAAACAATGTCAACAATATGCAGATTATTCCCAGCTGTCTTTCTATTCCACCTGAAATCAGGTGATGTTGTGAAGATGCCAGACCAGAGTCTGGTGACACTAATGAGCTGTATGCGGGCCAGTAAATTGAGCTGAGCCTTTGCCCATATAGTTCTCAACAGATTACAGTCAATTGCTTACAAGTCTTTCCCAAGTCACAGTGTACCTTTAGAGCTCAGAGGTCAACAGTGAACATGATTTTTTCACTGCATCAACTGCAGGAGAAGTGCCGAGAGCAGAGACGCCCCTTGTACATCACCTTCATAGGCAAAGGCCTTTGATCTCTTCAGCTGAAAAGGACTCTTCACACTGCTCAGCAAGATAGGTGGCTCACCTAAGATTGTTTTCTTCCACAAGAAAGTGCACAGCACTGTCCAATATGGCGGCTCATCCCCCTGGGATGATGGTCAAAGAGTGTTCTGCCCTAGCCGTACAGACCCAGGGCAATTCAAAAAACTGAAGGAGAGCAGGACTTTGTGTTTGGGGCAGTAATTTACCATTAAAAACAGCAACACCCTCAGTTGGTTCCTCTGGGTGCATAAATAAGAAAACTGACTTGCAGTGTGATTTTTCAAGGATTTGTGTTTGCTAAATTGTGTCAGTTATTAATATAAATATTGGCATAATCATTTATTAACTCTGACTGCTTCCCACCACAACTTCTAATTGTTGCTTAATACATTGCCCCTCTGTTCATTTGAGAATGTGAAAGCAATTTTTACACCTTGGCTTAAGATACAGTTTTTGCTTAAGCTGGGGTGATAGGCTTAGAGATTTGGGGGCAATGATGTGGAAGGGTTTTTTTGTTGTTGTGTGGTCTTCTGAAGTTTAGATAGTTACATTTGTCCCAAATAAAACTTAGCTGAATATTTGAAAATCCACAGTTGATACCAATAGTGACGGGTAATTTTGTGCTTGCTTTCAGTGTCACAAAATAGAACAAACTGTCACTTCTCCTGTAATTATACATAGTAAGCAAAGAATACTCAATATAATGAAATGAAATGCAGTGGGTACCCATGAGTAGTAACTAGGGCTGCCACATTTCACAGATCCTGAATCCTCCACCTTTTGAAGCAGAAATAAAGTTGGCGATTCTCACAACTTTGTCGGCCTTCTCCGGCTGCTGGGAATTGTAATCCAAAACACCTGGAGGATGCAAGGTGATAGAAGGATGCTTTATGTCCATGCTAGGAAAAAATGGACTGCTTAACAGCAGTCTGACATATAGATGATAAATAGGTGAAACTTTTTCCTGTTACCTTGTATATTTGTCGGAAAAAGCCTAATCTGAATTGTGTGTCAGGTTGCTACAGGAACAGAAGCAGACCTAAGGAAAAAGGTGGGGCAGCCTAAGGAGTACCTGAATTTAAGTCACCATGTATCTTTCACCTTGGTATAAAAGGTTTATCTAGGACTCTCAAAACAGTATTTTCGTTTGCTGCACATTAGCATTGGCTACATCTTACTCTGGTTTTGTTTTGGGTAGTGCAGGTGGGGAAGAGAAAATTGAACCATAGCGGATGCTGTTGCCACTTAGCTGTGAATAGATTGATGTTGGTATTTGGTAATCCTACCAGCAATATTAGAAGAGCAGAGATTTGGATTGTGGTAAACCGTAATATTTGGTAAATTGTCATATAATTCACGAAATTTTATTCAATAAAATGTTGTGATAGTCTCCAGTCTAAATGGTAGATTTGTAGAGAATGTTAACCACGATAGCTAAATTAAACCGCCATGTTCAAAGGAAGTATGCCAAAATACCAGGGATTGGGGATAAACATCAGTAGAAGTTTGTTTGCTTCATACCATACTTGCAGATTTCCTGGAAGAGTATGTTGGAAATGGGGTGTGGATTAGATAGATCCCTATGCAAAATCATATTTTGTCATAAGCATAAGAGATCGACTTCAGTATCTCTTGCCAAGAAAAAATGGGCACATAAAATGCAATGTGTGTATGTGTTTCTGGGCTTGCTTGGCTCTAATTTGATGCTAAATCGGTTTCTGATGACTGTCCTATACCAGTATGTCATGCAGAAACATCTTCACACTGAGTATCTGTCTTGCAGAGAATAGTTTAGCAATGGTATTAATGTGTTCCTCCAGCATGGTAAGAATAATGAATGAAAAATATTACGGCTCCCAAGATGTTTAAGAGCAAAGACCATCAGTCCTTTTCTCCTCCCGTCTAATAAAAAAAGCCATTGTTCAGAGGCCCATTTAGACAGGTGAGAAATGTATCCTTCAGAGCATTAAAAACCAAGAGTTAGTTAAAGGATAGTTAATGTATTTGCTTCCTCTGTTTTACTTATAGGGTGCTCTTTATGTTTGTAACAAACCCTTTAAAAATTGCTTGCCCTCAGGTCCAATGGTTAGCCCTCTGACTTGCACAGTCTCTTAAATTTAGTGGACTCTTATTAAATATGTTAGTGCTGTAATATGAAATGGCAAAGAGGTCATATTTAATTCAGTGCTTTTGGAAACGGTATCTGAAGCATTTAGACATAATAAAATGTTCAGTGCTTTTATTCCAACTCTTTTAAGTACTGAGGCTGGATGTGAGGATGCACGGTAGTATAACTTGAAGAGTCACTTAGTGTGAGTGGAAGCACAGAGCACCTTTCAGATACAACCTCCTAACAAAGTTAGGAACTGCTTCAGATTGCGAAGAAGAGTTCACATTGTGCAGTGGTGGCGAACTTATGGCATGCGTGCCAGAGAGGGCACTCAGAGCCTTCTCTGTGGGCGCATGCGCCGTTGCTCCATCCGGGCCGTAGCTTCCGTGCCGGGGGTGGGGGAGGAGGAGGAGAGGAGGGCTCACGCGCGCCATCCAAAGTCTGCGGCACCAGGGCCTGGCGAGCGAAAGAGGGGCTGAGCAAGCATTGACTTTTGATGCGCCAGGGCCTCCCGCCAGTCTGTTTTTCCTACTCGGGAGTAAGCCGCCTGGAGTTCAGCAGGGCTCAACTCCTAGGTCAGTAAGCATATAAAGACGGCAGCCTGAGAAAGGGCTTCTGGGTTTACATGTTCGCTGGGCTTTCCCGTGGAAGCCAACAGACAAATTCATTCCGTGGAGGCTGCGATCAAACGGCAGCCGTAGAAATGGCTAATAATAATAATAATAATAATAATAAATACCCTGCCCATCTGGTTGGGTTTATTTATTTATATTTATTTGTATGTGTGCATGCAGACTATCGTGATTATCTCACATTAAAAATTGGGAGAGGGTGGCTCTTAGTACAGCCCTCCAGTGTGCTAGTGGCCAAAATTGTGGAACCTTCTGGAAAAAACGTATTTGCGAGGTTTGATGGGTCATAACACCACTTTGTTTTGGAGTAATACCAGTGCTTTTCTTCTGTGGGGACGCATACCCCTAAACATTTTGTGAATTTAATGGGAGAAGAAATTCACTGTATTTATTTTTCCCGATTTGAACTGTATTTATTTCCCCTCGGTGGTGATTTTCTTGAGTCAATATGAGAATGCCATTAAACATTTTTTTTTAGAAAAATAGCACTGAGTTATACCATAAAATTATATATCAGTGGGAAGATAATTTAATGAAGAATGTAATGCAATAACTTTTATGAAGGATTATTTATTACAACAGCAGCCATAAAGAAGAAATGTGAAACACACAGAAAAAATGAGATATAAAGGTTAAATTGCCGTGTTGGCACTTTGTGATAAATAAGTGAGTTTGGGGTTGCAGTTTAGGCACTCGGTCTCTAAAAGGTTCGCCATTACTGATATAGTGTAATTGGTATTGTTACCTTGAAAGCCATGTTTCCAGTCCACATGAAAACAGAAAATTAGAGTTTACAATAAATCTGGGTGAAGTTTCCAGTAGTTAGAATGAAACCTCTGTGCACAAATTGGAGGGAAAGGCAAGTGCACATAAAACAAATATTGTTCCCAAGCCATTTGGAATTCAGTTTTCTCCTATAAAGGAGGTAGAAAATAAACTCATTTGCTTACCTTATGCTGCCTCAAGGGAAAACCTAAGGCTGCAATCCCAACAATACTAAGTACCATTGAATAGGACTTCTGAGTAGACATAGTTAGTCACAGTTCTTCTAATATATTTGCCAACTGCTTGCTCCCAATATCAGAGCCTATAAAGTCTACTTGTGATTAAGTTCCTAATACATTATATTTAAGATCTTAGTTTAAATCACCAAAGGCAGCAAAGATTGCTATTGCTGCACCAGGTGTTGGGTCTTTGACCTCAAGACCACTCTCTCCCAACCACAGAGAGGTAGGTCAGCAGCCTCCCAGCTGTTCTTCCCACTGCCTTAGGATTGTTCTCAGGATGTCCAAATTAATACTATGTAGCTTAAGCATTTAATTTACTTGTCAGCTGTATAATTTGTACTAAAAGGTATTAAGGACTCTATTGCCACAACTGTCTCTTAAGAGCAGGGGTCATATGGAAAAATACACCTTCCACAATTCAGTTAGTTCCATTGTTGACCCTACTAGAATAATACATATTAACATTGCTCTTGTAATCTTTAAGCATCTTCATGATGGACAATAAAGATGAAACTAGATGTTGGGCTTGACAAAGATTGCAGAAACCTTGTGTTGAATTGTTGCATCTCTCTCTAATGCTCAGGCACATTTACTTATGACATGTCACCATGCACTAGTTATTTAAAATATTTGTATCCCACTCTTCAGCCAAAAATGATTCCAGAATGACTTACAAGATCAATAAAAAACAATGCAGCCCCTGCTCTGGGGCTTATAATCTAAGGTATGATGCAAAAGGAAAAAGGAACGTGAGTGGAGGATGCAAATGTTTTAAAAGTTGAGTGTTGTAATGACCCAGCTAGAATGGAAACAGTTTGGTGAGAGGAGGAGCTGGTCTTTCAACACAGCCGATCGTGTGGCCTTGCTTTCCATTTCCCCCTCTTCTACAGCCTGATAGAATGGCTGCTGCTATGGCATAGTTGAGAATCCAAAAGACAGCTAGTTCCTCTTAGCAGAGCCAATGGCTCTTCTCTTTTACTTTTCTTCTTCCCTCTGCTGCAGCCTGTTGGAATGTGAGCTTCTCTGCAGATTCATTCATGGCAGCCAGTGGTGTGCATCATGTGCAAATTCATAATGTGATGACATAATGTAATGGGTAAGAGAGATTCAATTTATGAGGAGAAGTTGGAGAGCTTAACATGGAGCTGCTATTTTATTGTGCCAGTGCCACACTGAACATTAAGTCTTTTTCTACCATATGTTTTGGGTATTCCTACTGCATTGACTTGCGTAACTGTCCCACCAGTGCAAGGGTTAATGCTTGTGCAACAAGACTTTTCTCCCATCTTCTCTCCCTAGGTGTTCCCTGCATCCTCCCCAAATGTACTCGTGAGGGTTGGGGGAATCCCCAGAACAGATTTAGGGGCACATGGTTCAGGTCCTGTGGGGGCCTGGTACAAATTGGCCTAAACGGAAGATGCAGAATTATCCTTTCAACAAGCTGGTAAAATAGATTAGACTGATTGAGTGACCTATCTGGGGTACCTGATGAACCTCATAGCCTTCAAAACCAGAAGCGCTATGTCATTGCACTACTCTTCTGTGATAATGGATAATGACTCTGATGACCAGAGATGAAGCAGCAATGCATTTCATGTAGAGCGTGAAGCTTATTGGCACACCACTTAATACAGTGGAGTTACAGATTCTTGGAGCATTTTGCTTCAAACAAGGATGGCCACCTGCCAGCAGTTTCATGTCATCCGAATCTTGTACTAAGGTGTTAATATACAGTAAAACCTTTGGTCCACTATGTTTACTTGTAAGGGAACTTCTTGTTAAGGAATTGAGATATCCATACTCAGTTGCAACTTCTTTGAATTTTTGAGTGTGCTGCCAATGTGCATGTTACTGTGTAATGCTTTCCATGAATGCATGTGCTGTCCGACTGGGAAGCCTAGGTGGTGCCAACTTTTGATAGACTGTGTCCATTTCTGAAGAGGTCAGTACATGAGTGACTAGATATATTTTGGCCTCCTGATGACTCTCGACTATACAACTCTCGACTATACAAAAAAATTGCTGTTCCTTTAGTACATGATTTCCAAATGGTCTACTTAAAGTTAGTTTCTAAACTCTCTCTGGGTTTTAATCCTGCATTGTTGCCACAGTTGCTACAAACATCAGACTTGTTCTATTGTAGAGCACACTAGAGTACCGTTATATTCATTGCTAATCTTATTTTCAATCTTTTTGCAGGCTGCTGACTTGAGTAAACCAATAGATAAAAGGATATACAAAGGAACACAACCAACGTGTCATGACTTCAATCATTTAACAGCCACGGCAGAAAGTGTTTCTCTACTAGTGGGCTTCTCTGCAGGCCAGGTGCAACTTATAGATCCTATTAAAAAAGAAACTAGCAAATTATTTAATGAGGAAGTAAGTGGATACCGTAATCTTGGTGCATGCAAACGTTTATTTTCTTTTATGGGCTCTCCATATGCATGTTTGTTTTTCCATTTGAAAATAGTCACCTTGGAGGGATACTAGGGGAAGCCTTTGAAAGTGGGAAAGCACATTTATATCACATTCTGTGAGAGGGACTGTATCACAGTAATGCACTATGGAAGAGGTGGTGGTTTTTCTCACACCCTCAGTTTATCACCATTTGCTTATTGTCAGAAGACTGGAGTACTGTATGGGATATAGCAGTGAACTTAGACTGTGGGCAGCGTTACATCTGTATCATCTCCTAATCCAAGGGTGGCTAATCCTCAGGTTGGGGGATTGATCTGACTCCCAAAGGCCCAACAATTTTACCTGTGGCAGCAAAAAATTAAAATAAAGCAGACACAGTGCTGAAATGGGTAGACTCTACCATTCTGTGATTGCATGAATGCTCTAGACCTATTTCAGTTAATATTAATGCTTAAAAGTTTGCATATTTGCAGAACATAAATTTATTAGTTCTTGGTTTACCTTCGAGCTTGGACAGCTACATCCGAAGAGCTCCTTCAGGCGAGTTGCACTCAGTGGTTTCTTAAGCTTGAACAGCTTATTGCTTTGGAGCTTTCCTCAATTTCAAGTATTTTACCATGCAATGAAACTGGAACACATACATACCAGCCTTTGCATGCCCAAGACAGTTTTGGAACCATGAAACTTTTTGGGACCATGAAAGTGATTTTTGGATTGCTAAGTAAATATTCTAGAGGGGTGGTTAATTCATAATTTAAGACAACTATGCCCAAACACCTCCACCTGTTCTCCTTTTGCATATAAGGCAAGATCACAGAATTGTAGAGTTGGAAGGGACCACGAAGGTCGTCTTGGCCAACTCCCTGCAACGCAGGAGTCTTTTGCCCAACATGGGGCTCGAACCCATGACTCTCAGATTAAGAGTCTCATGCTCTACTGATTTAGCTATCCCAGATCATCAGCTCTCCAAAGATGGATCAGCACAATTTGGACAAAATGTGCTGCAACTTGCTTTAGGTATAGTTTATCGTTCATTGCCGTGGTTTGTAAAGAAAATATAACACTGTGAGAGCAGTTGTAAGTCACAAACCTTGTTCCACAATTTTATACTGGCTTTAATGCGTTGTTACTGATGATGATAGATAATAATAATAATAAAAAAATCTGGTGCAACTTGAAAGAAGCATTTTTTTGTTTTAACTTGTTGAGGATCAGTATACCATATGATGGTGAGATGTTTGGCTGCCAGATTTTTAAAGTAGAGAGATCTGTAATTTAATTTGAATACAAATCCTACTTTAAAATGAGTCTCTAAAATCTGATGCTAAAAGGTCTTGCCTTCTATCCACCCATAAATATGCTCAGCAGTTTGCTATAGCAACTCAGGTAGTTGCAAACACATTCAAAACACATTTCTGCATTTCTAGCACCTGTGTCAGTAAAATCGTTACCTCGAAGTCTAACATTGATTATGACTCAGTCGAATTATTCTAGAAGGTGGATCCTTGAGTATCCCTGAATATAAACTGGGTTGGGGTTTTTTTGGGTCCTGTTCTCTTGAATGTCAGCCAGACCTATAAAACCTTCTTTTGTTTCATTGGCTGAAAATGTTTCACTTTTCGGGGGTTCAGGAGGCATATTCCTGAAAGTGGTCACCTTAGTACAGAATATGGTGGACTTTGAGCTGGGCATGTTTTTTTCTTTGAAGTTTGCTGAGACAAGAGTAGTAAAGAACTCTGCATCTCACTATAAATTTGCTAGCTTGGATCCTATGATAAGTTGACTTAAGGATGCTTACAGGAGACTTTCTCATCTTCTCCTGCTACCGCCCACATGAGAAAAAACTCTCCAGAACAATGTGAGATGGGGAAATGTGTGTTGGGGGGTGGCATCTTCTGTGGGGAGGAGTAATTGCCAAAAATTGGGCTTAGATCCCAGTATAAGCTTTAATGTAAGGGATTTCACAAAAGGAAAGTGCCCTGTTCTCTTCTTTATTATTAATATTACCATCTTTCTCTCCCCCGCCCTCACGCCAGGGAAATGCAAACCTTCTTTGCTTGTACTGACTCCAGATTATCAGGGATCCATTAGCCCCCATACCTCAACCCACCCTATTCAGCAGGTTCCCCTGAAGCACAGAGAGGAAATCAGCTTTTGCCAGCCTCCTTCCATGGACTCTTCTCTAGACCATCCCAGCATTTTCTAGCTACAGCTGCTCATTTAACATATTGTGCATTGTACACAATTTGTCATGTTGATGTATATCCTATATTGAACAAGACAGGGCAAGAACTCTAGGATGAGGTTTTCACATTTCATAATTTGATTATTATTTTTTCTATAGTCTCCAGGGATTATTGAAATTATAGTGTTTTCCCTCAGTGAGCAGCCTTTACATCACTGTACTTGTGAAAAAGTATTGTATCATAAATTTTGGTTAAATAAATAAAATAAGTTGTGTCCCAGTTGAAGACATACTACAGTATTCCAGAGAGGGAAGGACATTTAGTTTTATAGCTGGTTACAAAAAAAACCCCTGGTATTACTGTTATTTGCTTCTTCCCTTTTTTGTTGTGATGCTTGAATGGCTTAGGTTGGCAGAATAATGATAAAACCCACAGAAGTGCCATTACTATCACTTAAAGATAATGAACCCACAGGCCAAATTGCATTGGTTGTTCATAGAAGCCCAGCACAGGTAATTGGAAGGTGGAATCCGCAACTGAAAATCTCTTCCATCTATCGTAACTAATTACCTTGAATGTCTAGACATCTTCTACACAAAAGCAATGCAGTATTTGTTAAGTGGCTCAAAGATTTTAACTTGCCCAGATACTAGATCTCTCCTCCCCATCCTAGGTCCAGACTGTCAAAGTATTTTTTAAGTTGAGCATACTTTGCAATTGCCATTATTTTTGTTCTGCTTCCTTCTTATTTTCACTTCAGTACGGTAGAGCTATAATACTTAAAGTGGTCCCATTATTCCACTAAATTACTTCTTCTATTTTGGATCCTTAAAGCCAGGTTCCTTTTTCCAAGGACAAATTAAGTGGTTGTCTTTTCAGGCCCCCCCCCCCCCAATCTATGTCAGATTCAGATTTGATGAGTAAGTTCTTCCCAGAATGTACACAGCCTGACTTTTTTTTTTCCATTGAACTGTGTTAAGGGAGGCTTGCCACAAATCATGCTGACCATTGTAATGTTACTCCAGATCTACACGGGGTAAGAAAAGCACACAGTAGCTTAGAACTGAAGTAGTCATAAGCTTGTTTTCTGCAAGTAGAATAACTTTGCGTATTAAATGCCGACTGGCAGAAAGTTAATTACCTTGTTAAATGAAAAATCAAGATGACTCTGATGTGTACCTTCTTTCCTTTGTTTTCCAGAGACTAATAGACAAGTCCAGAGTAACTTGTGTAAAATGGGTTCCTGGTTCAGAAAGCCTCTTCCTAGTAGCGCATTCCAGTGGCAATATGTACTTGTATAACGTGGAACACAATTGTGGTACCACAGCCCCACACTATCAGCTACTCAAACAAGGAGAAAGTTTTGCAGTCCATACATGCAAGAGCAAATCTACACGAAACCCTTTGCTTAAATGGACAGTAGGCGAGGGGGCCCTGAACGAATTTGCTTTTTCCCCAGATGGGAAATTCTTGGCATGTGTAAGCCAGGATGGCTTTCTTCGTGTATTTAACTTTGATTCTGTGGAGTTGCACGGTACAATGAAAAGCTACTTTGGAGGGCTGCTGTGCGCATGTTGGAGCCCCGATGGCAAATACATCGTGACAGGCGGAGAAGACGACTTAGTGACTGTCTGGTCTTTTGTGGACTGCCGAGTGATAGCTAGAGGCCACGGACACAAATCCTGGGTCAGCGTCGTGGCCTTTGATCCGTATACCACTAGCGTAGAAGAAAGTGACCCAATGGAATTCAGCGGCAGCGACGAGGACTTCCAAGACCTTCTTCATTTTGGAAGGGATCGAGCAAACAGCACGCAGTCTAGGCTATCTAAAAGGAACTCTACGGACAGTCGTCCAGTAAGTGTCACATATAGGTTTGGTTCAGTGGGCCAGGACACGCAGCTATGCTTATGGGACCTAACAGAAGATATCCTCTTCCCACACCAACCCCTCTCGAGAGCAAGGACACACACAAATGTCATGAATGCAACCAGCCCACCTGCAGGAAGCGGTGGAGCTAATCCAGGCAGTAATGGGAACAGCATCACAACACCTGGGAACTCTGTGCCCCCTCCTCTTCCACGGTCCAATAGCCTTCCACATTCTGCCGTCTCCAATTCTGGCAGTAAAAGCAGTGTCATGGACGGCGCCATTGCCTCTGGCGTTAGTAAGTTTGCAACCTTATCACTACATGATCGGAAGGAGAGACACCACGAAAAAGACCACAAGCGAAACCATAGTATGGGACATATATCTAGTAAGAGCAGTGACAAACTGAACCTAGTTACTAAAACCAAAACGGACCCAGCAAAAACTTTGGGAACGCCCCTGTGTCCCAGAATGGAGGAAGTTCCTTTGTTAGAGCCTCTTATCTGTAAAAAGATAGCACACGAAAGACTGACTGTGTTAATTTTTCTTGAAGACTGTATAGTCACTGCTTGTCAGGAGGGATTTATTTGCACATGGGCAAGGCCTGGTAAAGTGGTAAGTTTTAACCCTTAATGCTGCATCAAAGAAGTAGAACTTGAATAGGTAGTTTTTCTCAAAACATAACTGAATGTTGAATATAAAATTTCTTTATGCTTAATGTAAAAAAGAAAAAAAGAAAAGATTATTTCCTCAGAGCCATACTTTTGGATACTGCATGCCATATTTCTGAACGATTTGAAGTGTCTGGCCCAGGTAAAGTTCTTTTGAAATACAGTTGCCTTCCATCTGGAGAAGTATTGTGTATCCAAAGTGTCCGTGATAGTTTTCCTATATTTTCAAAAGCTATTTTTGTATAACATGATTCAGACAAATCTAAAAAAAAATCAACTAGTGAGGGTAGAATTGTAAGGGCATTCAGGATATCGGATTGGTTGCAGCTTGGGTAAGCTGTGGCTTTGCATAACATGCATTCTGGGTAAATTGAAGTTGGAACACTTATTCTGACAGGAATCCATAAAGCAGGGTCTGTTCTCACTTTTTTTTTTCTTTCCAAAAGTTAGTCTCTTCCTCCTTCGGTGATCATCTCAAGAGCAGTTTTTAGTGTCGCCATTTAAAATTTGAATAAACTTGGTATTAAATATACGTTGTAATATCCTGATCTTTAATATCAATCTTCTCCAAATATGTAAGGTCACTTTTTTAAAAAAGGCTTCCTAGTGAATTGTATCCCTTACTCATTTCTACCCCCTAATCACTTTACAGAACGTTTGTGTTAAAGGTATTTTTAATTCATGCATTTTTTTCATTAAATCCACAGCCTTAAAATGTGGCACTAGTGATGTCTTCTTTCATGTTAAGAAACTGAAATTATCTATTTAATATTTAGTACTTTCTACTGATAAAAATTATTTTGCCTTCAAATACTCATGGGCAATTTGCAGGCTATGGCCAAGCTCCAAGACTTTTGAGGTGGCTTTTGGGCATGCAGTTTGGTTGACTTTGGCTTGCTCTTCTCAGAGGGGGCTCCCCAAAAGCAACCAATAAGGGTTGGGGGGATCCTTTAATTCAGAACCCAACACTGTGTGAGAGGTTAGAGCTGCAAGCAAAGACTTGGGAAGCCCAGTGTGTGCATTGGAATGCACACATGGGTTCTCCTGATCTTTGCCTATGATGGATAAACCAGCAAAAGACCCTAAATGGCAGCTGGTTATCTTCTGGAGATCTTCCTGAAGGTTCCTAAACTTGGTTCCTAAATCTTCCAAAACTTGGAAAGTGTTGTTGAGAGTTTCTGAAGTGCATCTGTTTTACAAAATTAACACTCTTCCAGTAGACATTAATGCCCATTTTGACTGTAAGGATTCACAGCTTCTCTAAAATATGTAATAATTAGATATATTAAGTGAAATCTTATCAAACATGTTCTGGTATGTAATGTCACCTGTATGCCTTATCTTGGATAGACAATCTGGAAAAATATGGCATTGCTTTTCGTGTGGGGGGAAAAGCAAATGGTAAGGATAAAGGACAAAACTGTCTATGTTCCCAAGTGCTAAAATCATGGAAATGTGTGTATTTCTGTGCCAGGGGCCAAACAGTTTTGAAGGTAATTTTGCAGATGTACATTGCTGAGCTATCCAGCATTGCTGGTAGCTATCCAAGCCCCTCTGCTTACTATATTCTAAAGTAACTTAACATTCACCCTTTGGCTACTTGCATTTCTATTAAGTAAAAATTCTGCAAATAAGTTGTGTTTAATCGGTAAAGGTCGTAACTTGCACGCAAATGACAATTTGATTTGGAGCACATTTCAAATATTTCAGAGATAAGTATGCAGTACCAAAAGCTAGGATTTCTCTATTTGGCCAATGCGGAAATCTTTAATTAAAGGTAAGTTTCATACTGATGTTGTTCACTAGGTCTTTGAAAACTAATATCACACACTGATGTAAATGCCATATTGCTTAGGATGTGTTTATTTAGAATGGGTTTCAGATTATTATTATGCTTTATTTTTGCAGTCGGTGAGCTCACTCAGCTGGCCTAAATTAGCAAGTTAGGTGATATGTTTACATGGCTCTGGCCAAGAAAGTCTTTGTTCCAGAAAGGTGTTAATAAGCACCATTTTCGTTCTATAGGAGAGCACTTACTAAACTTTATACTTATTTAATGAGTCTTCAGAAACACTCATGGTAACATATTTCTTTCCCTTGGGTTATACACTGCATATGTTAGTCTTGCCTATAGTTTAGTTCCGTAGCTTTTAAAGAGTTTAAAGCTGCTACCTTCCCGCGTTGACATTTCTCCCCCAGGCTCCTCAAAAAGTACTTCCATTGCCCTTTTCCTCTGCTGAATTTGTTTCCCACCCACCCTTTGGCAGAGGATCTCAGTTGGAAAGAAGGGCCACAAACTTCCAGTTTGAGGAGCAAATGGGCCAGAAGACTCAACCAGTTGCGCAGTCTGAAACCTCACTGCTACTGAGCCAACCCTGTCTTTTTCCTTCCTCACCTGTCTGTCTGCCAGGCTGATGCAGTCAGGAAAGCAAATGTTATTTTCTTGAGAAGAACAGGGTTCGAATAGGCAGGAGTGGGCAACCTGCGGTATTCGTATTGGGCTCCCTTCAGCCCCAGCCATCATGGCTGATGGTTGAGGACGATGGGAGTTGTAGTCTGACCACACCTGGAAGGCCGCAGGCTAACCCATCCCTGGTACGGACAGTCCCTCCTTAGAATAAGCTGATATTTGGCTAGACTTGAGTCTCAGAGACCCATAGGACAGAGGAAGCCAATGTAGTGCCCTGCAGATGTCACTGGACAATATCTCCCCTCACCCCCGCCATAGGGCACAGACAGACTCACTGCTGGGTTGGAGCAAGAAGATCTACGCTACAAACATTATGACCTCCGTGTAGCATTTGTACCGTGTCTTGAGCTTCCTTAACTCCTTTCTCTTTTGAAATGCTACTTAAACACGAGTTCAGATCTAAAGTACCATGTTCAGCAGAAAACGTGGGACAAGCCCATATTGCATACCGCAGCAACATTTTAGAAGTGCACTAATTTGTGGGAGAAACTACCTACTCTACAGGAAACAAAACTTCTCAGTAATGACTTTGTAAAAATATATATATATGCTGTACTACTGGGAAAGACAAAACTGCTTATCTATCTCTTGGCCATTTCCTTCCTGATTACATCGTATGGCAGAGATGGCAGGGAAGCTTTTGCATTTCTTTTGCAGTGCTACTGTCACACATGGAGGTGTTGCTTTCAGTAGCAGGCTATTCTGCAGCCCTCCTGGGTGTTACTGGACCGCAGCTCCCATCAACCCCCATGCAGCAGAGCCAAAGGCTGGGGATGATGGGAGCTGCAGTCTAGCAAAACCTGTAGGGCCGCCGCATCTTTATCCCTGATCTACAACCCCTTGTAATTTCAGGGGAACTTGCCACTACTTAACCGGAAAACTCCTGGTAAGAAAGAGTGGACAACTGCAAATGAATACAGTAGTTGAGTGAAATGGCAGCATATACCCTGGCTGAGAAAATGTGTTACCACTTTGTACAACAAAATGCACATGAAATTTAGAATATTTATTTGAACTATATTGTACAGGGGAAAATCTAGAGTTAAATTATAGAACGTCCTTTAGTTTTCCAATAAACAGGAACTATATAGTACAGCATCATGTTTAAATGAGTTCTATCATTGCTGTTTTAACAGACATTTTGTTTTACTATTTGGGCATGGGAAGACGTCACGTTTACTACTAAATCTTCATTGGCAAAGGGCATTTCATTTGTTAGAACTGAAGTATAAAGTGCTGTTGGGAAGTACTATCTTATTTCGTTTGATTTAATTTTAAATTCAGGGATGGTTAGGAATTGCTAAATCAGTTCTTGATTTTGAGGTTGCCATGATATAAAATGAAATATATTGAACCATAAACACTGCAAATGGGAGTTGGGATTCCTTGAAATATTGCCATGCAAAGTTCTCGGGATTGGTGTTGGCTTAGTACACCAGGTTAAGAAGCTGCCCAGTTGAGAGTGGGCCAGTTACTTCTGTGAAGCCAGGAAAGAGTAATTGCCTTATTATGTGGGTGTCCAGATTAGGAGGGAAAGATTCTTACTAAAGACTTTTCAGAAATGCTTGATCTTTTGGAACTCAGTTATGTACTTGAAAAGACTGTATATGTCTCCTCCTACCACGTTAAAGCTACTAAATTTGCATTTAGAATAACTGCTGGCCTGCTTGTGTTCTTAAAGAAAGAAAACCAGCTAATTTACTGTCACATAACTTGTGTAAAGTTTAAAAGCGAGACTTTTTTCCTGCATTTATGAAATCTGTATACATGAATTTGTTAAGATTGACACGTTAGGTGATACTGTACAAAATTGTAATGATATAGTGAAAAAAAATCAACAGTAAAATTCATATGTATTTTCTTTATAAACGTCCATCTAATTTCTTGACAACTTGAATAAATTTCATAAGAGCCTTTCTAACATAACAAATTGTTAAACTAAATTGACTGTTGCAATAATAATGAAGCTTTAATAAGTATTGTTATATTTATAATTTTAAAAAATCATGTTTGTTTCATACTGCTTATTTTTTAGCGTTTTATGTCACTGTTTCAGCTGAAGAACCCTACTAAATACTTGACATTACAGAATAATTTACTGGGGTTGTCCTCTGTATACTGACATTAAATAAAAAGTGTGACTGAACTGTAAAATGTAGATAACTGTCAATAGTGCTTCTCATGCCTGAAGTTCTAATATTGATCTGCCGCAGTTAAGACTTCTATGCAGGAAGAAGCATATTCCTGAACGAAAAATGGCCACCGTGAAACTGCTGCCTCTGTAACTGCCATTTTTATAAATGACCAATGTACAACCTCTTATTTCATACAGTTTTCAGATGTTAGCTTTGACTTACTTACCTATATTGATCTGTCATAATTCATGTCCATTTGAACTGTCATAGATACCATACTGGATTGTTATATGACTTAAATGAGAAAATATACAGTGGGCCTGGTTAAAATGGGTGTTTCTAGTTTAAATAACAGGGAATTGTGGGAGAAGGTAAGATGATGATGTAAATCCATTAAACAACCAATGGAATGGAGAATTGATGCCTTTTGGATTCTACAGGAGCTCTTTTGTTTATCAACAATGTATGTTAACGTTTAAGCGCTTTAGGGGCTGCTCACCAGAATGAAGTGCATAAAAGGACAACCCAAGGCTAACTTTAAACACACATTTGTGCAACTCTGAAGTGTTTGGGTAATGTAGGCTGCTGATACTGCATGTTGCTGGCAAACTTTAATTCAAATTTGGTTAGACCACTTGGTTCTGTGTTCTCTCCAAAAGCAAGAGTTCTTAATTGTATCAGAAGCAGGCATGGTAGTGTCACTAGAAGGTATCTTCCCCAGGCTGGCACGTTGAATATGGATTTAAAAATCCATCTCCCAACTTGGTTTCCAAAGCCATACTTCCTACTACTGTTCGGTTACGTTACTTTCTAGTTACCCAGTTCCTATGATTCCTGCCCATTTGCCTCTGTGCACCAAAGTGGCTTTAAATCTAGCAGTGACCCCCCCCCTCCCCAAGCTTTATGAAAACACAGAATGAAAAGGGGAGGGGGTGGAGCTGTCCTTGCTGAAGAGTTATATGACCACTACCTTCGGGTACAGAGTCTGTGTCACAGCAAGATGATATTCATTTGAAGCCCGGCGTCTAATCTGACTTTCAGCATGTAGCTTTCCCCAGGAAAAGCATTTGAAGATTCTCTGCACTGGCTCCAGTTTAATTTTTGAATGGATCACCCCTAATTTTGGCCATCGGGCAACTTAGCTTCCAAACTTGACGAGAGAGACAAGCTCCTCAGTGGGTACGGCAGTTTCTGCTAAATTAGCAACCATAACCCTATCTTGGTGTGAGATCCTACTTGCAGAGAGTATATACCTTGAACATAGGAAGGGTATTGCTCCTTGAAGTTTGCTGTATTCAGGGTACCAGTATGGTACCCAGGATTTCATTTGACTCCTACCTCCATCAGCCCAAGCCAGCCTGGCTGATGGTTGGTGATGATGGGAGAAGTAGTGCAGCAACATCTGGAGGCACCATGTTAGGTACCCCTGGCAATAGACCTTGTAGAAGTGACATGCAATGCACTAGAGCACGGTGCCCCAACTACGGCCAAATGCTTTTTCGTGTCTCATTGATAGAAGCAGAGTATGTTGCAAAAGGGAAAGTGGATATATTTTAGAAGAAGTCTGGAAGAAGAACTTACATCAATAAGATTATGCAGTCTTAATTTCTGTAAAGAGATTGGGTGGTGTCCAGTGAAGTCTTCCGACAGAAGTAATACACCAGATGAATGGGAGGCAGGCAAATTTTGGCGATTCTGCCTCCCCCTGCACCCCCTAAATGCGTTTCATAGGGCTCCCCATTGTTAACCAGTCTTGGATGGAATAGCTTATTTTTATTGCGCCTAAAGAGAGCAGCCTTTTTTGTCTGTCAGGTAGCTTTGGCTCTCACTGTCTCAATATTTGTTGCAGTGTGTTATGCAAGGTACCGGTTTCCTCCCTGAGTATTTGCATAGAAGCAATGTTGTTTCAACTTTGTCTGCTTGCCCAAGAAAAATACTTGAATCGTTCTAAGAACCTTTTCCTGTCTTGATGTGCCAAGCATTCGAAAAGAAATGTTTTATATTGATCATAGTTGGATTTCTTTTTGATAGTTTCCTTGTACAACCTTTCTGAAACAGTCAATTTTCTTTAAAAACAAACTAGGGAATGATCCTGTCTCGTTTCTGTGGATGTTCTCTTCAAACATCTCGATGTATGTGCAAACAAAAAGGAAAAACTATAGAGAGCAGCTGGATTCCCTCCTTAGACTTAAGGATGGTACCTTAAGAGATTCAAAATGTATTATGCCCTACTTGTTATATTTGATAGAGAAATAGCTTACCTTTTCATTCTATCGAGTAAATGATTACTTGAAAGCGATGCCTACATAATAACCATGGAAGGTTGGGCCAGTGAAAATTTATTGATTTGCATATAGTAAGTGTGAGGCCTACAGAAAACCTGGCTTCAGTTATTCTACAATGTCTCTGCTAAGTTTCCTTTCTTTCCTGTGTGTGACTGAGATATGCATGTAATAGATTTTGTTGAAGCTGATCAGTGTCATTTTATAAGAAAACTATTCATTACGGTGTTGATAGTTTCTGTTTCCTAAGCCCCACAAAGCCAAGATATATTTGATCCCTGATTATATCTGTATACTTGGGGCATACCAGCTCAGATGTCAGCTGCACCCCAAGGCACTAAATATATTTTGATTCTTTCCTGGTTGGGAAATTTAGGGGAGAAATACATATTAAATAGGAATGATCTACACTATAATAAATGAAAGTCTGTTATTATTTGGGTTTAAAGCAAACCCTTCTCCAGAGTCCTGCACTATCCAGAAACAGATGAAACAGTACCAAAAATACCCACAAGGGAATACTAGAACACACAGGCTTCAAGTAGTGATCTTTTTCAAACTCTTTACTACTTCAGAGCTGAAATGTCCCACTTCTAGCTTTAACAGAATTAGATATTTGGGGATCTTACAGCTGTTGCTGGGATCCAGCTTCTTTCAGCCCCAGCCAGCATGGTCAGGGATGTGGGAGTTGTAGCCCATAACATTTGTTGGGTTGTTATTTTTATTATTAAAGTTATTAAAGGAAGCAAAATGGAGCTACAATAATATTTTAACACCCTAGGGTTCCACAGCTTAAACTGCTGTACGCGGGGAGAAGTGAACGGAGGCCACACACAGTATTTGAGCTAGTTGGCTAAGCGGCTTGAAAAGTATTGAGTATGAGAAGTTCTTTATACTTAAATGCTCCTTGAACAGGCTTGTGGTGATGGGGACTGACTGATCAATACAAAAGTCCTCTGGGTGTCAAATTAGTCATGTAGTTCTCTGGACCCAGGCCCAAGTGTTTTAGATAATTTTGAAGGACATTTTTATATTGTCAAACAGCTTTGTGCTGACGGGAGTCACCATTTGTTAGCTTGAACAGCTTAGAACTTGGAAAGAGTAATAGAAGACAATTAGAATATCATTAAAATTTGCCAACTCTTGCTGAACTAGCAATGCTCAAAGACTGCCCAGTTTGCCTTTTAACATAGATGTTTCATTCTTAGTTACCGTATTTTTCGCCCCATAGGGCGCACCGGCCCATAGGACGCACCTAGGGGTTTTTTGGGGGGGGGGAATAAAGGGAAAAAAATTATTTCCCCCCCAGAACAGGCAGCTCTCCGCAAGCCTTGGGAGACCGGCACGACTTTCCGCCGGGCTCCCACGCCTTGCAGATATCTGCCTGAAGCCCAAACCAGGTCGGGGAACAGCGGGATGGCGGCGTTCTGCCTCCCCGCTGTCCCCCGAGCTTGTGGGGCTGGCGGCAGGGAGAAGCGCTCTTCTCCCCACCGCCAGCCTCCAAACCAGGTCGGGGAACCGAAGCCCGGGGCGCGCTGTGCAGTGCGCCCCAGGCTTCGAGATGCAGGCTGCTATCCGCAAGCCTAGGGAGCCCGACGGGAACTCTCGCGGGCTCCCAAGGCTTGCGGAGAGCTTCCTGAAGCCTGGAGAGCGAGAGGGGTAAGTGCGCACCGACCCCTCTCGCTCTCCAGGCTTCAGCAAAAGCCTGCATTCGCCCTATAGGACGCACACACATTTCCCCTTCATTTTTGGAGGGGGAAAAGTGTGTCCTATAGGGCAAAAAATACGGTACTTATGGCTAATGGATCTATTACTGGCAACTGGCTATAGGAGGAAAAATGAATCATTAAAGTTGGGCTTAGCAATGGCTGTTATTGTGTGTACTCCGCAAGCAAAAGTCCATAGCTCAGTTGCAAACTGGGCCCGCTCTAGATATGTTGTTGCCTGATAGAACATCAAATCCCTCCTTTCAAGGTACATAGTACCCAAGGCCAGCCAAGTTATTTTGGCACCTGAGGAAGAAAATCCTTCAAGCACTTCTTCCTGGCACTAAAAAGAATAAGCTGCAATTTCCTGCTCTTTAATGATACTCAAAATCAGGTACTTGAGGTGGATGCTTCACTTCCTCTAATGATCGGGCCAGCCCTGGAGAGAGTCCATGGTGTTTGTATACAGAAGATTCTAGATTCACTGGCAAGCACCTGCTGTTAAAGGATTTAAACTGGATTTTAACAAGCAGAACTGGGAAAGAGCTGCTGTTAATCAGAACACTTGGACCAATGGACAACAGTCAGTCATATTTTGTAATTTTTTCCCATACTTAACCCATCTTATGCAGAGTTTAGAATATGATGGCCTCTGTTTTCGTTGCTTTATTTTAATAGGATACACTTCCGGCATTTATAGTTTCATAGATAGTTTTGAATGGGTACATGCCATAGAAGTTCTAAGAAGCCAGAATGCTGGATGAATAAGATTTTCATGCCTGGCAGAAGCAGAACATATTATGCAAATCCAGCAAATAGATGTAATTTCTTCATAATCATACAGGTCACAGAATTCAGCTTCTCTTGGTCCAGAGCTCTTGAGTCAGGCTAGCTGCTCGCAGCCAGCCAATTAGAACTTGCTCGTTCAGAGGCTGTATACTGGTGCTTAAAGAAATTGTTGGGAAAGTTACACACCTCTGACAATTTTTCAAGTCTATGCATGCGGGGGGGGGGGGAGATCTATTTCCCCATCCAAACACACTTTTGCATTAGGGATATATGTTTGAGTACACTTCCATATCCAAATATAAATGTATTTGCTCTGCACTACATTTTTTCAATGGGATGCATGTGCAATCACACCATAGAAGATCATGGGTCCAGCTGCCTTGGAAATGGGTACATGTTCCCAGTTCCCTCCTCCCCTGCCCCCCAGCAGTGACAGATGAGAAGAAACGGTGGCTGTGAAGAGCTATGGAAATGTGCAGAAATGAAAACTGGAGGCATGAACCATGGGGACTTTGGTAGTGAAAAGTGATCCTCACCAATTCAGCTGAGAGCACCACTACCTACATCTGTCGTCTAAGTCCATTTTTGTTGTCAAACTCTGATTATGAACACCTGGGTTAACAGTAAATCATTGATGTTGGATGATATTCATCATTTGGACCTGTGGTCTAACCAAGTAAAGCAATTTGTTTATTAATATTGACATGTATGAGAAACGTAAAGAATATAGTGACCATACAGATATCAGCCACAGAACGGACCGTGTTTTTTAGCTACGTTGATTAAGGGTTGCCCATTAGCATTTATTTTGCCTATTGAATCCGACTTTGGGGCCGTCACTCCTATGACATGGCAAGTTTGTGCAGATGGTTTAGATCTGACTTAACATTTGTTTGCTACTTTCTCCTGTCTCATGTTTCTAGCTAATGCTATACTCTTTATTCACAGTGGTGTTTTCTTAAAGGCTCCTTTCCCATTTTGAAATCAGCAGTTTTACACATTTTTCTCTGGGACACAACTTTGGTGTGGGGTGTGCTAGACTATGTTGTGCATAACACTGTAATATGAAAAGTGTGTGCCTACCGAAACAGTGGTTAGGCTACTGGGCTTAAAATGAAGACACTTTGAATTATACCCTAGTGCACCCGGAGGAGCTATGTCTGTCTTTCTGTGCTGCTACCTGAAATGTCATCTTGAATAAACTTGGTTTAGACGTTTTTAAGAGATGAAAATATCAGGCCAGGTTCTGGTCTGGGTAGCTTGTGTTCTCCAAAGCAGGGCACTTTTGTCCAACCTGGTTTCAAGAGCAGGGAGTATACTTCTCTTTCATAGCGCTTTCTCAGTATTTGGGTTGGACCCCAAAAGAGCTCCTGTAGATTCCGAAGACTTAATTCTACATTACAATTAATAATAATAATAATGATTTGTACCCCGCCCATCTGGTTGATCCAACCTGAATTTCACAATATTCAGGTAAGAAAAATACCTGCAAAACCAAGTATTCAAAATGAGGGATTTCCCCCATGCATACTTAAAGTGGAACAATGGTATTTAAGAAACAAAACTAAAAAAACAAGCACCCAGGTTAGGTGTAGATGCCAGTGTATCTGTTAGGGGAGGGGTGTAATACAGAAATGTTCAGAACCGTATCTCTAAAGCCAGCTTTGCTAGCCTTGCTGATCAGTTTCTGATTGGAGAAACTGTTGCTAAGTGAGCTGCAAATTAAATATGAAACGAGCAGTTCCCATTGTTTAAAACTCAGTTTTAAAAAAATGCTAATTGGAAACGTGAGAGTTCACTGCAAGCGCAACCACTAGCTGCAGTTGCTTGTTAGTGTTCCGTTTGTGGGTTTCATTAGAGGTGAAATGATTTCCTATTAAAGGGTTGCTTCCCTGTGATGTCTATGTCTGACATAGCAACATTGGTTCTGTTGGCTTGGCAGATCCACAGGCTGGGAAGGGTCCATTACGTCATTTGAAAAAGCAGGGTAATTTTCCCCTCCCAACCAGCAGTTCTGCATCCAAGAAGCAATAGGCTGCAGCATCTTTCCTTGGCATAGATACAGTGGTTGAGAGGGGCTCCAGGTTGCACTTTGAAACATCTGGCTGAAGAGCCCCTCATGAATACTTGCGTCTTATGGTTGCAAGGTGCATACAGCAGGGAGAGATACATGTTGATCGTAACCTCCTGGTAAAAGACTTGTGGCACAAATGTGCCCTGTAGCTCACTGACTTTTATGTTTTTAATAGGATAGCTTAAGTTTTGCAAGACATGAGCTAAAATCTAATCATACTACGGTCATAATCAAGATTCCTGGGGCCTATTAAAAATGAATACATACTATGTTATAAGCTTCTGTGGACTAAAACCCACTTCGTCAAGTTTTATCAGGATACTTCATGTTCATTTTAAAGCAGCAACCATATTCCTTCCTTGCTGGAACATATTACAGCTGCTACACCCCTGGAATTCTAATTATGATCTACATCTTATAAGTTACTTTGAACTAAACTGCTACATAAAGAACGAAATCGTTCATGTTAAGACGTTCGAACAATGTGATCTATCACTTTGAAGTCATAATATGCAAATGCCACTGTGCACTGAAAGTCTACAGATATATATAGAACTGTTTAGAAAACTAAATGCTGGGTTCTCTTGCTGGATTAATGCAAATTGCTTTGTTTGCAGGGTTTATTGCCATCCCAAAACCAGGCCAATTCTCCAAGTGGAACTGTAGTATAGCCATCACATTTCTGCTAGCAAATCTTTGAACACAGAACAAGAAGTAATGGCAATGGAACCAGGAGCTGCTGTTCAGCCAGGGAGCACCACAAATTCTTAAAGGCAGAGTGTAAACTTGGAGTTATGTGAATCACATAGTGTTTTACAAAAATAATAATGTAATGAATTCTTTTTACAGCTAATATTTAGGCTGATGGCCGAAAGAAGGATTTTGCTAAAAAATACTTCTTTTGGTATTGCAGTTAAAAATAGTATAACTTTTCCAGTTTCTCTGTAAAACAAAATGTTTGTTAAATCTGAATAAGTTTAATGGTTATATAAATTAGAACTTCATTGTTGGGTTTTTTTGCACTGATTTTTTTTATCCAGCAGTGGTTAGTCTAGAATGCTCTCATGGGAAATGAAAGTCATTACTTTCTGGCTTCATAAATGTAATTCAGGAAGATGGATGCTGCAATCATAGAGGTTCCCCCCTCCCCCCCAAAAAGATTGTTTGCACTTAAATAGCTGAATGCTAGTAAAAAATTACTTTTAAATGGGTGTTTGGACACCCTCTAAAGCTATGTTATGGGGAAAGAGATCCTTTGTATCTATTAAACATTTTATTTTAATAATGTTTTGAGCTACAATCAATCTGTATTATATGTGTAAATAATGTAATTCAGTGATCGGGGGAGAAATGAGTCATTACACTAGTAATTTTCATTTAGGAAAGTGATATTTCTAATTCAGAAAATACATATTAAACTATCTTGAATATGCAGTTTTGTTTATGTTCTGTTTAAATTAAATCAACTGTGATGTAATCTTTTTTGAATGTAATATTGGCGTGGACATGCAGGGCATATTCATTTTGAAAACACTCAGGTTGGATTCACTACCTATTTAACCAAGCTTGCCCTTTGTTATAAGACATAATAATTCCCCACTATATTCTAAACACTACATCAATTCTTAAAACTAGCCTAATTTTCTAATCAAGGTTAGCCACTTAACAGTAGGACTATCCATTTTTATATATTAGAAATGCAATGTAGCATATTTTAAGGCTAGCATAATTTTAAATGTTGATTTAAAATTCAGTGTAAGAGCAATACAGTGAAATAGGTTGATACAATAAAATAATGTGTTAAACTATACAGTTTATTTTCCAGAAAAAGGCATGTCTTCTGTCAGAGGAGAGATTTGACAGCCTACAAAGTCTAACTGCTGCTTAGTTAGTATTAAACTGATTTTGAACAGTATAAGGACACTAGATTTCAATTCAGTTCTTCACTGGTAGTGGTTCCCAACCTGTAGAACGCCCTCCCATCAGATGTCAAAGGAATAAACAACTATGACGTTTAGAAGACACCTGAAGGCAGCCCAGTTTAGGGCGGTTTTTTAATGTTCAATGTTTTAATGTATTTTTAATCTCCTGTTGGAAGCCGCCCAGAGTGGCTGCGGAAACCCAGCCAGATGGGCGGGGTATAAGTAATAGATTATTGCTATTGTTATTAACATTCATTGAAGAAAATGCTGTCTGCTTGATACCAGGATCTATGAGGGCTGGGCATTATTTTCCTGATAGGGAAAGCCTCACCTTTTTAACTTTTTGAGTTAAACTTTTTGAGTTAAAGTAGTCTTCTTATCCCCCCCCCAACATATCTAGTAACATGACAAGTTTTAATGCCTCCTCACAAAAACAAAAACAAAATCTGGTCCACAAACATAACATATTTAGGCATATTCACCTGTGTTTAAAAGCTCTGGTCTTCAAAGATAGCTTTTTATATATTTGGATGGGTGTGGGCAGGCAGGCAGGCAGGCAGGCAGCTAGCTACTCATATTGCCTGTTACATTCAAAACTCTGCAGCTAGATCTAAATCTGTCAGACCATGCTTCTCAAAGTGGTGCGAATCACTTTTTTGAACAGCATGTTTCAAAATCGGATCATGGAGCCCTGGGCTCCCTCAGGAGGAATGACAGGCTATATAAACGAATAGGGAAAACCCTTCCGCTTTTCCAAAGGACTGCTCTGGCATGTAATCAAGACAAGTATTAATAAGTTTGAAAGAGGGTAACAGCAGCACTAAGACACTCAAAAATGTTTCAAAGCCTCCCTGCCTTTCTTGTTCATTTGTGGTGGTCTGAAAAGGGAAGAAGAAGAAAACAGATTCCCTACCTGGTGACTTGCATAGGCTCTTATTTGTACAGGGAAGTATTTGCAGCAAGTATTTGCAAAGCCCCGGTAGCAAGGAGAGTTGCACTGGCAGCCCCACCTGGTATGACTTCCACATTGGTTAGTATATGTATATACAATTTCACTTAAATATATGAGCAAGAAACACTTGAGTAGTAACTTCATGACCTGTTCACCAGAGTATTGCTCCTCCGATGTGACTAATGCTGCACTCATAACCATGTCTGCTCACAAGTCACTCATATTGAAATAAATAGGGCTTACTCCCAGGTAAGTAGAATTTGGATTAAAGCCTGAATCACGAAGAGGCAGAACTATAATGAACAAGTTACTTCTATGGCGGGATTCAAGTTCAAATGCAAGTTGGGAGCATAGCTTTACTTCAGAATGCATGAAACCCATGTGGCTTGACAGTTGCGAGTTTCTTCCCTTAGAGGGCTGTGCAAGAAGTCTCTGCCCCTCCCAGCTGGTGGTAGTTGTCATATGACAGCTCTGGAGGCTTCAATAGAACAGCTGTGACAAAACATACTCCCAAGGGAGAAAAGCTGAATTGAGACCAGCAAAAAGTGGGCAAACTTGCGTATTTTTGCTTGCTTTGGATGAATGACATTTTGCTTCTGCTAGTTGTGGGTCAGGTCAAGCAGCTTTGAGGGGTTCTGAAGCCCCATCCCTTGACTCGGAACTTGCATGCAGCTCCCTCTCTGGCTTGTGAAATTAGACCACATCAGCTATATGAGTTACAAACTTCAAATGAAAAAGAGCCAGCATTGATTTCAAAGCTGAAACCTGACATTTCCCACTTGCATGTAAACACTAAAACAACAGAACAATCCAGTCCTTGGCTACCTTTTGTGACTTTCAAGGGTTCTGGTGTGACCCCCACCCCCCGGCTACTTATGTTATATTACCTTGATGATGCAGGAAGAAAGCTTGCCAGAACTGACGTGCAGAGAATGTGTCTGCACTGCACTCTTAACTTACTTGCCAATGGGTACCTAGAAGCAGCACGTCTTCTGAGCTGCCTCTACTCTTCCCAAAAGCACCTGCCAGGTAAATCCACCTCAGAAGTGGGGTGGAATGGGATAAATCCCAGAACCAGTTTACGATGCCATGCAAAAATCAGTGTGGGTGGGAGATACTGAGATTAATAGCCTTTCATGAATTTGGCATGTAAACTAATCAGCACAGTATTTAGGATCCTTTGCTGCACTTCCCCCAACAGTGGATGTCTGTAATTTAAAATAAAAATAAAAAATGAACTTGCTCCATGAATTTGCACTTAACTTTCTGGATCTGAATGAAGTCAATAACACTTGAGAAATGCTTGTGCTTGAAGATGCTTAAAGATACTTTTCACTTGCGCTGGTAGCAAGATTGGAAGCTTTTGCCATGCAATAGGTACTTGGATGAAACTGCAATATTGTTAAAGAGTTGTTGCCCTCGTACATGGAAGAAATGCAACGTTTTAGCAGTATAGAAGCTACATGGCTATGTTCTGGTTCATGCTTCCCTTGAACACATCTGTGGCTTTTCTGGAGGGAAAATCCAATTACCGTACAACTTTCATTATTTAAGGTAAGGTCAGGTCTCACTTATTTTTGTACTATCTACCTATCCGCTAGCATTACTGATTAAAAAACCCCCCATTGTATCATTGACTTCCCTTCTAGGATAGGTGTTCACCTCTATATTTTGGGGAATCTGATGTTTTGGATGATGGTCATAAATTTATTTATACAATTAGCTGTATCAGTAATACACAAACTACTTTCCTTGTTAGAGAGAGGTTGTTATAGAAGTGGATTTCATTTCAAAAGGGTAGAACATAACAAACCTTGAGAGTACCATTTCAAAACCCTGTATTTTAATAAAACGGCGTTTTTATTTTTCATTTAAACGGTCATTCTGAAAACGACTTAAGAATCTTCTTGTCCCTGGCAGAGACAAGGCCCCTCCCCCACAAAATAGACTTTCAGATATTATTGGCTCTTCTAGCACAAATGCACAATGTGTTCTTTGAAGTGAAATTGTATTGAGCATGTGACAAATCGTATTTTAACTGATAAAGCATGCTCATGCTGTTTAAGCTTCCGTGCTACAGGAATATGTTGGGAGAGCAACAGCAAGACTAACTTGATCTTACGAACGACGCATGCAGAGAAAATCTGCCCATTTACATAATTTGGAAAAAAAATCTTTACACAAGATTGCACTCAAATCAGATGTAACATACTCCAGAAGACACTAAGTAGACTCGGGTTTTGAAACTACCAAACACCTTCCCCGCTGCTTCAATCTATATCTCCACAGTCACATTTACAAAAATACACAAATTCAGTTTCAACACAAATAAGAAGTACGGTATCGTATTTAATATAAAAGTAGTAACAATTCCATTCCTACCAGAGAAGCACAATTGGAACAAATGTACGACCCACTTAAGAGGAAATAAAATTGTACATCGGGAGCTTAAAAAAAAAATGAAGTGCAGTCTGAGTTATGAAAACGGTGCTCACATAGAAAGGCTCCTTTTCCTTTTTTTAAAGTTAAGCACAAAAAAAATAATATTGTAGCATCTTGCTGCAGCATTTGAGAAGTTAAGGCACTATTGCTGTTAGTGTACCTTTCAAAAGTATTGGCGAGCACAAGGGATTCTTAGTCCATCAGTAACCACCTCTTCTTCCCAAAGCAGGCAAGTGGTAGTGTTTCACAGGCGATTTAAATTCCTTCTGTCTTTCAGACTGTTGGTGAGACAACACAAGTTAAAATGGGCTGTTAATTACTTGTCTAAAATTGTACAATCTGATAAGCAAGGCAGAATTACCTTGCAGTGTGTCCCAAAATATGTTATGGGCTGCAACACTTGGACTTGCCCGTTGGTTGCTGGGAGAGGAAAAACTGACTGAAATGGAGGATTAGGGTAAGAAGTCAAGTTGGTTACTTCAGGAACAGCCAGTTTGGGCAACTCCACTGTATAGGGAAATCCACGACGTCCCAGTGGATTCTCCTGGGCTCTCCTAAGAAAGTTCTTTTAAAATAAAAATAAAAGTTCAATTTTTTTTGAAATCAGTATGTTTTGTGTAGGCTAAATGTTAAGTGTTTTGACGACCTGTGTTGGTCTGGTTGACATTGCTGCTGTGATGGTCTAAGCATGTATACAAACTTACAACCAAAATGGTTCTTCCCGAGTAGTGCTGCTTATTTTCTGTGATCACACCTTCAGAAAGAAACACATAGATGGGTGTACTTTAAAGGTATTAGGATTAGTGTAGGAGCAAACGTAGATAATGGTAACCACACCAATACTGGTATCCAAACACTACTGAAGAAAAGGTGGAGCACATTGGAAGGTGGATACTTACCAGGAAAATAGATTTTTTGCTGCTCTAATTTTGAGAGAACCAAGAATTTCAACTGTGCCACAAGCTGAGGCCTGATCAAACTTGCTCTGTTAGTAGCATGAGATTAATTTCTAATTTCTAAAACTACTCCCTAGAAGAGCTATTGGAATACCTTTTAAATAAGACAAAACATTGGTTAGATCTGACATAGAATTTGATAAGGTGTTGGCAACTTAAACCTGGTGCCTTCAGAATTCCATGGTGGGAAGGAAGCTTAGTGTAGTGGTTTCAAAAGGTAAGATCTGTTGTTCATCGGGCACATTTCATCCTGCCGCCTCCCCTTGCACAAGTGATGCAATAGATCCTGGAAAAGCTTTGTTAGAATAAGTGACCCTCTTTCCCCTGCTTGGATTTCAGTTTGGTCAGCACAGAATCTTGCTTGGGTGCTGGCAAATGGGATACTGATAGCTCAAGTGACAACTTGCATCTGGTTCAGCCAGATTCTTCCGATTTCATAGTTCTATAATTAATGTGCAATTTGCAGGGATGATTTAATAAGCCTGGACGCAACAGCAGTCATGCTCATAGGAACATCTCGAGAAAAGATGTGTAAATAACCTGTTCCAGCATAATTACATGTGCATCTTCATAAGGTCACTAAAAGTTTTCTGAGTGCCAAATGCTATACTGTATGCTCCTCCAAGCTGTAAATCATAATATTCAGCACCCTGACATTAGCCTGGTAGTGACTGGCAACAAGAAATTCCATGCAGGCAGATGAACAGGCTTGTAGAGAAGGGACAGAACTTTTCCCCCATCCACTCCCAAGCTAGAAACTAAACAGGCTGCCAGGAAGCCTCCCTGCAATTCCATATAAATGGAACAGGTTCCTGCAAGAGGGATAGAGCCCTCTTCCCCCAGCCACCAACAAGCTAGTAAATATTTTTGCAGGTTAGTAGCTTTTGGGAGCTTATTTGCAAGGCTAGTGTGCAGAATGTATGCAAAGCCTTTTCTAAAGCTACCTGTCTTGCTTAGATGGACATAGTTTGTTTAGATCAGAAATCCATACAGCCTTGGATCCTTTTGAGACAAGAATCCTAAAATACGTTTTGCCTATTGGACACTATTCATCATATCATCACATTTGACACAGGGTTGTTCTGCTGGCAATTTTAAAATGACATTACTTAATTAGGTTTATTACTTATTCATTGATTTAAAGATTACCTGCCTTTGATCCTCCTTTGAAATACGACGCAAGCTGAGAGTCTCCCTTTCTAATGGGTTTTCTGCTAATCTCATTCTTCTGCGTATGGTCAAAGCTTGTTTCTCTGCCAACCTGTTCAGCACAGAGCCAGACAAAATCTCACCTATGAAACTCAAAATTCATTTGTGTCAACTAGAGAGTCGAGCCAACATAGCAACTTCCGTTTTTCAGCCGTACTAAACAGTAATTTAAAATGCAGCTGTTAAGTACCCAAACCTAGTGAAGTAGGTCAAGATTTAAGCTTGGATGCTATAGATGTAATTTAAGTCCTCTGGGTGATATCCAGTGTTGAATCGTGTTTGCACCAGTGGGACTTTCCCTTCCTCGCAGCCCCCCACCTGCCCCTGTGGTCTGCTTTAGTTAGCCAAGGGCCTCTCTGGAGCAGTTTGGGAGGATTAAGGCGATTGTGAGAGGAAGGGAAGTCCTGTTCATGCACTGTTGCAATGGTGGACCTCACTCACTGATTTTAAGTCTGGGATTAAGCTGGAGGCACCAGCAACTCCACATTTATTGCTCAATTCAAGAGACACTGAAAGTTTACTTACCTTAATTCTCTGAAGTAAGGGTGCTGTAGGGCTTCATGGGCACAGATCCTCTCGTCAGGATCATATTGTATCATTGCATACATAAGAGTTAGGCTCTTGTTTGACAAGCTAGGCATAAATGGAGAGATTCCTTTCCCTTTTCTGATGGGAAAATCAAAGCTCATCACTCGTGACCTGCATTAATCCAGTGAAAGGAAACACATTCCTGTCAGGAGGCTATTAATGTCAGCCTTACTGGGGAGATGGGGCAGGGATGCCAAAGAGATAAAGCTGATGTAGAAAATCTTGAAGGCTAAATACACATTTTGCTCTTTGTCTGATTTGTCTTCGATCTGTCTACCCAGAAGCAGCAGGTTCACAGTTTGTTTGTGCTTTTGGCTCCAGCTCTGTCACTGGAAGCCTCAGCAGCTTAGAGGTGCCTTTTACCAATGGCAATTGCTTTGACTGATACAGCCATTCCTGGACCAGGAAAACCTGGCCACGGCAGTTCACAAATTGGTTGCCTGAAGACTGGATTGCTGCAGTGCACTCTAGGTGAGGCTTCCCTCGCACTTGATCTAGAGGCTGAAGTTTGTGCAGAGTTGTTGCAGCACAATTACTGACAATAGTGAGACTTTGTCAGCGTATAACACCTATGGTCAGAGATCTGGCTACTGGGCTGTCTTCAGCAGTGCTTTGCAACCCATAGCCTACTTAACATATACGTAGCATTGTTGAGTGTTCAAAGGACTTCTCATGCATTAATGATCCAGGTTATTCCCATGTCATAGAGGAATGAGGTTGAGAAGACAGTAGCTTGCCTCAGGGCACCTGGTGAGGTCATGGCAGAGGTGACTTCCTGACTCAGCATCTTAGCCATTAAGTAAATAGCAGCTATCAGGATCTTCCTGTGCTTGAGGAAGTACTCACTGATCACAGTTTAAAATACCACAATGCTGGAGTAGAAGCATGTGTGACTTGTGGCATAGGGGTGGGGAGTGGGATCTCTGGGGAGGCAAAGGGATAAATGCGTGTCCCTCTGCTGGATCTGCTCTGCAGATGGAGCCTGAAGCTGGTATATCTGTACCACTTAACACTCTGAAGCAGAGATCTAACTTGTTTTTGAATGGAAAAGTAGACAGTGAGCAATCTAATCAATTCACAAGATTTGGAGTGTGACTTCAGCTCACAACTGATGAAGTAGCCTTGGGTTACACTGAATTGTTAGTCTACACTGTTTTAGCTACGGACTAGCAAACAGCTTCCTTGACATGATGCGTGAGCATTCTCCTCTAAATTAAGATATTTATTTGTACAGGTTCGATCACAGAGAGAATGCACTATTAAATCCCAGAATTCAAAATGTACTTACTGCTTGAACTTATTAAGGATCTTCTTGGGAGGAGTACCTACAATATCATGGATTTTCGATATTTGGTCCAGTTCATTAGATCCAGGAAAGAGTGGGTGGAAACTAGAAACAAAAAAAGAGGAATTGGTTGGGCAGTGTGGGAAATTAAACTGCCAGGGTTGAGGGTTTTCTCCTTGTGAGGAAAACTGTCCAGTCTTAAATTGTGGCAGTCTTAAATTGGTAGTATTTGCCCCCTGCACCAACTACTGAGGAGATTACAGGTGGAATTCAGCATTGTGCTATTGCAAACATTCCATCTGTGCAAGCAATGCAGCTTGCCAGACAGAACAATCCTCTCTCCCTCCCCATGTGCTGTTCTGGGGGTTCTGCCATCCCCCTCAAAGCCAATCCCCGCCCCCAGTGAAGACTCAAGTATATGCCTACTAGCAAGGCCAAAGACTAAATCTAAAACCTTCTCCATGCAAAAGCATGTGATTTACCACTGAGCTTTACCTGTTGTTGTCCAGCTTTTTACAGAAATTGTTTCCGTGACACAACTGTGAACACTTCATGCCATCTACACAATCCTACCCTTTATGTGAATTTCACTCTAAGTCAAGGGCGGTGTGTCCTGTTTTGCCGCCCGAGGCAAAATGGGAAAGTGCTGCCCCACTACCAACGCCTCCGTTACCTGGGTCGCGAAGCAGTGGCAGGAAGCTGCCACCACTGCTTCTCTACTAATGACGGGGCAGACAGGGGTGCCACCTCATGGTGTTCCACTGCCCAAGGCGGCTGCCTCAGCCCACCTCATGGCTGGGCCGGCCCTGCTCTCAAGTCAAACCACCAATTCCTTTAAGATAATGTACCTTGCAATTTCATAGAACACACAGCCAGCGCTCCACATGTCCATTTTATAACTGTAGTACCCATCTGTGAGAAGACATTCAGGTGCCCTGTACCAGCGCGTAGAGATGTACTCTGTATAAGGCTGCTTGGAGTGTATACTTCTGCAGGAACCAAAATCCCCAAGCTTCAGAAGATCCTGCTGCAGTTAAGATAGTTGTGGCATCTCAAATGAGAAGGCATTCATATAAAATCAATCATGTGTAAAGGTGCTTAATTTGAGAATTAAATCTGGCTATTACATTGCAATGAATTCTGGTCCATGGTTATTTTGGGCAGAGTGCTTGTAGTCTTTGGAAATGGCGAGAAAATGTAACTGCAGGAGCACTTAACATGGTAACGGGGTGTAAAGGTAAAGGGACCCCTGACCATTAGGTCCAGTCGTGGCCGACTCTGGGGTTGCAGCGCTCATCTCGCTTTATTGGCTGAGGGAGCCGGCGTACAGCTTCCGGGTCATGTGGCCAGAATGACTAAGCCGCTTCTGGCGAACAAGAGCAGTGCACGGAAACACCGTTTACCTTTGCTGGAGCGGTACCTATTTATCTACTTGCACTTCGATGTGCTTTTGAACTGCTAGGTTGGCAGGAGCAGGGACCAAGCAACGGGAGCTCACCCTGTCACAGGGATTCAAACCGCCGACCTTCTGATCGGCAAGTCCTAGGCTCGGTGGTTTAACCCACAGTGCCACCCGCGTCCCCATAACGGGGTGTACTTAACCGGGGGGAAAAAGCTTGAAACTTTGGTCACAAGAAGACTTACCAGGTTATAGAAGATTACTTACTACACTTAATCAGTAGTGTTTGGGAAAGGCTAGGGACAATACTGCCACTTATCTAAACTGGGCACCTGTAGTTCCACATCCAAAACTAACAATGCACTTTTCTCTTAGGTACAAATGCACTTCCAAATTGCAGTCTTAGCATAATGAATACAGAGTTTCAACATATTTATCGCTTGTGCTACGGCTGTGTTTCCCAAACCTACAACAAACCTCTTTTGAGTTTAGTCTTACTGGTGTGCCCCTTCTCAAGCAAAAATAAATTGGGGGTATTTTTAATAATACTATTTTATTTATGATAAAATAATAATAAATTCTGCCTTGTACTCTTTGAAACTCTTTCACGTACCTGGAGGGGGGTAGGACACATTTTGAGAAACACTGCACTAAAGACTGCTTACCTTTATTAATATGTTTTCTGGTTTTACATCTCTGTGAAATAACCCATTCCTGCAAGAGAATTATGCAGGGCAAGTAAGTATTTATATACCAAGAATGGCATACAGAAAGCCCCTGTGCATTGGGGTTTTCCTGCTCCCCACTGTCCCATTCCCAGTCCACCTTATGAACACTCCTGAAAACCATCCCTGGCCTGGAGATTGGGGCATGCTGCAGAGAAGAATTTGCAGCGGGAGAGGCTGCAGCTGGAATAGATACATCAAGGCCAAACTGCATGGATGTTACATGCAGAGCCTGCTGCTAGTGGCTTACTGGTTTTTTCTGTGCATAGTGTTTTTAAACTGTGATTTAAGGTTGTTTTAATGTGATTTTATGAAGATTGTAAGCTACCTGGGCTCCTATGGAAGGAAGGGGAGAGATACATATATATATATATATAGTAGGATTAACTTGATTCCTTTTATTTTGGAGAAATACAATTTCCCCCCTACTGAAAATCATTCTCTTATGGCTGCTATTAGCCCCAGAAAATGCTGTATATTGCCATCAGTAGTCTACTTTTTGGAGGCAAGCAGATGAGCAATTTTCATCAGTGTGAAGTCAGAATAAATGCACATTCTGGATAGGGGCCCCAAGGCTGCTTTTTCTCCAAAATAAAAGCAGCCCCACGACTAATATCATATGTACTTTGACCCTCACAGCAGTACCTTTGGGGTATTCACTGGACTCTCCAGATCCCAGCTCAATAATATAGCCAAATACTACATTTGCAAAAATAAATACAAATGGCTGCCTTACCTGTGCATGTGATCAAGAGACTTGCATAACTGGTACATATAATTCATTATTTTTCCTTCAGGCAATGGTTTTTTCCTCCCTAGAGGAAACAGTCAAATGAACATGGTATAGTTTTATACAAAGTTCACTTTATGATGGAGAGCTTGCAGTCACTTCTGCCAGTTAAGTGAATTTTAAATACAGATGTGAGATGGTTTGCCTATGAACCATGGTAGAGTGTTTGTTTTCTTTTTATATTTTCCATAGTGGTGAGGAAGAACACACTGGGCTGGTTTAATCTGTTTCTAATATACTGTTGATTTTTTTAAAATGTTTTAAATAGTTGTTCTTAACTGTATTCTCTTTGTAAACCATTTTGAGGGTTTTTGTTTACAATCAAGTAGCATATAATTTTTATTAAAATGCATTCATTCATTCATTTAACGAGGCTACCATTAAGAGTTCAGCAGTCATCTATCCCCCTCCCTAGAGCAAATTCTCCTGCTTAGCCTTAACCACTGTTAAAAGAAACACAGGCACTCACCTAACCACAGTTAACACATGCCAGAGTTCTGGATAACTGCAGACAGTTGACTGCAACGCTGACTCTTCTCTTAATAGTGGTCAACATGATATGAAGATTTGCTCCCCAGAAAGGTGGGCGAGGAGGAAGTGTTGATTCCTAAACTGGCTTTCCAATCTCTGCTGAAAGGGCAGCCACTGTTGGGAATACCTAGGCCCATTCTGAACAGTGTAAAGTACATGCCTTAGATGTTTACTTGCCCTCCAGGAATGTAAGAGCAAACTTCCATGCCTAGAGGGAACCTACTATCGGATACCCCCTTATATGGTGAGCTCAACCACATGATACGGTTGGTGCATAGTAAACCTGACAGGAGATATATCAATCTAACCAAAGCATCTGAACTTTGGGAAATGCGGAGCAGAATGCCCTACTCCAAGATGGTGAAACTGTGGCCCTTCAGAAGTTGTTGGCTTCCCAGATCCCATTGATCCTAGCCAGCATGGCCAGTGGTCATGGATGATGGGAGCTGAACAGCTAGAAGGCCACAGGTTCCTTTCCTACACAATAGGCAGTAGTAGCCTCATCACATAACCACACCTGCCCTGATATGGCACACAGACTGGCTCCTCCAAAGACTGCTTTCAGCATAACAGAGGATAGATATAACAGGACACCAAGGGTATTTGGATGCTGGCAGTAGGATATAATGCATGAGAAGGAAAAGCTTTGTCAAGGCCCCAAAGTATCACAAGTATGCGTATTTTTCTTATCTTCCTGCTCAAACTGCTACACTGCTTCATTTCAGGTAGCATTGGCATACTTGAAGCAACCATGACTAATTTACTGACTGCATTTTCAGCATGAACTTTATGTCTCAAGTTATTGCTTGAATAAGCTACAGCTGTTTGGGATGTTAAGGGTGAATGAATGCTCCTGACTGACCAATGTACAGTGCTACCTCGGGTTACAGACACTTCAGGTTACAGATGCTTCAGGTTACAGACTCTGCTAACCCAGAAATAGTACATCGGTTTAAGAACTTTGCTTCAGGATGAGAAAAGAAATCGCGCAGCGGAGCAGCAGGAGGAGGCACCATTAGCTAAAGTGGTGCTTCAGGTTAAGAACAGTTTCAGGTTAAGAACAGACCTCCAGAACGAATTAAGTACGTAACCAGAGGTACCACTGTATTCAATTTGGGATGGGGGGGGGTAACATTGGTCATACTTGGATCCAGATTAAGATAGTCATGCTTTAGTCTCACTGTAATCAGTGGGATTAAAAGTACAGTGGTGCCCCGCAAGACGAATGCCTTGCAAGACGGAAAACTCGCTAGACGAAAGAGTTTTCCGTTTTGGAGGTGCCTCGCAAAACGAATCTGCTATGGGCTTGCTTCGCAAGACGAAAATGTCTTGCGAGTTCCTGGGTTTTTTTTTCCTTTTCCCCCTCTTTTTCTAAGTCCCTAAGCCGCTTATCTGCTTATCCGATAAGCTGATAAGCTGCTAAAAGCCGCTAAAAGCCGCTAAAAGCCGCTAATAGCGCTAATCCGCTAATCCCATCAATGGGCTTGCTTCGCAAGACGAAAAAACCGCTAGACGAAGAGACTCCCAGAACGGATTCTTTTCGTCTTGCGAGGCACCACTGTATCACTAATTTAGCCTAGATTCAACCTACAATGTAGTAACCTGACTCCTAAGACACTTTACCCTCAACTATTTAAATGCAAAATACCTTTATATTTAGCCATCAAATGAGCCTTAAGTTCATGAAGAAGCTGAACAGCCAGACATCTGGATTTTATACATATTGTCCCATAGATCTCCTGTCATAATATTGTGTCTCTCTTCAGACATTTTCAGAATATTCATCATGGAAACTCAGTCACATTTTCATAAGCCTTAATTGCTTATTTTAATGCATTCTAGATGACAGAATCAATCTGCTTTCTAACTCTCAGTTATTGCTATGCAACTATTGCCATTAGAAAACTATTTCCATTCTAGTTGTTGCTTCTGTGTATTGTACTATCAACTTATTATTTTTCCTTAGCTAATTTAATGAGTGAATGCAGTAGATTATTCCAGTCCTTACAAACTCACCCGAAGAAATGATACTAAAACCCCAGCAACTGTGGAGCCTCATATTCTGCAGTTTGTTCACATTTAAGATCAAATAATGATTTAAGATTGAACCCCCAGTATCTATGTCACTCCTTTCGAAAGGATTATCAAATGGAAAAGACCTCAGCCATCACCTTGCCATGCTAAGTGCCAGCTCATACATACCGTACATTATTTTACTCTGCATCTACAAACAGAATATGGATTCACATCAGCTTGTACTAGTGTGAGCTGACTCTCCTGGAAAGCATCACATCTGAGGTGACCTCAGGAGCAATGAAAGCATCCATCTATGAAGGCCCACTCAGACAAGTGAGTCACCACTAGGTGTTGTAGTCACTAGCTGCTGAACATGTATGAGTGCACTGTCCCTCAGAAGATTCATCGCTGAAGGAAATGGAACCGCAACTAAAGAAAGCAAGCCACATTTTCTTTATGTATGATACATATACCAAATGCCCTGAAGGACCAATGGGTTGATTAAACAGAGGCAAGGGGAAAAGTCTATTTTTGCAGATTCTCTCTTCTGGAGAAAAAAATTATGGTTGGAGGAGGGAGGGGAAACTGGTGAAAGTTATCTCCTGCCTTCTGTTGGGAGGGGCCTCTGCTAGATCAAAAGCCCTTCCACAAGCAGGAGGACATTGGCTGCCACCCAATGAGTCCTTATAAATATAAATATCAATACAATCAATGAAAGCCTTTCCCTGTAGCAACTCAAGGACAAAATTATTATAAAGGCACTGAACTGAAGAAACTTGATTACCACCCTTAGAAAGTGGCTTGCATAGAGAAGCGTGCTTTTTAGTTTAGAAAGCTTCTTTATTCTGTCATCATTCTGCAATTTTTTGCATTTGTATGTGTGGCCACATTCAATACTAGCTAAGACAACCGTGAATACTTGTCTTGAATTCTGTCAGTTCTGAGTTCCTAAGACTCTTTAGATAAACATAGAGTTAGCCTAGAAAAGGAAGATGGTGGAGCTGGAACTTTTAAGATTCATCGCATTAAAATTACGTGTGGCTCATGGTACCAGACTTGTCCAGCCTTTCATTTTTCATCAACATACAACCAGCATTTGAAACATACACTATGCCATTCCCTCCAATACTCAGCTATATTTTATTGCCAGGGGGCAACAACCACAGGCCAAGATCCAAACAGTCCTCAGACTTGAAAGTGATTCCACTTGTGGTGAAAAGGGTTGCTGCTGGAAAGGAAAGTCAGTAACTGCTATCTACCCTTGCTCAGCCAGTGGCATTGCAAGGGGGGGTGGGGTGGGGCCGTTCACACCGGGTGCCATGTGTGGGGGGTGACAAGAAGGCACCCCGCGGGGTGCTCACCCCGCTGCCCCCGGGCGCGGTGGCGCAAGCAGCCATTGCGTTGCAGCAGCCGCATGTGGAGGATCCTCTGTTCACGGCTGCAGCTGCAAGCAGAGAATCCCGCCGCCGACCGTACAACATTCAGGAGGCGCCACCGGCAAACCACTTCGTACAACGCATGCACAGTGTCGCACGCATGTGCTGTACGTAGCGACGCCGCACATGCGCCCTATGTAGTGACACCACGCATGTGTCGTACGTAGCGGTGCAAAGCGTGTGCAGCCGGCGGTTTCCCCTGCCCCGGGTGTCGGTTAGCCTTCGTTCGCCCCTGCCCCCAGCCATCAGTGATAACTTTTGAGGTGTGCAAGAAAGCAGGTGAGTGCAAACTCCTGTTCTCACACACATGCACATGGCCAAGAATGACAAAGGAATGGCAAGAAAAGATAGGGGACTTAATCTCTCAACAGCACTGAAACGTGATCGTGGCTTTCTAATCTCAGCCAATCAGTTGTTTTGAATTGTAAATATATATATTTGTGATGTGTGAGCTGTTATAGCAGGACTCTTAATTACAGAGCAGAGATGACACAATTATTAGCTGCTGTTCCCTTTCTACACAGTCTTCCCACCTGCACCTGTTTCCTCCTTTCCAGCACCGTCAGGCAGGTGTTTCCCTTCGGTATCTGTAATTATATGGAAATGTCATCTCCACATTTCAAAATCTCTCTCTGCCTTCACCTACTGGGAAGAAGACTATGGGCGGTAAACAGCTGAATTGCACAAACAGAATGACTTCAGCTTGGGCGTCAGGACTGGCCAACTAGAGAAATCTTGTGGTCCTCCAGATGTTGTTGGACAACAACTCCCTGACAACTGGTCCTCCAGATGTTGCTAGAGAAGAACACCCTGACAATTGGCTATGCTGGCTGAGATTGATGGGAGTTGGAGTTCAACAACATTTAGCGTGTCACAGGTTCTCCACCTGCCCTACTTTATTCTTTTGGTCAGTCATACTGTACAAATAGTTGGGTTTTTGCATAAATAAATAAGGATAATCTCTGCAAAGGACTTTCTCATTGGCATGATCTACATACCTTTGATCAGTTCATAAATGTTCATGTCCATGAGTTCACATATCAATGCCACAGCACCGGCTTTCTTGTCACTGAAGAGGAAAAAAGAGTGATCTTATTTAACTACATGGAAGAAAGGATAAAACTACTTATGAAATCCTTTGGTGGATGGGAGGTGGTCTCATATGTAAAAAGGCTAGAACTCAAAAGCAAAAGTTTTGAACTTATGTGGAGACAAAAGTCACTTTATTCAGTAGAATACAACAGTCTGAAAAACATTTTGTTATCATCCACTGACCACCTGTAGTCTTTTATTGGGCAGGTGGCATAAGATAGCCCACCTTACAATACGGGCAACTCCCCATTTACACAGGGGTTACATTCTGAGGCACCGCGTGTTTAAGTGAAATCACGTATATTGGGAACACCACTGAAAAAACCTGCAAGCACCCTCCAAACCTCCTTGCTCAAGCTCCAACTCTCGACAGGCCTCAAAGTTCAGGGCAAAGGCTCCTGGGATTGCACTCGCAAAGGCTTGTGGGATTGCTAGACACTGTTTTCATGCAATTTCTGCCGTTTTTTGCTCTCTTTTAGGGCTGTTTTTGCCCCTTTTCATGCCACTTCCAGGTTCATGGCAATGCGTGTGCGCATAGTCACACTTGCCTTCAATGCATGTAAATTGGGAGTTGCCTGTACATGTAATTCTCCTTAATAGTGTCATTGCTTGAGTCCTTCATTGTACTTTTCTTGTACCGTTCATGCTGCCATCATCTACACTACCAGAGAACACAGATAAAGATGGAATAAAAGCAAGTTGTTCCTTAAAACTTGTACATGTAGAGTCTTGGTGTTCGTGCTACCAGTGGCTCAATGGCCTTACTTAGATATATTACTCAGCCATTCAAGTGCAAGTGATTGGCAGCCCCAGTAGGCTCACTTCCCAACGCAAGGTTATTTCCTGCCCTCCTGGGAGCAGGGGTGTAGGAAATGGCAGAATCTCATTCATTATGCCACAGGAAAATAGAGGAGCTGTTGCCTCAAACAACTGTAACCAGATTAAGACTGATCTGGCAAATGAAATTGTGATTCACCACCTCCGCATCATCTTAGGGAAATACTCACGGTATAGAAAGGGAAGGTGAAAGAAAGCATGTGGCACTTACAATATCACTTCATGCAACGTGAGGATATTTGGATGCGGATTCAGTCGCCTTAGTGCTTGTATCTCTCTCATACTGTTCACGTGGTCGATACTTCAGTATATAAAAAAGGGGAAAGATTAGGCTACTGTGTTAAGGTCGCTTTTGTTTGTTTGTTAAAATTACAGAAGAGTAAACACTTCATCCCCCCTCCTCTTTATTGTTGCTCTGTCCAGTCTGTGGATTGAGCCACACATAATCTCAAGAGATGTGTGAGACACATGCTTGGATGAGTGAATTAGAGCATTTCATGGTTTTCTCTTCCGGTAGCAGAAGAGTGTTATTTCTTTATTTATTTTATTTATGTATTACATTAATAACAGAGGCATCTCATGGCGTTCCCCCAGGTTATGAAAGTGGCTTACAAGACAGCATGTAAACTACTTCTGTAAGAGATCACAGAGAAGCCTCTATATCTTGTCACCAGCTCTAACACCTCTGATGGTTGTGGGATCTGGAGAAGGGCTATGTACTATGTTTAACGCTCAGGACAAAAGAGAGACAAATTTGGATACGTCAGCCAAGTCCATTATTGAAAAATGTAGTGGTTGTAAGGTTAGTTGTCCTCTTTGAAGGCCCTCTTTTTTTGTATAACATTTATAAATATTCAGAATCAATTTTTAAATCAAACTTTGATAATCTTAATTTCAGTATTTCAACATTTAAGTAAAAAGAAAATCCAAAAAGCAGCTGCACCTACCTTTCAAAATGCTGTTTCATTTGTTTACATGCATAATATTGTCCATCTTTGAAATTTTGTACCTTCAGAACATCAGAAAATGTTCCCTCGCCAATCTTACCAATCGTTTTATATTCTAAAAAGGTCAAAATTTTAAAAGAAAACTAGGTTTTAGTATCGATAGCAAGCTTAATATCCTCAAGATTGCTTTAAATTCTTTTTCATTGGACATGTTTACAGTTATAGCTTACTTATTTATTCAACCAACTCTCCTATCATCACTGTATCTATCAAAAACTAAGGCTTGCATCCCTCCACATTGTATAAGGATTATGGAAATACAGCTCTTATTTATGGACAGCTGTGTGAGGAGCTCCACCTTGCTTAAGATTGCATTTGCTGTAATAACTCGAAGCTTTTCTTTGCTTAACTGCCTATCAGATGCTTCTTCAGCAAAGTATGAAATAGTCATTTTACTCCCATGGTCATTTATGAGATAAAATGTTAATCAAATTAGTGTCAATTTAGTTTTCAGTGATTTGAGTTTGCTGTGTAAGAGTATCAGAAATGAGCAACAGGCATTTTAAAGCTTGACCACTATGGCGTTTAAATTCATGCCTATCTAGCCTTTAAGTTGGACTGTTTTGATTCTTAGAATCAAATAATCATTTTTATTATTATTTATTAAATTTCTATACTGTCCTATACCCAGAGGTATATTGTTGGAATCCTTTAGTGAAATGTAGCACATGTAAGCTGGGATCACAGCTGTAGCTACATCTATAATCTCCTAATGCTCTGCTATGTAATTCAGAGAGTTTTACTCGTGTGTGACATTACCACTCACACAGGGATAGCTGCCCATGGATATGGCTGTTGGCCCCCCATATAGACAGCATCCCTCTTGCTATCATATTGATCACTCTCTTAACCATTCTTTAACCTTCTTTGGTGTTAAGTATCTGCAGACTGAGTCAATTCTAACTTTCTTTCCAATTATCTTCTGTAGATACCTCTGTCCTCTCTAATTTGGTTTAATCATCTCCCATACATATCACCTCTACAGCAACTGCTTCTAAAAGCCTCCACTGGCTAACTTCTTATGACAATTAACTTCTTCAGACTGCAGCTAGCTGTAAAGAAAAAGTAGTTCTTTCAGGGAGGGATGCGGGAGGCTCAAATTGCTCTGCAGCTGGAAAAGCAGATGCAGGTGTCTGCAACTCAAGGAGTGCACTGGCTCATAGCTGTACACCATTGATAGCTTTGGAAGCATGTGTTTAAAACGGTTGGTTAAAACAAATAACCCCACCTTTAAAACTTTAGATTCATTGAAGATTATGAAGTCTGAACATGTAGACAACAAACTGTGTTCTAGCATCTAAACAGGTATGGGGTCTTCCACATATTCTTGGAGTAAAAAACTCATCATCCTTGACTACTGGCCATGCTAGTTGGGGCTGATGGGAGCTGGAATGCATTGACATCTGGAAGGACACAGCTTGTCTATCCTCACCTACCCTTCTTTTAAATGAAGTGTGACTATCAGAGCCACATATCTAATAAAGGCAAAGCACATGGAATCTAGGCCTATCCCCAGTTCAAACAGTAGAACACAGACTACAAAGAGTGAAGTACATACCACGGTCATGGTAAGAATTGGTTGTGTATCCCACCCCCCCATTAAAGATCTCTTTTTACAATATATATCACTGCTTGATAATAAATTAAACAATTGCTGTTACCACCTTAGGTATGTTTACTTGACAACTCTATATAGTAACAAAAGGCAGGGTGGGGAAACTGTAGCCCTCCAAATAATGATGGCCTGCAACAGGTGTGGGGAACCTTTGACCCACAAGATATTGCTTAACTACAACTTGCATCAGCCCTACCAATGGGGGATGTCCAGGGATGATGGGAGTTGTGGTTCAGCAACCTCTGGAGGGACGAAAGTTCCCCACACATGGCTATGTTGGCTGGGGATAACTGGAGTTGGAGTTCAACACCATCTGGAGGGTCAAAAGTTTCCCACTCCTGAAGGAAGGCTTGTGCTTGATACATACATGAAAGGAAAACCCATTAAATTGTGTTTTGAGTAAGCATTATCAGATCAGGGGTTAAGAAGAGTTTTAAGGCTGGACTGCAGTCTGAAACATTTATCATGGCATGAGCTTTTGTAGATCATGTCATATAATTCTCCAGATGCATAAAGCAGGCTGAAAATATTATAGGCGTTCATATACTCCTGAATTGAAGCACACATCCTAAATCAGGCATCCCCAAACTCTGCCCTCCAGCAGTTTTGGGACTACAACTCCCATCATCCCTAGCTAACAGGACCAATGGTCAGGGATGATGGGAGTTGTAGTCCCAAAACAGCTGGAGGGCAGAGTTTGGGGATGCCTGTCCTAATTATCGAACATGAAACTAGAATAGGATACACACAACAAAGCAGAAGAAACACCACCTACAATCTCTGTTCAAAGCCTGAAAAATGGTGTCCTTTGAGAGGCAGTACCTAGCCCAGGGTTCCTCAACCTCAGCACTCCAGATGTTTTGAGACTACAATCATGGGAGTTGTAGGCCAAAAACATCTGGAGGGCTGAAGTTGAGGAAGTCTGACTTAGCCCAAGGTCACTCAGTGAGCTGCATGGCTGGCCCAGAGGGGATTTGAATTCTTGTATCTCCCAGGTGGTTGACACTCTAACACAGTTTTCCAAACTGTGTGTCACGACACATGAGTGTGCTGGCATGTTGCCTGAACGCTCCCCGCACTCCTCCTGCAGCTGGAAAGGGGTTAGTTTAACCTCCGGTTTGCTAGTAAAAGGTTATCAGAAATCCCCGTTTCCTGGGGACAGTCCTGGATTTACAAACCAGTCCCCATACAAAATCCATTGAAGTTGAAAAGTGTCCCTGGATTCATTGAAAAAAATCTGGTAACCTTAAGTAAAACTGAATTACTGCGTCACAAAATGATGCATGTCTAAAAAGTGTGTCATCAACATGAAAAATTTGGAAAACTCTGCTCTAACCGCTTTTGTTGTTGGCACTCTACTGCCTCTAGAGACAACTGAGTGCGCCTCTGAGGGCGAAGTCAAACCACTGCATTAACAGCACCAAAGTGACCTCCCTGGGGGTACAAGCCTGGGCAGCGTTTGTGGAGTTCCAGGGCTGTCTAGTTGATGACACCCCCCCACACACACTTGCCGCCCTTGGCCTCGCTGATATGATCCAAAGGAAAGCAGAGCAATACATTGGGCACCAGCTTGGCTGCAGCAGTTGCCAGATGGAGGCGTACAAGGCGCCATCCAACCATCTTAGCTACTCCCTTCTGGATCTGTGTCGGGTTTTTACTCCTAAACCTTGTCTTCTCCTGAATAAATCATGCAAGGCGGAGGTTTAGGACTGGAGTTCTCCTTCTCCAAACGGGCTACCTTCCCAGGTTGGCGAGCCCCATCTGCCCCTCGCTTCCCTCTACAGCACATGCAGAAACCACTATACCACACTGTTACGAACACCTCTTCCCCATCCCGACTGGCTTCCCCTCGCCACCCCCCTTTTTCTTTGCACACAGCTCTCATCCCCTCTCCTCCCCACCCCCCACCAAGCGGGATATCGAATCAGACACCTCTCGCTATAAGAATTTAGCATCTCTGTTTAACTAGCCGGCTGCCAGAAGATATACGCCGGCCTCGGCAGCCACCGGTCGCATCTTTCCAGGACCTGGAACAAACTTCTCCGACGCTATGTTGTAGATCATATACGTTACACACGTGTACACACGTACACCCACACCCACATATATATTCCATTAACCCCTCCTCCCCCGCCTCCTCGCGATCCGCCTTGAAAGCCGAGCTGCACCGGCTCCTCTCCCCCTCCCCCCCCCCAATTCCCCTCAGGGAGACTCGCCGCTGCCGCCGCCCCCAGCGAGGCCGCCCCCTTACTGTTCATCCTCCGCTCGCTTTCCCCGCGCGTGCCCTCCGGTGGGGAGGGGGGTGTGGGGCGGCGAGGGTCCTCTCTGAAGCGCCAGGGCCCCCCGCCCTCCGCTCCCCGCGCCGAGAACTTGTCAGCGCGCCATGTTGTATCCCCGTCACCCTGGCAACCCCAGAGCGTCAAGCTCCCTCAACCCGGGGGCGCGACCGTGTCAGCCCCGCCCTCGGAGCGGCGCAAGCGCAGTTGCTAACCTCCGCCCTCTCCTATTGACTGCGGCAGCCGCAGGGCGGGCTTCATGGCGGCGGCGGGGCCTCCGAGGGGCGCATGCGCACACCGCGGCTCCTCTCCTTTCTGCGCGCAGCCTCAGTCGCCTCGCCCTACGAAACCCCACCCACCCCCGCCCCTCGGGCGGTCCTTGCACATACGCAGTCAAGGGAGAGCCTAGAACCTTAGCCGAGTCGGAAGGGGCGCCCCAAAGGTCATCTAGTCCAACCCCGCTCGGCAATGCGGGAATCACAATCCATGACAGTTGCAACCTCTGCTTTAGAATCGTCAAATGAAGGAGAGTAAGCTTATCTGGGAGTAAGTCGCCGTCGAACTTCCCTGTAAGCATTCTTAAGTTTGAACTGTAAGGGGCACCAGGTAGAATTACTCAATTACACACTTACAAGCGAGCAAGTTCCATTGCACTCAGCGAGGCTTACTTCCGAGTAAGCATCTCCTACTCCATGGAGACACATCTTGAGCATAGTTAAGCAAAATATGTTTTGAAAAGGAGCTATGTTACCAAAACCAACCACCACCCACTGTCAGAATTACAAAGTAGTTATTTTGGAGTGAGAGTTGACGTGACGTGACAGGCATTCAAAAGGAAAGAAATAACATGCTGGTTGAGTCGCTCTTGCAAAACTCGCCACTTCCAGTACAGAACTGGGATTGCAGGAATGTCATCTTGCCTGTGGATAACTGCAGCTCGAATACTGTGTCCCAGTTCGCTAGATAGCTCTGCAACTGCTCCGTGTAATGAGACAACATAGGATCTAAATAACAGAGATTTTGAAAATCCAGAATTCGAAGATGTATCCAGCTCTGAAAATCAACCAGCTGTTACATCGTTTGCTCATAAACCTTTTCTCTAGCTGTTAAAAAAAGGGCAGTGTTGACTCATGTAGTCTATACTCTGTGTGTAATAAATAGCCATTAGACGGTCATTAAACGAAGCAGCCCTTTTTCATAACCGCAGCTACAATTTTTCACACACTCTCAAATGGATCACTTTTGAACAGCATGCAGATCTGCTTCGTTTTACAGTGAAACACACATTTGTGATTTAAAGAAACGACATGCAACTTCAGAAGCACAGCCATTAATATTGTATACGAATTCCAATCTTCAAAGTTGAGTCACCGAGTAGCAGAAAGAAGGCGAAGGCAAAACGTTCTCCTAGTGGCCGGTTAGCTCAGTTGGTTAGAGCGTGGTGCTAATAACGCCAAGGTCGCGGGTTCGATCCCCGTACGGGCCACGAGGAAGCCTTTTGCTTTTCAATAAAATGTTCGTCCGCCACAAAACAAAACAAACAAATGCTCCGTTGCCGTAAAATGTCGCTTAGGGAAAAAAGCAAATTTGTTCATTTTGCAAAGAGCATAAAAGGCGACGGTTATGCGGTGTTGAAAAGCTATTTTCTTTTTAAGTTTACGATTTTTAGGAAAAAAATGATTGACTTCAAAATAAATGTATCCGTACAGCAACAAAAACAGAAAGCTGTGGTTAAGTAAAAACCACCCGGGCTTCATCCTGCGGAAGGGCTGTGCCCATTTCTGTACAGGCATTTCGAACAGATCGCTATGGAGACAAATAAGGCCAGAGTACTCATGTTTTGTCAATCTATTTAATCTGCTCGGCATTTAGAACCTCGACTTTGGCAATACCTTCCATTTTAATAATAATAATAATAATAATAATGAATTTAAAGCTTCCCCCTTGGATAATGCAAACAAAACACGGCCTCTCCAGGCATAATTAACCTGCGATTTTATTTATTCCTATCTGCCCGAAATCCAGAATGTGCCCACCGAGTTCGCGTCAAGGAGATGAGCAAGCGGAAGAGGGGTTCGAAGAGGAAGCACTAGGACTCCAGGGAAGCGACTAAACGCTTTTGAAGCTAATTTGACCCCGCTCGGTTTCCACCGCGACGCTCTAACTCTTGCTCCTCCTCCCCACTCCACCCCTTCGCTGTCGTCACGTTCCGCAAACAGCCGAGCCCGATTCCTATTGGTCCGGCGCTGTTTGTTCCACATGCGCGCGGTAGGGGCGGGGCTTAGGGAGACTTCCAACCGTCTCCCCTGACAGCAGCTAGTCGCTAAGATGGCGGCCTCTGAGGGGAGCGGGCCTGTGGACCCGGACTCGTTGCTCGGCCTACAGCAGCCGGGTGAGACCTTACCCCTTGGGAAGCAAACGGGGAGGCCCGTCTCCGGGAGGCCCGCGGGCCCCCGTATCGCCGGGGCTGCGGCATCGCCTCAAGGGCGGGAAGCCTTTTCTCCTGCAGCCCAGGACGACGGCCGCGCGGCTTCTCATCCCCACTTCCCGGCTCGGGGCTTCTGCTCAGCGACTTCCGCTTCGGCTTCGGCGGCCCCGCCGGTGTCCAGTATCCCGCACGACGCGGCGCAGCGGCTGCAGAAGGTGCCCCGTGTTCCCGCCAGGCTCCTGCCGCCCAAGGTATAAGAAATAAGCCTGTGGGGTTTAAGTGGGGGTTTTTCCTGAGGGGTGAGGGGGATCGCTGATGCTTAAGTCGTTGTTGTTGTTGTTGTTTAGTCGTGTCCGACTCTTCGTGACCCAATGGTCCAGAGCACGACAGGCACTCCTGTCTTCCACTGCCTCCTGCAGTTTGGTCAAACTCATGCTGGTAGCTTCGAGAACACTATCCAACCATCTCGTCCTCTGTCATCCCCTTCTCCTTGTGCCCTCCATTTTTCCCAACATCAGGGTCTTTTCCAGGGAGTCTTCTCTTCTCATGAGGTGGCCAAAGCATTGGAGCCTCAGCTTCACGATCTGTCCTTCCAGTGAGCACTCAGGGCTGATTTCCTTCAGAATGGAGAGGTTTGATCTTCTTGCAGTCCATAGGACTCTCAAGAGTCTCCTCCAGCACCATAATTCAAAAGCATCAATTCTTCAGCGATCAGCCTTCTTTATGGTCCAGCTCTCACTTCCATACATCACTACTGGGAAAACCATGGCTTTAACTATATGGACCTTAAGTCGTAGAATGGTTAAATTGCTGCTTGCGGGGCGGAAGGCTGTTGCTATTTATTTATTTAATAAATTTATATACCGCTTTTAATCCGAAGATCCCAGAGCGGCTTACAACATAAAAACACAAAATACATATTATTATTATTATTATTATTATTACTACAGTATTGTTAAGTATTTGGTGTTTTTATGTTGTAAGCCGCTCTGGGATCTTTGGCTGTAGGGTGGTATATAACTATAATAATAATAATAAATTAATATAGGGTCACCAAAGTGCTGCTTTACATGGGTGCAAATGGTTTAGTGTCCTCTGAATGACAGAGAGAGCACTGGAAACTTAAGGTGTCTTGGGAGGAAAAGAAATTCTGGATCTCCTGTATACAAAGCAGGCACGCCTTTGAAGCAGTAGATTTACCAGAGAGCAGTGCTTACCCATCACAACCTCGCCTGGGGTGGAGCTTCCCCAAAGTTGTGAACTTCTTTGGGGAACATCACCAAAACTTGCTTAGCTCCGACACCCTCCAGCCCCCCATCATGCCCAGGACACCCTGCCCTCCCCCCCCGCCCTCTTCCACTACTGCTTTCTGCCCATTCTAAAGTTGCACAAGCATCTGCTCCCTCTGCTGAACTGAGGGGTGTACCATAAAGAAATGAAAGGAGATTCCCAACTTTCACAAATCCCGTCAATTAATTTCCCATGGATGAGACACCTACTGACCACGCCAGACTTTTACCCAGCAATCTGCTTAACAATAGCAGGTCAGTTAGCAGTTAAAACCACATGATTTCTCCCCTTCCTGCCCTTGATCTCCTTCAGGTCACTATTAAAAATTTACTCCACTCCCCATAAAACCTTAACTTTAATCCTTACAATGATATTGTTGGTTTCTATTTCCTTCACTGAGCAGCAACTGCAGTCACAAGACAGGTGTTTACATTCCACAGTCTGTACTGTTGGAGTTTCTCACGGGAAAGGGAGACTGGATGTGACGTACACTGGTTTCCTGTTTTTCACTGGGTGATTCTCTCCAAGCTGTTGAGGAGAGAGGATGCTCTTTTCTGCTCCTGCAGAGGCAAGATGTCTTTCTGTAATATACCAGCTTTGAACTGTAAATAAAGCTATATAGAGTATGCAGCACATTTTCCTCATCCTTCCGCTGGACTCTGCTTTAAATCAACACGTGGTTATGGACTCCAGAGGTCGAATCGAAGTGCCGGCAGAGGATCGGAATGCAGAGGGACGGATCGGAAAGGAATCTGCTCTGCGCGTAGAAGTGATTGATGAGGTATGTGCTACTGCTCCGGGCAGCCTGCCAGCTTCAAGTTAATGGCTTTATGGCTGGACTTTGAACTTTTAAAGCCGGTTTTGCCGGGAATAGGCAAAAGGCTCCCAGGCACAAGTCACTATGCTGGGGAAATCAGAACTAAGTGTGCCTTGTAGGCAGCTGCAGCAGTGACGCAGCAAGATTTAAAGCAGCATATGACGCTGAAGGCTAATGCCAGAGTCATGATGGCCCTTCAGGATGCTTGTGGGATTCCTAAGCTCAACAAGAAAAATTACAGCGACTGGGTTCAGTATGCAGAGGCAATTCTGCGGAAAGAGGGTTTGTTTGAGGTGATTACAGAAACCCCCCCAGTTCCAGTTACAGATGCATGGGAAGCTAAGGATTCCAAAGCAAGGGGAACTCTTACATTGATAGTATCCCCAGAAGAGCTCTGTCTATTGCGTGAGAAGACCTCAGCCAGAGAAATTTGGGACGCTCTGAGAGAGGCTCACTTAAGGACAGAAGCTGGATCCACTATGTATTATTTTAACAAGCTGCATAATATGGCTCTTGCTGAAGGTGGAGATGTGCGTTTACATCTGATGCAGATGCAAAATCTGAGGCATGAGCTGCAACAGAGAGGACTCAACTTTCCAGAGGCTGTGTATTCTTTCATGATACTACAATCTTTGGGTTCAGGTTGGGAGTCTGTTGCAACCCAGATTGCTGTGCAACCAACTGCTCAGCTGACAGTGGACTTTGTTACTGCCGTGATTTTAAATGAAGCAGATCGCCGGGGTGCTAGCTGCATGGGCAAGGGGGAGTCTTCACAGACGTCATCCCATAGTGCAGTGGAACCACCAGATGGCGCCAAAGCTTTGGAGGCAGTGAAATGCTACTCGTGTGGACGTCTAGGCCATATGAAGAGGGAATGCAGAAATCCCAGGGCCAAGACAGAGCAGCGCAGCGAAAGCTCATCGCGTGGAAAAGGCCGAGGCAAAGGCAAAGGTCCGGTGTCTAGGACAACGCAGCACAAGGCTATGGTTTCACGCTTCACTCCAAAGGTTGCAGAGGTCCAGAAGACGTCTAGATCTTTCTTCGTTGTTGATTCAGCGGCCACCCACCACATGTGCAACGATAAGAAACTGTTTGTGTCTTTTACACCGCAGGAAGGTGCGATTCACCAGGCGGATGACCACACTATTCCCAGTAAAGGCTACGGAACTGTTGTTCTTCACAGTTTGGACTTATCGATACAGAATGTGCTTTACGTGCCAGACGCCAAACATAATCTGCTCAGCGTTGGACAGCTAAATGAGCGGAACATTGACGTTTCCTTCAAGAACAAGAAGTGCATCATCACAAAGAAAAATGATTATGTATTGCATGCAGAATATGTTGATCATTTGTTTGTTTTGTATTATGATGATGTGGTGCAGGATGACACTTGTTGCATTGCAGGTTCTAACAAAAGTTTGCATGCAGAATGTATTCACGATTTTCATCGCAAATTTGGTCATTTGCATTTTGAGGCAGTATCTAAAATGCCTGCCTTGGTTGAAGGTATGACTATTAAACCCTGCAGGTACCACATGAAGTGCAAAGCATGCGCAGCAAACAAGGTGAAAATGGCTGCGAAAGGTAAGGTGTCTAGTAGGAAAGCTACAGAACCATACCAGGTTGTTCATGCTGATTTGGTTGGACCACTAGCGCCTCTTTGGGTGAAAATAGATACTTCATGGTTCTCATTGATGCATTTTCTAGATATATTTTTGTGTACAATCTCAAGCAGAAATCGGAGGCTTTTCCTAGGTTCAAGGAATTCTGTGCTTGGTTGGAAAATGTGCATGGTAAGAAGATAAAGACTCTTTTCAGTGATCGCGGGGAATTCACTTCTCAGCAGTTTGAAGCTTTTCTGACTGAGAAAGGAATTCAACACGATTTGTCTAGTCCTCGCTCGCCATGGCAGAATGGACTTGCGGAACGGGCAAATCAGACTTTGCTTCAAGGGTTAAAAACCTTGCTGCATGATGCCAATCTTCCAGAGAGTTATTGGGCCGAATCTCTCTCGTGTTTTGTTTACAGTTACAATCGCAGGCTATCTTCAGCGATTGGTTGTACCTCTATGAGAAGATGTTTGGCAAGAAGCCATACATCAAACACATGAAGATTTTTGGTTCTGACATGTGGGTTCGCTCACCACAAAACTCCAAGTTAGACAAGCGTGGATTGCATGGTATCTTTCTAGGTTATCAGAAAGGGTCTTACAGAATAATGATGACTGACTCTAAGACAATTAAGCTCACGAGAAGTGTTGAGTACAATGCAAAGTGGGTGGAGAATGTGGGAATTTTCCAATGTTATCCTGATGACGGTGATGAGACTGAGGATAGTCAAAAGCAACCACAACAACCCACTCCCACTGATGAAGGTTCTGAGTCTGAATCTGAAACTGAATCGGGTGATTCAGAGGATTTCGAGAGTGCGAAAGCCTCTATGCGACCCTCTGAAAGCTCTGATCAAGAATTGGAGGAACCATTGTTCACAATAGGTCGTTTTTCTCCTAAGAAGGAAGAGGAGAGTGTTGAAGACTTAAGGCTAATTCGTAGGTCACAGAGAGCTACAAAAGGCAAACCTCCAAAGAGATTTGCTGATGAGTTTGCTACGATAGCAGTAACAGCTGTTAAAAGCTCCAAGAAGGTATTTGAACCTTCAAGTTTCCAAGAAATCCAGGGTTTGGATTCAAAGGAAGCTAAGCCATGGTTAAATGCCATGAAGGCTGAGCTTGATTCCTTAGAAAGGAACAAAACATGGGAGCTAGTTCCAGTAGTTCCAGGAATGAAACTGCTTGAAGCAAATGGGTCTTCAAAGCGAAGACAGATCAAAATGGCAAGATAGTCAGACACAAAGCCAGATTGGTAGCCAGAGGTTTTGCACAGGTACCAGGTGAAGACTATCACGAGACCTATTCACCCACAGTGAGATATGAAAGCATTAGGCTTATGCTCAAGCTAGCTGCAGAGGAAAATCTACACATTAGTCACCATGATATCAATACAGCTTTTCTGTACGGATCTCTAGATGAATCACTTTATATGCTTCCACCTGATGGCGTACAGGTAAAACAGGGATTTGTTTGTGCTCTGAAGAAATCCCTTTATGGTCTCAAACAAAGTGCACGGTGTTGGCACACAAAACTCACTGAAGTATTGTTTTCTCTAGGTTTTCAGCAAGGGAAAGCTGATCCATGTGTATTTATCAAAGAGGAGGGGCAAAAGAAACTGTACTGTTTGTTTTATATTGATGATTTGTTATTCTTTTGGAAAGATGTCGCAATGTACAATAACGCCCTAGCTCAACTGAAAGAGCACTTTGACATGAAAGATCTTGGTGAGGTAAACAACTACCTATCTCTAGAAATAGAGAGAGATCAAGATGGTAACATTCTAGTACACCAGTCACGGAAAATTGCTGATGTGTTAAGCAAACTAAATCTGATGGATGCTAACCCTGTAGACACACCGATGACAACAGGTTATCAGGTAGATGACACTGAAGAAGCATTTTCTGACACTACACTGTACAGGAGTGTGCAAGGCAAGCTAAACTTCATTGCCAGATGTTCAAGACCAGACATTGCTGTTAGCTGTAATTTGCTAAGCAGACAAGTCAACAATCCTAGTGTCAAGGATTGGAAAGCTCTGAAACGCATAGCGCGGTATTTGAAAGGCACTATGCATTACAGACTGAGATTTAACAATCAGAAGTCTGGTGGTCTTGAGATATTTGCAGATGCAAGTTTTGGAAGTGACACTACAGACAGGAAAAGTACGTCTGGAGTTTGCTACATGTACAATCAGAGTCTGTTTGATTGGTCATGCAAGAAGCAAACAACAATTAGCTTAAGTACTTGTGAAGCTGAACTGAATGCACTGTCTTATTCACTTAAGGATTGTGAATGGTTAGTACAATTGTGCAAAGATATGAAAATTCCTGTCAAATGTCCAATCCAGGTTTACCAGGACAACAAAGCATGTTTGGCTTTGCTGAAGTCTGAAGGTTGTAAGCAAAGCACAAAGCACTTGCAATTAAAGTTGCAGCATGCTAGGGAATGTATTCAGAAGGGACTCGTAACGGTGTCCTATATGCCAGGTAATGAAATTCCTGCTGATGTATTGTCCAAGATTGTATCAAGGGATCAACACTGTACCTATGTGCAGAAGTTGGGTTTGTACTGATATTGTGCAAACACGCTGCCCAGTGATGTTCACAGAAAGGGGGAGGATGTTGGTTTCTATTTCCTTCACTGAGCAGCAACTGCAGTCACAAGACAGGTGTTTACATTCCACAGTCTGTACTGTTGGAGTTTCTCACGGGAAAGGGAGACTGGATGTGACGTACACTGGTTTCCTGTTTTTCACTGGGTGATTCTCTCCAAGCTGTTGAGGAGAGAGGATGCTTTTTTCTGCTCCTGCAGAGGCAAGATGTCTTTCTGTAATATACCAGCTTTGAACTGTAAATAAAGCTATATAGAGTATGCAGCACATTTTCCTCATCCTTCCGCTGGACTCTGCTTTAAATCAACAGATATGACAAGTAGATAAACGTGTATAATAGTAGTTTCAGGAGTATGCAAGCTAGAGTATTTATTTTTTTAAAAAAAGGGTCAATTGTGCTACAATTTCTGACCAATCTTGACTTGGATAAAAGGAGACTTTTAAAAACTAGTGTGTGGTGATCTAGATCAGTTTCATTTTCAAGAATGTATGGGAAACCTTATATGATTTTGTGCTTAAACAAGCTTTATTTTTTCTTACAGCCATTGGAAACCATCTGTGTCCAAGTACAGCCAGAACAGAAAAAAGAGAAAGAAAGATCAGAGCGGTCTCATGCAGCAATTCAAAGATCAAAAAATGTAACTCTGAATCAGCCACTTGAGAAAAATTCCAGGATTGTAGCACTCAGTGTTATTAACCCACATATTGCTACAGTGCCTAGACCACAGCAATTTTTGTTATATAAATCTTCTGAACCTACCCTTCAGCTGCTTCTGCAGAAGCCTTTACATCCTCTTGGACAAGTTTCCTCAGGCAAGATAACACATGAAGTACTCAATGGCCTCGCTGTCAAGGGACAGGAAAACATATCTGTTGCAATAGCTGCTTCAGATTCTCCAAATGTTACTCGCACCCCATCTTGTTCAGCAAATTCACTCACAAACCACGAGAAGAAATACAAATACAGAGTTAAAAAATCTCTAAAAGTGAAAACTCGTTCTGGGCGGATTTCAAAGCCTCCCAAATATAAAGCTAAGGATTACAAATTCATTAAAACTAAAGACTTGGCTGACTGTCACCAGTCTGATTCTGATGACTATGCTGAGCTAAGTCTAGAAGATGATGAAGGAGGCGGCAAGGAGAAGGAAGTGTGCTCGTTATTTGGTCCCTTGAACTATGACCTGAAGCCAAAATCGTTTAAATGTCAAAGCTGTGAAAAATCCTACATAGGAAAAGGAGGATTAGCACGGCATTATAAACTTAATCCAGCTCATAGGCAGGAAGAATCTTCACAATCTTCTCCTATAAATAGAGAGTTGCTGGAGTGTACTGGGCAGACAAGTTGTGAAAGTGTACATCAGACGCTTTCACCACCACCAATTAGTGCCCCTTTAATAAATGAAATTGGATCAGCTGTAGACTTGAAAAATAATCTTCCTATAGAGAATAAGCAACAGGTAAGAGAAATATATATTTATTTCTATTTCAAATTATCCAGGGAATGGTCAGCTCATGCCCTCTGCCTTTCCAGAGCAAGCTGGATCTCCCTTTGCCACTTATCTAAATCCAGTTCAAGGCTTCAGGAATCTATACAATAGGCTTCACTGAATGGCATTGCTGGAATATTTTAAACAACTGCACTATTGACGCTTCTAATTCTAAAAGCTAGTAGCTCATTAAAGTTAGGAGAAAAACAGATGTATGCCATTCTTATCCCTGCAATATGAAGAGGGAATTAGTCTGGGATAGAGGCTGCTGGTAACGTTTAAGTATTTAATGGACAATCTATTCTAAAGGCAATTTCTAATCAATGTAATGGGGAAGCATACCATACAAAAACTCCTTTTCATGAATGGCATTTATCATATGAAAGCAATACAGTGCTGTATTGATACATGCATGTCTTAAAAGATCTTTAAATACTGTGAATTAGTGGTCATGATTACTGGATAGATAAGGTAACTGGTGTAAAAGTGTTGCTAGTAGTCTCATTGCCTTCCTCCTTCTGAATTGCAAGATTCATTTTGAAGCTTCCTTGCAAGTAGCAAGCAAATGAAAACTGCTTACCAGCTGCAGTAATTCCAGAGGCACCATTGTTTTGCCTTGTTGCTCTATCAGTGCACCTTACCGTGTCAAAAAGTAGGTTGTCCTTGTTTCTGGAAGTAGACAGGGTTATGTGAAAATAAATCCTAAAACAGCAAAGTTAGCAGCACATGCAAACCATAATGATGTGACATCGCGGTGCATTAAAGGTAGGAGAAAAGGAATTTGCAATCTTCCTTGTCTTGAAGTGACATGTGGGAAGTATATGTGTCTTTTAACTCTGTTTTATAGGATAATGTTAGTATAATGATTCCAAACTGAAAAATTAATACAGTCAAATTTAATACAAAAATTAATAGTCAAAATTAATACAAAAAATTAATACAGTCAAAACTGTTTAAAGCATTCTTATGAACATTTTTTAAAGTATTCTACATCTACAGAAGATGGAAAGTTAATAGAACATCAAAACACCGATTTATTGTATTTGGGTCCTGGAAGACCCCGACAACCAAGAAGGTGTGGCCGACCAAAGAGAGCTGAAAGATCAAGGTATTCTGGAAGATACAGCAGACGCAGTCAGTTCTCTTCAAAGTGTCTTAATAATATGTCAGCAGAGCACCACAGTATACTTAGAAGGAAAGCTAGGCTAAAAGAGGTATGGTTCCTTTTCACAATTGGTCATGCTCACTTGTCTAGTGATAGTTTCTCCATTAGGCTACAGTGCTCACAATACAATCTTAAGCATGTTTACTGAGAATTGGGTCTCAATGAGCTCAGTGGGACTTACACCTTGGTAAAAAAAACTTAGGATTGTGAACCTAGAGAGGCCTGGATGCTTCCCCACTTCTGAACTATCTGGCCCTCTGGATTCACACCAGTACGTCTCCTCACCCTCCTTGAGTGACTTTGCCTAGCTGGAATGTGCTGTTGTACCTTAATAGTACCTTACTTACTTGAATGGAGGGATATGTGTGTGCATGTGTGTTGAAACCTATGACTTTTGTGTAGTTGGAAAGAGATCCTACAGTAACCACTTTTGCCAGCCGCCCTTGCCGCCATTGCTGTATGGCTTCAAGAACGTTGCTCATGAGGAAATGCTGCCGCAGGATTGACAAAGGTTCCCCATCCCTTAGTTAGACTCATCCATTTAAAATATTTTGATAACTTGAAATGGTGTCTCAGTTGGGCAACACATATTCCTGAAATTATTTTTGATATAAGTATAAAATGGGGAGATGGCTGGTGCTATCTTATAAGAACTATCCCTTTCTCTTCAAGCAGGATGAAATGTTTCTAAGGGTGCCTGCTGTTTCATCTAAGAGGAAGCATGCCTTTCTCATCAAAGCTATTTATACAAATGTGACCATTTATGCAAATTCAACCATTTAAAACTCCTACAACTTATTTAGTTATCTGGTGAAAGACTTACTATTTTTTCTTTCAGAATCTGCCAGCTAAGATTCTACTTGGTAGCTAGGCTTTCATGTAGTAAATGAGGCTTGAAAACTTGGATAAAGTGTCTGCCCATGGCAAAATAATCCAATTGTGTGTGCTTCAAACAAGTTGTACATGTTTTCTGCATTAGTTTTGATCATCTCCGTGCAGGAAGAATGTTGTGTGAGTTGGACCCTAGATCTCACTGCTGGGATTTAAAAATTGAATTTATTCTGGCAATGACCCTAAGAACTGTCTCCTAACATTGACACTTCTCAGTGATTTATCTGTTTTCTATAATAAATTGCTCAGATATCATGCATTTTTCTTTGTTCATTTCCATGTATTTAGACTTGGCGTTTTAGCGATTTGACTTTATGGCTTCTCTAAAGAAATTATTATGGTCTTTAATAGCTGATTCAGCAATGTGCCAATGAAGATTTTATGGAGCTGGCTCTTCCACGCTTTACAACACTTGTTACTGTATCTGAATTCCTATTGATGAAGGTAAGATACATCTTGCAAACTTAGTATTTATTATTCATTTATTTTGTGCATTTTACACTATCTGCAAATGTGGATTTAATTTCCTATAGTCAATCTCTTTAAACTTGAGTCTCTCATGGGGGTCTGAACAAAAATTGGATGAAACCAGATTAACCAGGAGGAGTACAAGGAATTACATGGTGGAAGATTGAAGCAGTGGGACACATCACTTTCCCTGCCCTATTTGAAGTTATAGTTTAGGGGAAAGTCAACAATTTTATTTCACTCTTTATGGAAATATAGATTAGTACAGTAAGTTATTCCAGTGAGATATTTTACTCATAACAGGTAGATAGGAGTTATGGTTCTTAACATAATCTTCCTAGACCTTGAACCACAGCCTCTGTTGTCTAGTTTTCTTAACTCCACAGTCCCTACTTCTCCAGCCTCTGTTTAACATAAGATCAATTTAAGCCAACAGCAACCAGATGGACTGACAGCTGTCATCCAAACCAATGTGGTCAAGATAGGGGACTTGATGGAGAGGTTCAAATAGTGCTTTCTGCCTTTAATTGCCTGTTACTTGTTTGCATTATAATAGGCTTGAATGATACTTATAGCACGTGATTGTGAATTTGCTGATATTCATGTAGCTTTTGTTCCCAACCAGGTAAAAAAAAATTATCCAACAAAAGCACTTTTTCCAGAAGTATACCGGGAATTTGAAGAGCTGCACACTATAGTAAAGAAAATGTGCCAAGACTATTTGAGTACTCCTGAAGTAAACAACCCTCTGGCAATAAAAAACCCAAAGGTATGTTGGGTAGTTCCGTGTGTGGCTGTGAATCAAGATCCAGTAGCTAAACTGAGTGCAGCAGGTGAAACTGAACACATTTTCTTTAAAAGAAGGAGTGTGAAGATAAATAGCAAATACTGAAGATAAGCAGAAATTAAGTACATCTTATTCTATATTTGCGCTTCTGTCTTTTGCTTTTAGGCCTACTTGCTAAGATCAAATATAGTACCTTGGAGTAAAAAACAATCACAATAGCTAAATAATTTTCTGGTAAAGCAGCTTTATTTACAAACATGATACTCAAAATATTAACAAAGAAGACTTGGTAAGGTCTAATAAAACCATCCTCGAAATAATGCAGGTACATGCCCTGCTGACTGTAAATAAGAATTTTGAAATAATGAAATTTACTGTGAATAAATTGTGTATTACTGGTCTAGGACAAAAATATTGTGTCTCATCTTTCATAGGTGGCTGAATCTCTAGGAATTATAGGCAGTGATCTTGAAATGCAAATGGTTCAAACAATAGACTCTTCACCTGAGTGTATTAAAATTGCTGATGCACCTGTATGTACAGAGATTCTGGGACAGAAACGAGCAACTGAGGTATAAAATAGGTGAATTCTGCCACATCAATAATACTGTACAAACCTTGTAGCATATTTAACTTTTCTTGTGCTTTTTTGTTTGTAAATGTGTTGCTGAAAATAAGCTGTTGCATATTTAATCTTCCATACAAAATTGGTCTTTATAAGCAAACCATACTTTTTTGGCATAAGTTCATTCACTTGGATTCTTGTGTGGCACAAAGTGCTGCCAAATGAACAGAGCTTTTTAAAATACTGGAATAATTTTAAAAAGTTGACATTTGATAAATAGGCTGGTAAGTTTATTTTCTCTCTCAACAGGGTTCAGATGAAATGTTGCCATTTGCAAAAAAGATCAGAGCTGAAAATTTGTTAGAAACTGTGACTATCAGTTCAAGTCATGGTGAAATAAAGGAAAGAAGTCCTGCATATGAAGGTAGTGGTATGTGAATTCTAATATCTCCATTCTTTCCTGAAGATAAAATTACGTGCAAATAGCTAGGAAGCTGAAAGAATACAATGACCCTTTAAATTGTAGTGGTATAAGTCTAAAAATAATGTTGAGTAGGGAGAGAGAAAAAGGAAACTTAGCTAAAAATTTGCTGTATCCTTCACACTTGCATTCTCCTTTCTTGCCAAGGTACTTAATGCATATGTTTTCCAAAAGTTGTTTCCCCCCCCTTTATTGGTGATTTGAATCCAGATTTCACTAAATGAATGTCAATACTGCTGTTTTAGAAACACAAGCTTAAAGCCCCATTGGGCGTACAAAACTAACTATACTTTTGTTTAGCTCTCAACCTATTTTGGAAGGAAATGTGATATAATGCAAGTATTTATTATTGGTAAATACTCCACCACCTGGGTACTTCAGGGATAAATGTTAATGCTGCCAAGCAGATTTTAAAAAAAAATCTGTTGCCAAAGTAGAAGCTGTTTGTTTATAAACTATTGATTCTATTATACTACTTAATGCTTAATATTATACTTAAACAGCTTAATTTTTTATATGGGTAGCAAAGACCACATTATATACCACAATCAGGTGGTATATAATTTTTATGAAATAAATATTTTATAAAACACTTCAGTTTTTGTCTGTTTTGAAAAGCATGCATGTAAACTGAAGTTTTGTGTTTTTTAACTTGATTTTTTTAGGTTTCCCCCCAGAACAGAACTGCGGAGCAAACATTTGCACTGGAAATACATTACAGCAAAAGGAGCACCACAAATCACTTGAACTAGAAGCTTCAAATGAGATTGCAGATACAGATCAGTTCCTGCAAGGGAAGGCTGAGGTCTTACAACCTTCAAGTGTATCAGGGTTGGATTGTTCAGGCTACCTATTCTCACGGAGTGAAAGGTTGCCACTTGCCAGTTCAGAATGTTCACAAGAAAAGATGGTGGCAGCGTACTCGGATAATGCAGCAAGCGGAATAAGTGTGTTTGAGATTTGTAACTCCACAGCATCAAAAAAAGCAAATCAAAATCCTTGTCAGTGCATGAAGAAAGCAATCATAATGAAAAATATCAAGAATCTCAGGAAGAAGCGAGGATTTTGTCATTAATAGATTGTGAACATCCTAGGGTATCTGATTAAACAAAATCTTCCCAAATTAGTAACATGGCAGTAGCGAATCCATTTGGGTATCAATGAGATAGTGTTTCTATATGATCTTAGAAAACTCATTGACAGTCTATTAAAAAGATGACTGGATGAGCTAGAAACTCTTTTCTAGGGATATGAAATAGTTCAGGCTTTGCCTCATCCTGGTGCTGCTGTCTTTTTCAACCAGTGTTGTAACCAAATTGATGATCCTGCTATGCACTTACACATTCAAGTTCTTTGGAAAGTACAGAGGCTCTTTTAACAACATTGAACTTGCTCAGAGTAAAGCCATTATGAAAATATATGGGTTTTTTAAAAAAAACTTTCTTATAGTGTATATTTTTGTTATTAAATCTTAATTTTCTGCTGCTTGTGACCTTTGTGCAATTACAACTAACGTGACTGAAGAGTAACTAGAATTCCAAGTAAACTGCACTGTTTACCAAACTGATCCGTTTTCTGGGCACAACTTATTACCAAAATCACACTGCTTTTTGGCTAAACGGTAGGATCAAGAACCAGCTCACTGGTAATAACCTTTTTATAAAATTGGTAATCTGTGCAAACAAAGGTAATGGCATTCAGTGCTGGATATCAAACTGTAAGTGATGGTTTATCTAGTTCAAATTAAAGGTACTACATATACTATCCTTGACACCTTGGGTGTGTCAGGTCATTTTGATGTTTTGAACACAGGAGCTGCTCTAAAGCTGCGAAGCATAGAGGGATTGTATTTCAGTCAGTTACGAAGTGAAAGCTTCAATCTGGTAAGTAGGTCACTTTCATATTTAGATATTTATTATCATCTGGAAGAGTGGGCCTCCATGTCCCAGAGATGAATCCAATCCCCCAACATACAGACTTCAGTGACAGACTTCAATGAGGCTGTTCAGATTTAGATAATTCCCCAGAGTAGCGGCAATTCTAAAAAGCATATGCCTCTGGGCACAACCTGAGCCGAAATGGTAATGTAGCATTTGCCTAATGTTAACAATTTTCTGTTCACTAAGGTAGAAATGCAAAAAGTTCCTAATAGCCATTGGTGCCTGAAAAAAATGGGCCTGGCAGCTAGGATGCTGAGAAGGACAGGAGGCTGTTAGTGATTTGCCTCTTGTATGTGTTTCCTGAAATCCCCAGTGCTTTCTGTGCTGTCATGGCCTAGCAACAGAGGCAAGGATGGGACTTTATGGGATTTAAATATCGGCCTTGTAATCCAAGGCATGTGTTAACTTTTCTCATAGCCCTGGTGAAAGATACAGCTACAGTCATATTTCGATTATAAATGAGGACAGAGTGCTAGTGCACTCAGGTACTGCTATCAGGCTTTCCACAGGCATATAGTTGGCCATTGAGAACAGTATGCTTGACTAGATAGACCATTGGCCTAATCTAGCAGGCTCCTCTTACACTCATGGTGTGAAGAAGAAGAAGAAGAAGAAGAGGAGGAGTTTGGATTTGATATCCCGCCTTTCACTCCCTTTAAGGAGTCTCAAAGCAGCTAACATTCTCCTTTCCCTTCCTCCCCCACAACAAACACTCTGTGAGGTGAGTGGGGCTGAGAGACTTCAGAGAAGTGTGACAGGCCCAAGGTCACCCAGCAGCTGCAGGTGGAGGAGCGGAGACGCAAACCTGGTTCCCCAGATTTCGAGACTACCGCTCTTAACCACTACACCACGCTGGCTCTGTGAAAGCTGTGAAAGTTCAGACTTTAAAACAAAAGAAAAAGGAGTTCCACTGGATATTGAAATCTTTGAAAGCAGATTTTTAGAGACCCTAAAGTTAATCAAGCTCTGTTTTAGAATTGTTTTGATTCTATTATTTTACAAAATTTATATAAACCTGGATGGTACTAAAACCTCTTAAGTGGTTTTGTTTGTTGTAATCCCAATATGGGACCTGCTAGGTAGATACAATCTTAGAAAATAAAGCAGACTTTATTAAAAAGTTGGAACTATACAAAAATACATAAATTGCATTGTGTTTAATGAATTAGCAGTGCAGTTCAAGGCAAGTGCAACTTTATAAAGTGGTAGGAAAGGTTAGACCAGCCTGTGTCCTGTTTCCAATAGCATGCTTTCTAGTAATACTTGGCTGGTATTCTCAATGTAGGGCTGGTATAACCATGACGATAAGTAGGCCATCAGGAGATCTTGGTCAGCGGTATGAGCAATCTCTTGCACAATAGTTTGCTTGAGTTTTAATTCCTTTGAGTACATGTTCAAGAGCTTTCCAGAAACTTCATCTGAAAAAGATAAATTAAATCAAGAAGTAGCTCTGGAAATACATAGGCATTCCGAATATGGCTTAGGACAGCAAATGAAGAGAAGAATGTGCACCAACTTTGTCCCCACCCTCCTCTCAATTAGATGCTGTGTTTCCTAGCAACTGTCTGCAGTGGGAAAACATCATGTACCCCTGTGCACTTTGAAAGCCTGATTTTTTTTTCAGGGTTTCAAAATGCATAGATACAGCCATGATTCCAGGCGGCTTCCCTGCTGCAGACAGTTTGATAGGGAACAAATGGTGAATGTGGTACCCTCAGAGTGCATACTCTCATATGTATTGACGAAGCCATAATTCAGAATGCCTGAGTAGTGCTCTGATTTTGCTTCATAGTACAAATGCTGAACATACTACATTGCTAGCTAGATTGCTTGCCTATAGTTTTTAAGCTTTAGAATTAATTAACTCCTCTTCCATCCCTCAAGTTCCATATTTCTCCTGTTGCGCAATTTTTAAAAAGCTTATCTGGTTTCAACATATGGAATTCTAGGAATTGATGTGGGTTGATGATGTGAAGCATTCTCTCCTGAGAGCTATAGTTGCCCTGTAGAGTTGCAATTCAAGCAATATAAGCTAAATTTAATTTCTTTAGCTCACAGTATTCCACTCTCATTTTCAAATGAATATGCTTCAGCAGAAAGAAATAGCAGTATCTCATAAAGGAAGAATTTACTTACAGAAGTAAGGAATGGGCCATGTGTGAAAGAATGGTGTCTTCTGGTCTCCATGATATGCTTCTAAGTCGCAGATCCCTTTAGTAGTTGAACATAGTTTTTCCATTTTCTGTTGTATTTTTGCCTAACAAAGTTTTAAATGTCTGTGTAAGAAGCTAATATTTTGTAACCAACAGAACAATCCTAACCATGTCTATTCAGATGTCACATTGAATTTTATGTTGGAACTGCCCTGAAATCTGCAGATGAAGAGCGATATACAAATTTAATAAACAATAATAATTACGGTAATAAATACCATATTTATGTGAATCTAATGCACCTTCAAATCTAATGTGCACCTCAGTTTTCAAAACCTTAAAACAAAAAAAAGTACAGTAGTACCTCGGGTTAAGAACTTTACCTCAGGATGGGATCAGAAATTACGCGGCGGGAGGCCCCATTAGCTATAGTGGTACCTCAGGTTAAGAACGGACCTCCGGAATGAATTAAGTTCGTAACCAGAGATACCACTGTATTTGCTATGTCTGTGTTTTTCAAGCTTGCAATTGAGCCTAATGCACCATCAAATCTAATGCACACTCTAATTTCCATGACATAATTGGGCCAAAATGGTACACATTACATAAGAGTAAATAATGTAATAACAACAATAAATGTGTTTTTGTTCTGAAGTGGCAATCCTAGACCCACCTACCTGGCCTAACCTCAACTGAATTCAATGTGACTTATTTCTGAGTACACATGAATACGACTGCAGCTTAACATATGTTCTATCTGTGCAGGCTACTCAATCCCTACTTTCAGAAACTTCACAACCAGGGAACTTTTATTACAAAGACTGGATAACTGGATTAGAGACAAATCACTAATTATTCAGTCAGTACTGGACTAAAATTAGTAATTCTCAAAGGGCATTTTTCACAATAAAACATTAAGAATAGTTTCAGTTCTCCCTTCTGAATGTTTTGCACAGAAGAGATTCATTTTTCATTTGGCTGATTGCTCCATTAGCTAGATTTGCATATAATTCTTATACCCTCTCTTGTGAAGGGATGTTGTCTTGAATATTCAGGGGAAACATTGTTAAAAAGAAGACCTCTAGATCTCCCACAAGTGGCTATGGCCTCTCCAGAACAAGGGTTCAGAAACTGTCCAGGAGTTTCATTTAGGTGGTCTGCAATGTATCCATAAAATACAGTTAAAAGTCACACAGCATCTAGCAGTGTGTGTTATAACTGCTACAACCTGCAGAAAAATCACTTAACGATTCCCCTGGGTTGGGGAAAGTTTTGGGAACCACTGATCTATAGGAGGATGGTGGAAACAGAAAAATGCAGTGGGGGTCTTAATAAAGAGAAATAGAGTACCATGTTTTCAAAAGTATCAAGTAGTTCTGTACAGCACTCCTCCAATTCTACATTGTAGTCAACTGGTCGTCTTCCAGACTCTGAAGCAATATTATCATGTTCTATTTCCAACTTGCCATCTTTGCACCTAAAGAAAAATGTCATTCACTGTACATAATAGGAGCTCTGTTCCTCTGACAACTCCTACCCCTTGTTGCCTATAATATATAGGGTCAACTGTAGTCAGTGCCTAATGCAAGGTAAATTGTTACATTCATATCATGCAGATTTTAAAAAGTGATGGCCTAGGGTAATAAATTTGCATTGGAACAATCAACAAGATCTTTCAATATACTTACTCTGCAGAAATTTTGATGTTCACGATTTTGGTGGCAGTGGTAAATCCCTTATTATTCAGAGTTTCCCACTTCATCATTAAATTATGCCAGTCTGCTGCATTATCTTTAATTTTTCTTGCACTGATGGATAATACAGGTGTCTTGGGAGTTGAGCCTTTGGCTAATCAAAAACACAACAATAAAACCCTTTAAATAGGAAGAGGGAAAATATGTGAGACATTTTAGACTGCTGGCGACATTTTTTTTTGTAATGTAATAAAATAAAATAAACAACCCTATTCTCATTGTTTTGTGAAGTTTCAGCCTCTATCCTCATCTGGCGCTTTGCTTCAAACCTTCAATAAGAAGTTTTATTTCACTGATAGAAAACCGACAAGTCTCTGCCCACTGCAACACTGTGCGCCTGCCCATTGCCCATCACTCAAACATGTGAAGAAGATGACCAACAAACCCAACCCAACCGGGAGCTGGGATTGTAGTAGCATCGCAGGATCATCTCGCTTCCTTCGCAACCCCATAACCAGTTCCCAAAATTCACCCTTCTCCCTGCTTCCATTCAGAAACAGCCTCTCTCAACTCCCGCCATGGCCACCTCACAACATATCCAGTGCTGGATTTACCTATAAGCTAAACAAGCTATAGTTTAGGGCCCCTGGGGGCCGCCAAAAAATTTAAAGGAAAAAAAACCTGGATGTACATTTCCAAAATAAAAGATAAAAAACAAATAAAACAAAACCTACATACAGCAACAGTGTTTTGTGTTGTGTAGGCTCCAATGATGGGCCCCACCTGCTAGCCTGCTCCCTAAAATATCACTGCTTTGCTCATTTCTATGTACTGTATAGGGTGCCTACATTCTGCATGTGCAAATGGCTTTAGATACCTATTAGGTCCATAAATTACTATATAGCATATATTCAACACAAAAAAGCGACTATTTGTTGTTTACAAAGGACAGCTGGACATATAAAGGGCCCCATTACCTTCAGCAGCTTAGGGCCTCATCAAACCTAAACCCGGCCCTGAACATCATCTTATAGTTCTGAAGTCGGAGGCCAACCCTGCCTCCAGTGGCGGGGAGTTCCACCGTCCCGCCACCCTTTCATCTTCAGCTCCATCGCACACCCCCCCCCCCCGGTATTACTTGAGAGGGAGGAAAAAACTGCTGGGTTGTGGCGTCCCCCTCCCAATGCGCCTTTTTCTCCAGCAACCGCTTTCCCTGGTGGAGGCTCCCGGGGCCTCCTCCGCCGCAGGAGCTGCAGGCCGCGCTGCCGCCCGCTGCCTGGGGAAGACGCGCTTACCGGCCATCTCCGCCGACACCCGAGGCCGAGGCCGCTCCCTCCCCTCGGAAGTGCGCTCACGTCCGGCTCCGCCCAGCTCCGCCGCCCAGCGCTGGAGACCCAGCGCCGCTGGGCCTGGGGGCGACGCGGGAGCTCAGGCCCCGGCCCTGGCCCCTGCTGAGGTGAGGAGGGCAGCCTAGCGCGGCGGGGAGACGGGGTGGGAGCCTCCTGGCTGGGCGGCCCTCTCTTCTTCCCTTCCCTGGCTGCAGGAGGCGATAAGAAGGACGCTCACCGTCCGGAGAACCCCCTTTTTACGCATTCCTTCCCGGGTTTCCTTCGAGAGACCCGGCGCTGGAAACACGTGTCGAGGCTCCGTCCTGACGAGCTCTGGGCGGTTGGTCGGCTTCTCTGCCCGCCAAGGCGCGCACAGTGAATGAGGCTTGCCTTGAGCATCTCTCGCGGGGGTGAAGCGGGGGCGCATGTTTGGGAACCGCCGTGTGCTGGGTTTGTTTACCTCCTTTAGTGTATTTCGGCCGCCTGCCTGTACTCTTGTTCCGTTCATGCTTCAGGTGCGGTGGTTGGGCTTCCCAACAGTGCTGATTATTACTCTATCGATTAATGGGATCTCTTAATTCTGCCCTCTTTTATCACTCATGGGTTAGAATTGTCATTCTGCATTGAGGAGGAAGGACAAAAATCCACCCAGAAGTTTTCCCTTCTCCCATTAGTCTTTTCTTTCTTTCTTTCTTTCTTTCTTTCTTTCTTTCTTGTAGATTTGTGCTTTCCTCTTCATGCCCTTCTTAGCAAAACAAATAAATAATACAACTTCTACACGGCATTGAAATGGGGGTGGGTGGGAATGATACCTCTTTAAGCAACTCCTCTCACTGCTGCACAGTTTGCAGAATTAATATTGCAGCATCCACCCTTAACAGCTCCTGGGTTCCTGAAATGAAAACATATTCCGAGAAGCTTTTCCATCCTAAATATCTGTAGCTAGGAAAGTTCCTGATACTTGAGCTGTGCATTTACTAATTCTGCAAGCTACATATGTTGGCACAGCCACCTTGTAGCCCAGTGAACTTCAGTTATTTATGGTACTTCTTTCACTGTTCTGCCTGATGCTTGTTGAATTCTTCCTTGGACAAATCATTTATTTGTTACAAATGTATGCTTTTGAAAAAGGTAGCTCCCCTGGGACCTGGTTTTATGTTCGTTTAAAAAGCAAAACAGTTGATGCTGTCCCTTCAAAGTGATTTAATGGTTTCATTATTTGAGCTTCTGTTACTTCAACAGGAGGATAACACACATTGTTTTCCAAAATTGTCGTCTGCAACAAAGATGTATCCTGCCTTAGGGTAGTGGACTAAATGTGATGAACTGGCTGCTTAAAGCCATAGGATTCTTCGATGGAAGACTAGCAGAGTGAGTGCATCATAACCCTTGGTTTTGACATGAAATTTAATATTCTGTTTTGAAAAAAGTACCAGTATCCAAAATTTATTGTAACCTTAGCTCACGAAATAGAAGTTCCCTAAAAACTCTTAAGCGCACTGTGTTAGCAGAGCTTAAGCAATCCAGAGGCATGTCACATGAGAACTGGGTGTGGAAAATTAGCAAGACATACACTTTGACCTTTAATGGTGCCTAATTCCAATGCTGGTTCTTCCCTGTGCGTACATAGGCAGGTAAATGACAGCTGGCCACCCCATGTTCAGTGATGAACTGCATTTGGGTTGTACATAATTTTCTACACTTAAGGCAACTTTATAATGTATGAGGAGGTCTTCAATGCATATTTAGATGTCAGTAGTAGGAGTAAATCATATGACCCAATGCAAGAGGGATGCCAGGATTTAACTAGACTTCCCCCCCTTCTCCACTATTAGCAAGGGACAATATTTATTTGGAACTTTTACTTTGATTTTATCTCAGAAGTGCCTTTCGAAAGAATACTAGTTCGCTCAGCTTCTTTTACTTGTATGTGTGGCTTTTACTTGTTATGGTCTTGAGTGCTTGCATAGACATTAATTCTGCATAATTTCCTGTGGTGGCAGAGATGGAAGCGTTGGCATTGGTTTGAATGAACAGGATTGCTGATCTAGCACATAGTGGCTATGTTTGCAAGTTGTGGCAAGCCATAGTTAATGGTTTTCTGTCAGCAACACATGTGACTTCCACATCACTCCTCCCCAAGCATGACTGGGAGGAACAAACCATGATCCCTGACTTAGTGTTACATCCAAGCTGAGTACCATGGTTTGTTTTGCTCCAAATAAACCATGATGTGAAACCAAGAGTTGTTCTTGACTTACCATTAGGTGTGGGGATGGGGAAGAGATTTGGCACTAACATTAAGATTCACTGTTACATCTTTGGATCAGCCTCTTAGGGAGTATTTTTGTTTTTAAACTCTGTGGGATTCATAAATGGGACCCGGGGCACAGAAGGAATTGTGAATTTTGCATTCTTTGGGAACATTCCCCAATTGTAGTGATGTTAAATCAGGGGTCGGCAAAGCTTTTGTGGCTTGGGCTGGTTCACTGTCCTGCAGATGCCGCAGTGGGCCGGAGTGCGCACGCACGCACACATGTGCAAACACTATTTCTGGTGTGGAGGAGGCGTGTGCAGCTTCCCATTGGCTGCAGGAGCTTCCTGCAGCCAATGGGAAGCCAGCCAGCATCGCGGAAGGTGGTCCCCGCTCTGCTCTGTGCCAGTTTAGTGTGGCACATGGGAGCCGACTGAGCAGGCGGCAGGGGTCCATGGGCCAGTTAAACGACCCCTGTGTTAAATGAAAGACAGGAATCTTGTGCATCAATTCTCACTGCTATTTGCTGTCCAAGAGCTTGGTTTCTGGAGGAGAAGAGGGAAGCTGGGTAAAATGCATGTCTCCCTTCCCTAGCTTATTGAAGCAAAGCTCCTTTGTAAACCACGGTTCGAAGTTGGCTTATTTCTGCAAACTATTGTTAAGGCTAACCACAGTTGGTCTGGCTTTGAATGGAACTCTGAACCGCAGTTAATGGAAGTGATTTTTTCCCCACCAAAATACTGAGGACACCAGTTGGCATTCATCAGTTTTGGAGACAGTGGAAGAGTGTTGGAACATTGGCAACTAATTGCTTTGTGTTCTCCTTTTCATAAGTTGAAAGCCTTTGTCATGCATAAAAAAGAAATCACAAAGTATTGTTCTGGGTTATGAGACACAAAATGTTATACAGCGTAAGCATTATGTTAAGCCAACTAGTTGCAGATCTGTGATGCAGTAAGTATTATTATTATTATTAAACTTTTCATGAGGGAGAAAAACCACTTTTCCCCACCAGCATTGTACGTACTCCCAGTTGTATAGATACTAAGGGTGGCCGCTGAAATAAATACTCCTTGTTTTCATGGGCTTCAGGGGTACATGCAGTTTATCTTTTCCAGCCTCTAGGTAGCACATACAGATGTTTGCCATGGCATCGGCGACTCCATCGTTTACCTTCAAGGAGTTCTGTCCCTTGTACTATCTTCTCAATGCCATTCCTACAAAGATCCAAAAGGGATTCCGTTCCATTGTGGTATACCTCACTGCACTTGACACTAACGAGGACTACATTGCTGTGGGCAGCAGTATTGGAATGTTGTATTTATACTGCAGGCGCTTGAACCAGATGAAAAAGTACAATTTTGAGGTATGAACCAACACTTAACAGGACACCTTCGTTTTTTAAAAGGTGTGATGAAGCTTATGCCTTGGGTTTTGTCAGTTTTAGCATATTGAAATGTGCAGAAATGTAAAGCTATAGAGTTAGTTAACTTGAGGAAAAGCGGTTGCTCTGGCTGTTGCTAAAATTAGATTAAGAGTCAGCATCTATTTGTGGTCTGTAATTATTTTATCTCACACAGCATGATTTAGGGGTTTGTTCTCAGTTCTATCTACTTGCTTCTCAGTGAGGCATTCTGTTGTTCATCATCTGTTGATTTATATGCTGCTTTTCCACTAAAGATAGTTCCCATAGTGGTTTGCAGGGCATAAGGAAATGAGAGCTGTAATATATCACAAAATATAAACGTTAGTACATCAAAGTTCAACAGCAGTTTCATACCCTATAGATTGCAACAACATAATATCAACAAATTTTATTTATGTTATTTGTTTAATTTCTATACTGCCCTAAACCCAAAGGTCTCAGGGCAGTTCACATAAAATATCAAATACATAAAATCAAAACAACAAGAACCCCATAATCCCCCCTCCCCCAAAAAGAGCCAGCATTTTAAAAAGGGTATAGGATGTAGATCAAGTCAGGCAAAGGCCTGGTTAAAAAGAAATGTTTTTGCCTGGTGTATATTGAAGGCGCCAGGCGAACTTCCCTGGGGAGAGCATTCCACAGACGGGGAGCCACTGCAGAGAAGGCCCGTTCTCATGTTGCCACCCTCCTGACCTCTTGAGGAAGAGGCACACAATTATAATTCATATTGATAATTCATTTATTTGGAAAGATTTATAGACTACACTTCATTACAAAATTCTCTAAGCATTGCACATACTAAAATTACCAGTAAAACACAGCTAAAATCCACAAAACTATTAAAAAAAACAAAATATACATAAAATAATTATAAATAAAACACAAATTAAAATCGGTAACAATGTAAAAGCAACTTTAGGTGACTAAATTGTATGTTTGGGTAGTCTTGCTGAAACATAACAGTTTTCAGCAGGCATCTAAAACAAAATAGTGAGGGCTCTTGTTTAATTATCAGCAGACAGGAAGATTGACACCTTATAAATGGTAAACAGTAATTCATATATCATATCAAAAAAATTATACAGCTGATAAAAAACTGGTAATAAAATAATATATTGCAAAGTCAGCTATCAACATATCAAGACATTCAATAATATGTTTCAAACATTAATATTATTATTATAGCCAGTACTATCATAATTATCCTATAAAACATACAAAAGAATACCAAAAGCGGCAGCAACAACATAGTACTTGAAAAACAAACAAATGCCTAAGCTACAAGTAAAACCCTCAGAAGCAGCAGCAATACGATATACTCTCAAGAGCATCCCAGAGCCCAGGAAGCAAGTCGGAGAGCTTAAAAGCTCTTTCCGTGTTGGGAAAACCTGGCGCAAAATGAGCTTTAAAGCTCTCTGCCTTGCATGTAATTAATTCGCAGGATTTCAAACTGCTGGCTTTCAACCTTGTAAGGTTGAAATCATGCAAGTTAATTGCACGCAAGACAAGATTGTATTGTACTGTGCATCCACAGTATAAAAATATGTATGTTAACAGTTTCAGCAACAGAGCAAATTTTTATTCAGCATTAGCTAGAGATCAAACCGCAGCAACAGCCCCTTCCTAGTCCAAAGGTCCTTCTAAGCAAAGCGGTCTTCACTAGCCTATGGAAAGCCCCCAGAGAACTAGCCAGTTGAGTCTTCTTAGGCAATGAGATCCACAGGGAGGGAGCCCACCACACAGACAACCGAATTGCCTCAGGATCTTGGGGTCAGCAGGTGAGGAGCGAAAGCTCTCCTTCAGGTATCCCACTTTTGTCTCGGCCGATCCAAATAAGCATGGCATCTTAATTTTACAGATGTCTTTTTCCCCCCCTGCTCCTCTAGGGGAAAAATGAGTCTATCACTGTCGTGAAAGTCTTGAGCTGCTTTGATGATCTTGTTGCTGTTGGGACAGCTTCGGGCAAGATTGCTATTTTTCAGCTTGTCTCGTCCTTGCCAGGGAGAAATAAACAAGTAAGAGCCAAACTTGGTTACAGCCTGTGATGTTTCACATTAATTGTGTGATTAGGTTATTGTATTTTAGTGTTTTGTTGGAAGCCGCCCAGAGTGGCTGGGGAAACCCAGCCAGATGGGCGGGGTATAAATTCTTCTTCTTCTTCTTCTTCTTCTTCTTCTTCTTATTCCGCTTCAGCTCAGTGGTAGAGCAGCTGCTTTGCAGTCTCCGCTGCCTGGTGGTACATCTTTGGGAGAAGAAAAGACTCAGGAGTAAATCCAGAGGGAAACCCAAAGACAATTGGATTCCTCCTTGTATGCCTTTTTCCTGCAGCCAAGCTGGTGCCAAACGCCTTGCTTAGCTTTCCTTTTGACCGCATCAGCGAGGTCTTGTCGTCTGGGCAGCCCAGGACCTCCATACACACTGCCCAGGTTTGCAACCTGGGGAGGTCATTTCAGTGCTGCTAACGCAGCAGTTTGGCTTCACCCCAGAGGTGCACTCCATTGTCTCTCAAGACAGACGGATGCCAATAATATGTTAAAGCAGGGGTCAGCAGCCTAAGGCCTATGGGCTGGAGGGAGCCCACGGAGGCTGTTTAACCAGCCCACAAGCCGCCCCCAAACCGAGCCGCCTGCTCAGCAAGTCCCCACTCACTGCGCTAAACCAGCACAGCGTGGTGCGCGGACTCTCTTCTGCGGCTCCGGAAATTGGTTCTGCGCATGCCCAGATGCCGGAAATTGCGTCTGTGCATGTCCGCGGTGCCAAAAATCGTTTCTGCACATGTCCAGAGGCCGAAAATCGCTTCTGCACAGGCGAGATTTTAGGCATCTGCTCATGCACAGAAGCGATTTCCGGCGCTGCAGACATGCGCATGTGCAATTTCCGGCGTTGCGATGTGCTGGCCCGGCCCACGGAGGATCTCCGCGGGAGTGATCCAGCCCATGCCCAGTAAGCCTTGCCGACTCCTGTGTTAAAGTGTCAGTTGGGGCTTTTGTGACATTGCAATTTGCTGACTGCACAGATTTTCCCCCCCAATTTTTTTTAATTGGTTTTCACAAAATTATAAACAAACAAACACATAAAACAACAAACATAGATCATAGCCTTATTAAAAATTACACTTATTAACATTGTTAAGTGACTTCCTTGCTTCCCCTTGGTTGAATTTCATTGCATGTCCTTTTAACGGTTTTCCAAATGGCTGACTGCACAGATCTATCTGGAAACGTGCGTGAGCATTAAAATGAAGTAGCAGGACTAATAGAGAAGTGCCTTTGATAGCTACATCAATGAATAAACCCACCCACTGTAGGCCTTCTGCTTTCTGCTTGGTTTCTCCCGTATGCTCACTGGTGTCTGTCTTTGCAGCTTCGGAGATTTAACGTGTCTGGTATCCACAAAAGTAGCATCACAGCCTTGGCGTGGAGTCCCAATGGAATGAAATTGTTCTCTGGAGATGACAAAGGGAAAATAGTGTATTCTGCTTTGGATCTGGATCAGGTAATTGGTTGTTTGCCCAAACCTTTGGTACCTGGGATACAAATAACAGTGGTACCTTGGTTCTCGAGCTAATCAGTTCCAGGAGTCCGTTCGATTCCCGAAACCATTTGAAAACCAAGGCACGGCTTCCGATTGGCTGCAGGAGCTCCCTGCACTCAATCGGAAGCCGCATTGGACGTTCGGCTTCTGAAAAACGTTTGCAAACCGGAACATTCACTTCTGGGTTTGTGGCATTTGGGAGCCGATTAATTCAGGAGCCAAGCCGTCCAAGGTACCACTGTATTCAAAGCGTATATAAAAACTTTTCCTATAGATTAAAATTGGAGATGTAGAGAAGGTGGAGCCTAGGGGGCTGTAAGTAAGGGAGCAGTTACGTAAAATTCTGCTGCTTGTGAGATGGCATTTATTGAGGGTTTGTTCCCCTCCCGCCCTGACCACTATCTGTAGTTGTTATGTTTTCCCCAAAGCATTTATTTCCTTGAATCCCTGTAGTGGGTGGTATTGATCTGCAAGACCTGGCGTCACATCTTTGCTCAGTCATGGGATCAGTTGGTGGTCTTGAACATTGCCTGCCTTTCAGCCTTGAGGTTTTTACCTGGAGAAATATCCTAAGCAGAAAGAAGCACTCCAAAATGCTGTGACATTAACTACGTGAAGTGAATTCTAGTGGGTCCCCTACAAATAGTCGAACGCTAGATAAACCAGCTTTAACATAAGCTTGCACAGACCACCCGGCAAGTTTAGACAACTTAACTTGAAATATGATGGCTCTGTATATTCACACTACGTCCTTCCAGGGTCGTTGCAACTCCAGTTTGGTACTGGAAGAGCCTTCTTCAATCGTGCAGCTGGATTATAGCCAGAAAGTGTTGCTGGTCTCCACATTACAGCGAAGTCTGCTTTTTTACACTGAAGAAAAATCTGTCAAGCAAGTTGGAAGCCAACCCAGAAAAAAGTAGGTCTTCTCGATTTTTGCCCAGACATTTAGAGATGAGATTTAAATAATGTATATAACTCTGTATAATTCTGCTAAGGTATTTCATGCACTGTTGCCCTCTTCTAAAGTTGTTAATAAAAGAGTCAAAATAGATAATTTGAAGTACTGTTCATGTTTTTATTCTTTTAATCATTCCAATGGGGAAGGACTCTGCTGAAGTGAAAATGTAAGAAGCTTCCAGCTATTGGTGGGCAAGAAATTAGTATCCTGACCCTATTTTGTTCCGTAATTATTTTCTCATGATTCCTGAGCTTAAGGGCTAACTTACATTTCCTTGTTCATTCACACAATCCTCTCCCAGTAGTAGTATTATTATTTCATCCCAAACTCCCCAAACAGGTAGAATCATAGAATCATAGAGTTGGAAGAGACCACAAGGGCCATCGAGTCCAACCCCCTGCCAAGCAGGTAGCGAAACAAAGGTTTTTATGTGGCATAGCTCTAAGATGAACATTCTTTTAGTGCAAGGATTTTCCCTTGCTCAGTGGAACGTTCTCCCTTCTCTCTTGCCCACACACTACCACTAAATCTGTTAGGAGTGTTCCCCCAATCCTCCAGAGCAGACAGGAAACAGTGCAGGGCACACACAAGAGGGTAGGCAGAATAAAAATAAGCAAAGCTATTTATACCAAATTTGCTAATCCCTCTTTGTTTTCTTCATACCCTTGCGTTTTGAGGATTTAAAATATTTCCCATCCAAGAAGAAGAAACAGCAAGTATCTATCCAGGTTGTGAACAGCCCTAACTGTGAGCCACAGTACTTCCACGTGCACCTAGTGTAATGGTCAGTGGATGCATTGCACTGTGCTCTGGGACAAATCTCTTGACTCCCAGAAACAGTGTTTAGGAAGACACCTAGGGTTGCAGCAAGAGGAAGAGGGGATTGGAAAAATCTCTGGAGCATGCATGGTAGACCATTCAGAGCCCTTTGGCTTCCAGCACATATTTTTCTTTCTCATGTATTGCATGTTGGTAACGCAGGTGGCGCTGTGGTCTAAACCACTGAGCCTCTTGGGCTTGCTGATCGGAAGGTCGGCGGTTCAAATCCCCACGACGGGGTGAGCTCCCGTTGCTCTGTCTCAGCTCCTGCCAGTCTAGCAGTTCAAAAGTATGCCAAGGCAAGTAAATAAACAGGTACTGCTGCGGTGGGAAGGTAAACGGTGCTTCTGTGCGCTCTGGCACTCATCACGGTCCTCCGTGCGCCAGTAGCGGTTTAATCATGCTGGCCACATCACCCGGAAAGCTGACTGTGGACATGTGGACAAACGCCGGCTCCCTCGGCCTGAAAGCGAGATGAGCGCCGCAACCCCAGAGTCGCCTTTGACTGCACTTAACCATCCAGGGGTCCTTTACCTATTATTATTATTATTATTATTATTATTATTATTATTATAATAATAAAAAATATGCTGCAATTATTTACTTGCAGCATAAGAACCATGTTTTCACTTACGCAGTTTGCTGCAAAGTTTTATCAGTTTGCACTTGGAGACAAAAGAGTTTTAGCATTCTTCATCTTCCCAGTCCCACCACTCCCACCTCTGAGTATAATAACCACGTGGTTTGTTCATTCTTCTGCTTTTACATTTTTAGTACTGGCAAACTTGGAGCATGTTTTGTACCCGGGCTGTGCAAGCAAAGCGACCTGACCCTGTTTGCTGCAAGGCCTGGGATCCGCCTTTGGAAATCGGATGTTCATGGGACTGTTCAGGCCACGTTTATTTTGAAAGATGTATTTCCTGTTGGCATGAAGCCTTTTGAATTATATCCCCGACTGGAGCCCTTAAGCAACAGCAGCTGCAATTTCCCAGACAGGCAACTTGGACTCATTTCCTGCTTCTTCCAGGAAGGATGGGTGCTGAGCTGGAATGAATATAGCATCTATTTAATAGATACAGTAAACCAGGTGAGTCAAACCAAGAGAGCAGTAGCATTTTAAGCTGGGCGTGAGTGGCCTTTAATCTGGAACAGTTAAATTACATTGATATTAAGAGGTCTGTTAAAACTATCTGATCTGCACAAATAGGACACATGTTTAATTTATCCCTGACATCTCCAGTTCAAATGGTTTAGTAGCAGGTGATGGGAAGGACTTTCTGCCTGACACCCTGCAAAACCAGAGTAGACAGTATTGAGTTCGATGGGTCTGACTCTGTACAGATCAACTTCCTTTGTTCCTATCTTAACATGCTTTCTAGACATAGAATTGCTTATGATAAAGCAGTGACACTTCATATTAACTCACCTGCCATGGAGCCACTTCACATTGCAGAGGAATTCTGGGGCATGCTCTGAGATGCACTGTCAATTCAAACGGGGTGGCCTGTTGGTTGCCTGAGATGAAATTTGGAAGCATCCCAATACTTTCCCCTCTTTTTCCTTAGTGTTCTGTGTACAAGGGCTCAGGCCTGGAGCTGACAAGTAGCCTTGAACATGAGCATTTTGAGTGGCGTGGCAGGATGCTGTAGGCAGGGTGAAAACGTCTATTCTTTCCTAGAAAAATCCTCGTATAATGCAGGGAAGAGTTGCTGCTTTTTAAACCCGCCCCCATCTTGTTATAAGCTGTTAAAGGGTTGAGCAGGTCAGTTCCCTCTCCTTTCCTCACTCCCTTCCATTTCCAGTTCCTTTTCTTTCTCAGTTGACACTTCAATGTTCAGTAAATCCTGGACCTTCACAGGTCCTCCTCCTTCCATTTTGAGCTCTTAGTTTTGTTTGTTTAATTTGCAAACTTGCATATTTAGCAGTCCCATTTCTCTTCCAAGCTGATGACACGTTCAGCCACCCTAGCCTGCTATTAATGGGAATCATTTTGCACTTGGATATAAAGACCATTGACAGTGAATTCCAAATAGGTCATGCGAATTAGTTGAGTTTATACAAGTTACCTGCGTATTCTTTCCCTTTATCTCAAACAAGTCCTTTAAGGGCTTCTGCCAATCTTTTGCTTCTTTGGGACTTGGAAGTGTCTATGATTGTGGTGTGAAGCTACATTTCTTAAGCCAGGAGTGAATTATCACAAACAGAGCTACGTTTATAAAACATTTATAGCTCATTTCTGTTCTTAGCCAAGCTTTACATGAGTCACGCTCTCCCCAAGCCTGCATTCGTGCTTTCTTTCTTTTAGGACTGCTGTTTTGCTCCTTGATTTGACTGTATAATATTGCTTGCCAAAAATAAAATCAGGCCTCTGAAGTGTTGCTTGCATCCTAAAATGCTTCCTGGCACATTCGTTGCTCAACTTTAACTTCTCTTGCTTTCACAGACCCTGATTGGAAGTTTGGAAGGATCTGGCGATATTGTGTCTGTATCCTGCACAGAAACTGAGATTTTTCTCTTAAAGGGAGACAGAGATATCATTAGGATCTCAAGCAGACCAGAAGGATTGGTCTCAATAGGTTTGCATACATTAGCATACTAAGCTTATAGTAATTTTTTAAAAAAGATTATGTTAATGCATAGATGATTGCTTTATTGCAAGGAGCTGTGTCTGGAGCTGTGCGTGCTTTGCTGCCACTGCCCTTTTTATCCCTCAAAAAGTTACTCCTGGAGATTGGTGGAGTTTCTGGAATGGCATGGAGTTATGTGTGGGGAGGTGAAGGGGGCGGCTACACCTCAGGGTCAGGATCAGTAGAAATCGGAGACCATCACTTGCAGAGTGGAAATGCCTTTTTGATAATGGACTCCCTTGGGCTAAGACTAGCAATAGGGAGCAGATTTAAACTCTTATCGGGTCGCTCAGCCTACAGATTCTACTTCCTCTTGTTCTTGTCATTAGAATGGGCTGGATAAATCATTGGAGAATAGGGCTATTGGTTTTATTTTGGGCTGTCCTGTCTAGTAGCAGATTACCTTTTGGAAGGCTACGACCAAGGTGTTCAGGGACAAATGTTGGGACTATCTTGCTGGTAAAATGTCACTGTAGGACAAGATGCCATCCTAATTAACCCAGAGCAACATGCCAGGATACATTTGGGAGCCACGAACACAGGACACCTCTTGCATGCCTCTCTCAGCAGCCAGATGTCTCTTGACAAATGTGCAAAGCTCCCATTGAAGCAAAACAAACAAACCAGCCTTGCCCTAATATGAATGTGGCTTTGTTTACTGCATGCAAGTCTGTACCAATGCATCACAATAAATTCTGGCTTGCTTAGAATGATTTTTAGGACACAATAAGGCACAGCTTTTAAAGAAATGGTTTGAATTTTCCTGATATTTTTTGTTGAATTGCAGCCTTTTAATGAGATGTGTTTCAGTGGTATCACTTTACTTCAACAGTTTGTTTGTTGTTATTGTCAAATTTATCTTGGAAAACACATGAATAAAACCATATTTTTATTTTGCTGTTTTGCAAACCCCTTGATTGGACCAAATCTGGTCAACCATTCTATTTCCAGTCAGACGTGTCTGTGAAATTTGCAAGCAACACATGAAGACATTAGCCTTCTGCTGTCCGTCACCTAGCAATCTGCTATATATTTTGGAAAGTCGTTCGTTCTCTTTGCATTCAGACAACTCTAAAGATATCATAACCAGATTTTGCATGATGTTTCCTGAGACCAAGGAGCAGATTGCCTTCTGCTTGGATACATTTTGAGTCAAGTTGCTAGGCTGAAGCTTTGAAAACTGCAATGATCTCAACTACTAATTTCAAAACAGCACTGATTTTTTGTTGTTCTTCCTTAGAATACGTAGTTGCTAGTCTGATTGATAGACTGGCTGCATTCTCACATTACACCAAACTATAGTACAGTGTTCACAAGCTAGAACTAGCCCAAAGTTTACCCTCGGACATGCATGCTCCCCTTATTCCTCTTGCAAGGCTGGGAGGGAGTGTTCAGTTCTAATTTCAAATAATCCTGACTTAATGTTACCTACAAACCAGGGATCATGGTTTAAAAGAAACTCTGGTTAGCTGAACAAACCAGCTTCATAAACTGCGGTTTTAAGTTGGCTTGTTTGGAAACTGCAATAAACAACTATTTTGCTTTTAAAAGACAACTGAAGGTGGGCCTGTTTCGGGACGTTTTTAATGTCTGATTCTGTATTGTTTTTAATGTTCGGTTGAAAGCCACCCAGAGTGGCTGGGGAAACCCAGCCAATTAGGTGGGGTATAAATAAATTATTATTATTATTATTATTATTATTATTATTATTATATCATTCTTTGTGCTCCAATTTCAGATAGGAATGGAAAACCGATGAGCCCGCTATCCGATACGAGCCCCAAGTTACAGAGCCTGTACTCTGTTGCTGCGGTGTCTGTGTCGTCCGAACCTTCTCCAGAAGCAAGCCAAACGCGGAACAGCTTCTCTTCATCCCAAACGCCTGGTGACAGGAATGGCTCTGTCGCCAGAGCAGACCTGGAAGTGGCCCTGCTGACGGAGAGGATCCGTTCCCAGAGCTTCAACGGGTTTGGGGACTTGAGCACCGACCCGAGAAGGCGGGGCTACTCAGTGGCCAGTGAGCCCAGGAGCAGGAGCACCTCGGTCAGCTCTGTGGGCAGCGGCTGCAGTTTTGTGACCAGTGGAGAACAGGCCTCAGTCCAAGTCCAGAAAGAAGGTCTGCTTTCTTCGCAGCGGTTCAGTGTGATCAGTTCTGAAGACTTCAACCAGGAACTGGTCGTCAAGCCAATCAAAGTGAAGAAGAAGAAAAAGAAAAGATCTGGTAAAAAAAATATTATTTTTTTAATTTTTGCTTGGCGGTGAGTTTCTTACCCACCCTTAAGGTCCAGTTCTCTGAGCAGACAGATTTGTATACCGCCCTTCATAGATCTCGGGACAGTTCGCAACATAAAAATGCAATATAAAAAAACACAAAATGCATAATGATTTATCGGCTACTTTTAAAATGAGGCTGCATTTTAAATTGCATTTTAAGCTGTATTTTAAATAGTTTCCCCCCATTATGTTTTTACTGTGATTTTATTGGTGTTCGCTGCCCTGAGCCCAACTCTGGCCAGGGAGGGCTGGATATAAATAAAATTTATTATTATTATTATTATTATTATTATTATTATTATTAAAACAGGAACAAAAAAACCACAAACCAATAACCCCACTCCCCATCATGGTTTCACTGCTGTTCGAAGATGATAAGCAGTTTAGAGCAGGGATGTCCAACCGGTCGACCGTGATCGACAGGTCGATCCCTGTTTTATTGCGGTCAGTCATAGGCTCTTTTTCCTCCATGGGGGGTGGGAAGGAGCACCCGCCCCTGCCCCCTCATTCTGTCCTTTATTCACGCATGATTTCAAGAATGGAAGACGGCATTACTGCTGGTGGGACTACTACTACTACTATTTTGATGTTTGTCGTGCCTGTGCCGCCCCCCCCCCCCCCCCCCCGTGGCAGAACTATTTGCTGTCCCCCATAAAAAAAGCTCAACAGCTTTGTAATTTTTTCCCGGGAGTAGATCGCAGCTCTTGGGAGTTGGACGTCCCTGGTTTAGTGCATTCAGAGTTTTGTAATACTTAAAATAACGCTTCAGTATAAATCAGTGTTACTTCTCCCTATTGGAGAGTGGGGACAGAGGCTGAGAGAGAGGATTTCCTCTTTGACAGCAGTGGGGTAGAGGTGACATTCAAACCAGAAACTTCCTGAATCACGGCTCAGTCCCTTGGCTACTACAACACAACAGTTAAGATTGCGTTGATGTTCTGCTTTGGTGGCAAGTTCTGCACTGCTGAAGTAGGTAGTTTGGCCTGCCAATATATTCCTGGTTGGTCAAATTCAGGAGCTTCAAACAGATGGTTTCTTGTTTTTCGTTGGCCCTAGAATGGCATTCCCTTAATTAACAAGCTTCTTTTCTCCCTTTCCTCCTCTCTGACCCTCGGCTTACCTATTTCCCTCTCCCACCTTTCCCGACTATGTGTGAGCTTAGAAAATTCGAGATACCTCTGCTCTCTGGAAAGCACACCGTCCTGTGAACGTCAAGACTTTGCTGACAGCCCTCAGTCTGTAAACGCGGACTCTTTCTCTATTGAATCTAGCCTCATGGGCAGTTCTGAAGACCAGGAAAGTGTATTCTGTATTGAATCCCAAAACGTGCCACAGGAGGAAAATGGCTCTGAAACATTCAGCGTCCTTCAGTCGCCAGAATCGGTAGCTGCTCTGACACCGGAGGACGACGATGCGCCAGAAGTCCTGAAATGTTCCAACGGCGAGAGCGAAGTGGGCACATCTCCTGGTAGGAGCTCCTTGGCTTCCGGTTCCCCCTTGCTTCTCGCAGAAGATAAAGCGCTTATCGATGGCACTGAATGTAATTGGAGCTCTACGTCTGAACAAAACGAAATCGTCTCAAAACCGCCAGCCCAGAATGAAGAGAGTTGTTCTGTCCTGCATAAAACAGAAGGCACTTTAGCTAAGTTAGGTGTTTTAGATTCTCTGGAAGAGACAAAACCTGGGAAAGGGATGTCTGGAGATGTGAAAGCCAGCCTTAGTGCTGAGGACTCATCTGGTCAGGAGGCGGGAGTTGAGACCCACATGGAACAGAAGCAGCAGCTACCTCTAACGGACCCAGTCCCCGCCAGCCCCCTTCCTGCCCCTTTTAAAGAGGAGATCGGTCTTCAAGAGAGTGCATTACCCGGGCACGATTTCAGGGAACCACTGACGGCTAACCACAATGCTAGCGCTGCCAGTGAATGGATAACCAACACCTCTGATGCCGCAGCTGAGAGATCTGCATCGAGTGATGAAGAGGATATCTACAGGCATGGTTTGCCTTACTCATCCTCTGAGACGAGTGTGACAGAAATGGGGGGCTGCCTCCTGCCCCAGGAAAAAGTCAGAACCAGCTTAGATGAAGGAGCGCTTTTAAAGTCGGATCAGGTATGCGCTTAAATACAAACTTGCATCACACCCTAGAGCAGGCATAGGCAAACTCTGGCCCTCCAGATGTTTGAGACTACAGTTCCCATCATCACTGACCACTGGTCCTGTTACCTAGGGATGATGGGAATTGTAGTCCTAAACATCTGGAGGACCGGAGTTTGCCTATGCCTGCCCCCGGCGTGAGTGGAAGGTCCTTGCGGACCCACCAGCCATTTCCCCATTGATCTTCCCTCACTTCTGCTTCAGCCCTCCAAACCACAGTGTTCCCTGCAATCCCCACAAGTGGATTCGGGCAGGCGGGGAGAAAGAGAGGAGAAGCAGGAAAGCCGTATTGCACTCCACGTGTGTTTCTTCTTAATCCAGTCCGTATTTTATTACATCTTTAAAATGAAGCACAGTATTTAGGATATTGGGGCCAGTCTCTTACGAGCCAATGCCCACAAGCTGACTTTCCAGAATACTGGCTTTCCAGAAGCTGTATTTTTTTAAAAAAACAAAACAGGTTTCAACAACTAGAAACTGCAAATATGCTTTTGTTTGGTTTACAGAAGTAGGAAGAGAGCCATGGGACACGGGGCGATTGGTATGAAGGAGAAGACGGTTGCAGTGTAGGAAAGAGCAATTACCCCTTTATTTCTGGCCACTTAAATTTATTACACCAAGCCAATTTATGCCTGAAACTTCCGCACAGAGCATCCATACCCTATCAGACTTTACCTGCCTCTGGTCAGCATGAGAAATGTACTTTTGGATTCACATCTAGGAGCCATCATTCCAGTGTCTAGGAATTAATGGTGTTTTCCTGGCTGTGAAACTCTCTAGAAATCCCACCATAACTATCAAAACAGTTACCAGGGTGGGTGATTAAGCTGAGAAAACTCACATTGGATATAACTAAATAAATTTCTGGAGACTGTGTTGTGTAATGTTTGTCTTGCAGAAATCAAATGATCCTCCTTCTTTTTTAATGGAGCATTTCAAGAAGATACAATGAATGCATTCACCCCTCCCTTTTCGTAACGTCGAAGTTTGTCCGATTTCTCGCACCGATAAAGATACCTCACCTGCATTCTAACTCTCCAGTCTTTAGTTTGCAGAAAGCTGGATGGGCTACGCAGGTCCTGGCTATGGAATACTGAGCCTGGTTGTCTCTGAAAAATACATTTGGTGCCTGGACTACAAAGGTGGCCTGTACTGCAGTGCTTTACCTAGTGCTGGTTTGCGATGGCAGAAGTTTGAAGATAATGTCCAGCAGGTGGCAGTCTCTCCTTCAGGTTGGTTAGCCTGCCATTCTTTTCATCACCATCATCACCATCATCATCATTTTGCCTTCTGTACTCGGTTGGGGGGGGGGGTGGCTTCTGCAACTCTGCTGCAAAAGCCTCGTTGCAGCTTCCCTCTGTTTGATTAAACTTCGTTTGCCTTTTCTTATATACAGAGATCATTCTTCCCGCAGACAAGGTCCATGCGCGACCCTTGAAATGATTATGAGCAACTTACAGATCTCGGTGCAAGGGACGCGGGTGGCGCTGTGGGTTAAACCACAGAGCCTAGGACTTGCCGATCCGAAGGTCGGCGGTTCGAATCCCTGCGATGGGGTGAGCTCCCCTTGTTCAGTCCCAGCTCCTGCCCACCTAGCAGTTCGAAAGCACGTCAAAGTGCAAGTAGATAAATAGGTACCACTCCGGCGGGAAGGTAAACAGCATTTCCGTGCGCTGCTCTGGTTCGCCAGAAGCGGCTTAGTCATGCTGGCCACATGACCCGGAAGCTGCACGCTGGCTCCCTCGGCCTATAGAGCGAGATGAGCACCGCAACCCCAGAGTCGGTCACGACTGGACCTAATGGTCAGGGGTGCCTTTACCTTTGCCTTTACAGATCTCGGTAGCAGAACCAGTGCACTTCTGGTGCATACTTCTAGAGGCCAGAATTACGTTTGGAGCTGAGGTTAATAGTCTGTTGCGTTAGTACAGAAAACAAAAGGCTGAGGGTATCTGGTTGCATGTTGCAGAAAAGCAGTCAAGCTTCCCTGAACTGTTCCACCATAGGCTGCAAATGGGCTGGTTAGGTTACATGTTTCAGTGATAAGAAGCCTGTTGGGTTGAAATATAACCTTCCCCTGGCAGGCTAGTACTCTCGCGTGGAGGGATGATTTTTTGCCAGGTGGAGAAGAACATTTGGACAAACCCCCTCCATGCACACCCAGCCTGAAGTGTAGTCTCGAAAAAGCGTTTTATCAGTTCTCCTGATTGTATGTTCTGACTCTCCTACCTGCCCCTTAAGCTGTGCCTGATTTTCTGTGACAATTCTGTTCAACGTCTTTGGAATTTTAGCAGTATAATACTACAGGGGGGCAATGCTGGCTTATTTTATTTTTTTACCAGGGCTTACCAGGCAGCTCTCAGTTCAAATAAAAACCTAGTCCACCTCAAACAATTGTAAAATAATACGATAATGGTCTAAGTACTAAAAGCAGTGTGCCTTCTAATGGTTTTAAGACCTTTGGGGGACATTTCCAGCAAAACATTTTGCATCCACAGGGTGGATAATGAAATTATTCCAGTAACACAAGCGCAGAGTTATACAGGCACATCTTCAGTAGCGGGTCCTGTGAACTACCCCTGTGAAGGCCTTTGGGCCCTGCTTAAAGGAAAACCTTGCAAGCAACTTCTGTGGTTGTGCTGTCCATAAAAATGCTCTTTGCCAGTATGTCATTGCGGTGAGCTCCCGTTGTTCTGTCCCAGCTCCTGCCAACCTAGCAGTTTGAAAGCACACCAGTGCAAGTAGCTAAATAGGTACCACTATAGCGGGAAGGTAAACAGTGTTTCTGTGTGCTCTGGTTTCTGTCACGGTGTTCCGTTGCGCCAGAAGCTGTTTAGTCATGTTGGCCACATGACCTGGAAAGCTGTCTGTGGACAAATGCCGGCTCCCTCGGCCTGATATTTGCTTTTGACTGGACTTAACCATCCAGGGGTCCTATATATATACAGTGGTACCTCGGTTTATGAACTTAATTGGTTCCAGAAGTCTGTTCTTAAACCAAAGCCATTCTGAAACTGAGGCGTGCTTTCTCTAATGAGGCCTTCTGCTGCCGGTGCCCTTCCACCGTTCAGCTTCAGTTTGTAGACTGAGGTAAATTTTGCTAACCAGAACACTACTTCCGGTTCTGAGGAGTTCGTATACCGAACAGATCGTAAACAGGCCTGTTCTTAAACCGAGGTACCACTGTATATTCCATGAAAGTAGGTCTTTCAAGCTTTAAAATGACTGTAACTAACGAATAAAATTGGAGCGCCTAAGAAGGTCCAGAGGTGTTCCCTTGCGCTAAACATGATTCATCTGACTGATGTGAGGCTCCTTCCTCAGGGACTCTTCTGTGGAAGGTTGAGCACAAAACCAATAAAGCCTTTGCCTGTGGAAAAGTGACTATTAAAGGAAAGCGTCACTGGTACGAAGCTTTGCCTGAGACAGCGTTTGTATCTTTGAGTGATGACACTGCCTGGATTATCCGAACAAACGGCGATCTATACCTGCAGACAGGTACCTTAGTTACTTGCTTTTTTGCTTCTTCTAGGGTGGTGGTGTTTCCCCCTCCGCCCCCCCAAAAAAGTGCATTTTGGGAGAACCCTCTGGTTCTTTGGAAACTTCTCAAGGTTGTTACGAAGTAAAGCAGACAATTTTCCTGCCATTTCCCATCCTCCTTCACCCCCTCCCCTTGCCAAGGCACATCATGACTCAAGTTATTGAAAGCAGTGTTATCGGAGGGCGCAGATAAATGTAGATTTTTTTTAAAAAAAAACTTTTTTTTAATGGTAAATGTCACACAAGCAAATAAGTAAGGAAGATCAGTAGTATTTATTTATTTATTTATTTAAAAACTTCATTACCTGCTGGCATTAACCATAAGAATATTCCATCAGTCCTGATTAAAATGTATACATTCATATAGAAAGTCCAAATGTCTAAAGAGGTATCTAAAAGAAAGGGATGATTGTGAGTCATGCATTCATATGTAAAAGGTGTAAGATCTTCAGGCCACCGGGCGATAGACGTTTTACAGCAGAAGTCTCTTAGGCACTGTAGAGGCTTGCAGAACCCACTTTCGTTGCCCACAGGAATATGATTTAAGAGTGTGCGAACATCCACAGATATCAAGGCTTTTTTCAGAATGACATTGATAAGAGCAGTAATTTCTGACCAGGAAGAAAACACCACAGGCCGTTCCCGGAATGGAATGTGCTAAGAGAGCACACTGTGAGCTTAAAGCATGGCCATAATAACCACAGGAAGATAATTTATGAACCCTGAAGGTGAGCACCGTAAGCATAAAAAGTGAGTTAATGCAATTTATTTCTACTCTGTATTTTACTTGAAGGCCTGAGTGTGGATCGTCCCTGTGCCAGAGCAGTAAAAGTGGACTGTCCCTATCCGCTCTCGCAGGTCACAGCCAGAAATAATGTTGTCTGGGCATTAACTGAGCATCGTGCGCTTCTGTACCGCGAGGGGGTAAGCAGCTTCTGCCCTGAAGGGGAGCAGTGGAAATGCGATGTCATCAGGTAAGCAGTGTTTAATCAGCAGGTATGTTCTGTAATAGATGTTCCCTGATCTTGCAACACCTTAGTTTGGATTTACACATCGTTCGAAGGGAGCATTGCATCACGCGAGAAGGCCAGTTTCCTAATCGGGGCAGTAGGTTTCATTGACCTTGCGTTACATTGCGCTCTGTTCTGAAACTGCACAAGAGGCTGAAAAGCAGAAGTTGTATCAGCTGGCATTTAATATTGCACAATTTGATAACAGCTGTTCATTTATGTGGTCATGTTCCACCGAGTACTAAAAGCTGCTTTGATTTACCTTCTTAGACGCAGGGCTGTGCGTTTTGAGGTGTTGGGTGGTGTATGCACTGTGGAAGCTCAGCCAAGAGATCAAGCTCACCACAGAAAACAGCTATTTAGCAGATTGTCTTTACAAGGCCAACTCCAGCAAACAGTTCAGTTGCTTGCAAAGTCCCGCAACTGATAGAGTTCTCTGAGTTCTGAAGTCTGGAAAATTTCCAAGTCCTTCCTCAGTACGATCTCCTCTGAATGCCTTCCCTTGGATCCACGGTTCCAACAGATAGCCTTGACAGTTCCTGCGATCTCTTACCGTGACCCACACAATATGCTGCAACCTGAGCCATACATATATATACTGTATTTTTTGCTCTATAAGACTCACTTTTTCCCTCCTAAAAAGTAAGGGGAAATGTGTGTGCGTCTTATGGAGCGAATGCAGGCTGCGCAGCTATCCCAGAAGCCAGAACAACAAGAGGGATCGCTGCTTTCACTGCGCAGCGATTCCTATTGCTGTTCTGGCTTCTGGAATTCAGAATATTTTTTTTCTTGTTTTCCTCCAAAAACTAGGTGCGTCTTGTGGTCTGGAGCAAAAAATACAGTATATAGAGAGAGAGTTGTGTGCAAGGCTAAAACAATAGCATTCTACTGAACCTTTTTAACTTCCAATTCACAGAGCTGTAAATAAGTAAATCAGAAAAATTGGCAGGGCATGGTACGGGCTGTATATTTGGGGAGGGTGGAAACACTTGTGTGCAAATGTGTTGTGACTTTTGTTCGTTTTTGCAGTGAAATGCAAGCTCTAGAGCCGGTGTGTGTGACTCTTGGAGACCAGCAGACCATATGGGTTTTAGACATCCATGGCAATCTGTGGTTCAGAACGGGTGTTGTTTCCAAGAAACCACAAGGGGATGATAACCACTGGTGGCAAGTAGGCATTCCTTCTTCTACTTTCAGTAAATGCAGAGGGCAAAATACATACTTTGCATGTGTAAGGTCCCTGATGCAACCTGACCTAAAGGATCTTGGATCTGAGAAAAGCCTTTGCATGAGACCTTGGAGAGCCACTACTGATCAGATGCTGGTCCGGTTTGCATGTCATGCTTAAGCCAAGCATGAGAAGAGATCGTGGACACTTTGATCCTCCTCCGGTCCTGCTGCTCCCCCCTCCTGTCACAGTGCTGTTTGTTGAACCGTAGTTTGGCTTAGCCAGTCGTTCAAACCCATGCTCTTGGTATGCCCCACTGCAGACAAGCCACGAGGTGTAACCATGGTTTGTTCTTGATTTACAGCTCATGGTTTGTTTGCAGGAAACAAAACCGCAAGCCTGGGGTCAGATGACACACTAAGCCATGTATGTCCAGTGCATCAATTACGATTGACTTGTAGATCGCGCGATGGATCTTCGTCTAAATCACCCTGCTTTACCCGACGTCCAGTCAGCTGGCCAGCCCAGAAAGGTGCGAGGCACCTCCCTCCCCCCCAAGCCTCAGCCCCGGGCAGGGAGGCAAAGATGAGGTGTGGGTGCAGCTGTGGAGGTGCTCAGTCAGCTGGCCAGCCGGAAAAGGGAGCCAAGGGAAGGGCAGAGAGACAGTGACATCCCTCTCCCCACTCCCGCCAGTTCCCATGGGAAGAAAACACCCTCTCCCTCTTAGTTATGCCTGGATGCTGAACTTTCCTCACCTTTCCAGCTCCAGCCTAGCTGTGTTTACGCAGAAGTGAGCTGCTGCCCCCCTCCCTCCCCAAGGAGCTCTTCGTCGGTACAGGGGCAATTGGTCATTTTGGGGCATGTTGCTTTCCCACGTGCACCAAGAGCCCTGGGAAGGGGCTGGTGTAGGGGTAATAATTTGTAATTATTTTTATTATCATCATCATCATAATTTATTATTTATACCCTGCCCATCTGGCTGGGTTCCCCCACCCAAATATAATATGTTTAAGTTGAAGAATGACTGTGGGAGAGCGTGGTACATCACTGCCAGATTTTGATACTTGATGGTGGATCGCAACCTATTAGAATTTGGACGTGCCTGCGCTAAGCTAAACCATGGCTTAGCACACCACAGCAACAGGACTGGAGGAGGAGAATAATAATAATAATAATAATAATAATAATAATAATTTATTATTTGTACCCTGCCCATCTGGCTGGGTTTCCCCAGCCACTCTGGGCGGCTTCCATAGAAATCAAAAAACACTAAAATATCATACATTAAAAACTTCCCTGAACAGGGCTGCCTTAAGATGTCTTCTGAATGTCAGGTAGTTGTTTATCTGTCTGCTCTCCAGGAGCCTGCTGTTCACAGTAAGGTCACAACCACACCATACATATAAAGAACTCTTATTCATGGCTTCCCTCAAAGCATCCTGGCTGAGGAAGCCCCGTCCCAGAGAAAGTGTCTCTGGTGGCACAGGGGCTGGTGCTCAGCAGCCACTTCTGACATTTTTGACTCGCTTTGAGTTTGTATAGAACTGTATTACTTATATGACAAATTTGTTTTCTGTGTTATTTATATGCTGTTGTGCTTTTGATGTGACTATAGCGATTGTAACGTTTGCTCATTTTTAAGGTGGTTATTGTTGAGCTGCTCAACATAGTTGTTGGGAAATTGAAGTACTACAAAAATAGAGTCAAATTAAAAACAATCCGATCAGCCCTGGGAACTGCAGGGTCTCCTTGCAATTCTTGGCTCCCTTAACAAACTATAGTTCCCCAGGATTCTCGGGGGGGGGGGGGAGAGCCATGACTGTTAAAGTTGTTTTTGCAGGGATTGTAGTGTGGAACTGCCAACAGACATGGCTTTATATATGACTTCTCTTATAGGTTAGTTCCTAAACGCAAGATAAAGGAGTCTATCTGGTCCTGTTCCCATTAGAGCCACTGAAGAAAAAATAGAGATAAAGAACTAAACTCACATTTATCTTGCTAAGTGAGGTATCTGAGCTTCTTCCTTTTGCTAGTCGCAGTGTTCTCACAAACCTTCACTAATCTCCAGCTGTGGAGTGAGACAAATGTTACTGCTTCCCCTTTGCAAAATATCAGCCCTGTTACTTGGATTTTCTTGTCAGGTGTAGGGTTTTCTCCCTACTCCCCCCCCCCCCCCGTTGTTTTTGCACATACTTTCTCAAAAGGAACAGCTTGGCTGCTTGCCTTTGATGTAGCAACCAACCCTTCCAAACGAACTGAGGTGCCCCTTTGCAGTTTTCACTAATCTACACATTGTTCTGCTAGGATATTTCAGAGCCACCTAATTTTTTGATTAACAGCACTCCAGATTGGAGATCTACAGTGCTTGTTTCTTTGTCACCTCTCTGGTTCCGAAGCATAAAACCAAAATGCATAAAACTAAAAACAGCTTCAAGAGCGTGGCAAGCAGAATTCAGTATTACACAAACTGCCTCCTGCCCGTACTCACTATTTGTTGTTGCCAGTAGCCAGAATAACTGCAAATATTCAGGAAGGGCAATAACCCGATTGTACATCATATGCGGGTGGCGCTGTGGTCTAAACCACAGAGCCTAGGGCTTGCTGATCAGAAGGTCGGCGGTTCGAATCCCCGTGACGGGGTGAGCTCCCGTTGCTCGGTCCCTGCTCCTGCCAACCTAGCAGTTCGAAAGCACGTCAAAGTGCAAGTAGATAAATAGGTACCACTCCGGCGGGAAGGTAAATGGCGTTTCTGTGTGCTGCTCTGGTTCTCCAGAAGTGGCTTAGTCCTGCTGGCCACATGACCCAGAAGCTGTCTGCGGACAAACGCCGGCTCCCTCGGCCTATAGAGTGAGATGAGCGCCGCAACCCCAGAGTCGTTTGCGACTGGACCTAATGGTCAGGGGTCCTTTTATCTTTATGCTTTGCATGTAGAAGGTCCCGGGCTTAATCCTCTGCATTTCCAGATGGGGCTGGGCGAGACCCCCACCTGAAACTCTGGAGAGCCGTTACCAGTCAGTGTAGACCAGTCTTCAACCTGGGTTCCCAGATGTTCTTGGAGTAGCACACTCATATTCCACGGCCAGCTGAGCCCATTGGGTGAGGGATGATGGGAGTTGTAGTCCATCAACATCTAGGAAGCCAATATTGAAGAACACTAGGTAGGCAGCTTCCTATGTTTCTGTTGGACACAATGCAGACAAAGTGAGGGTGGCCTTTGGTTTGGACTCAGTCTGGCCCTTATGTTTCCCTCCCCTTATGGTTTTGATCTATGGGCTACTATTAAAATGAGGCTGTATTTTAAATTTTATTTCTAACCTGTATTTTAAATTGGTGTCCGTCCGTCCCCCCCTTATTATGTTTTTATTGTAATTTTACTGGTGTTAGCCGCCCTGAGCCCGGCTCTGGCCTGGGAGGGTGGGGTATAAATAAATTATTATTATTATTATTATTATTATTATTATTATTATTAAAAAGTCCCGCTGATTTCAAATGTCGATTTTTCTCCTCTTGAAATCAGAGAGACTCACAAACCTCATTGATAATACATTGGGACTTTGCCTATTATCCAGTCTTATCTTTCTCTTTCGCTGACCTGGTTCTTTCCGTACATTTCCCCCCCAGGTAAGCATTACGGATTACGTAGTGTTTGACCAGAGCAGCCTTTTCCAGACCATCATCCAGGCAACCCAGACAGTAGCCACAGCAGCTCAGGCCCCTGTCGAGAAGGTGGCAGACAAACTCCGCACGGCTTTCTGGCCACAGCCGCTTCAGTGTCAGCCGAGTCTTCTTGCCGTCAGCAGCGGCGGCGTCTGGATCTCGTCAGGGAAGAACGAGTTTCACGTAGCGAAGGGAAACCTCGTAGGTAGGCGCGCTTTTGGTTGCTGGCTTCTGTTTGCAAAAGGCGAAGCCAGGCGGTTTGTCCACATTAAGCAGCACAACAGTGTGACTTCATTCATACCAACTGCTTAGAAATGGAAGACTCCCTGAACCTCCCATGGCAGCAGAGCGTGAGACTCTTAATCTCAGGGTTGTGGGTTTGAACCCCACATTGGGCGAATGATTCCTGCATTGCAGAGCGTTTGACTAGAGGACCTTCAATGTCCCTTCCAACACTAAAGTTCTGTGAGAAACGGTGGTCAACCTCTTTGGTAATTCTGCCATTCAAAAGTGGGCAAAAGCAGAAGCTTTTCTGAAGCTTTTCAGAAGCTTTTCACCATATTCTGAGTAATACATATTTTTGGAAACATCACCTTGAGTGGAAACTCTACTCCATATCCACAGCAATTTTCATTATATGAGAGAGATGAATGCATAGATGATGGTGATGATGAATATTATGACAAATAATAATATTGACTAATAATAATAATATGACAAATAATATTAGTCACTTTTTTTTCAGAAAGGAGAACTCAGAGCAACTTACAAAAGCAAATAAAGATGTTTCTGCCTGGCACCTAAAAACAGATAGTGATGGTGATGCCAAGTGTGCCTCACAGAGCATTCCACAAACAGGGGGCCATCCCTGAGAAGGCCTGCTCTCACACCTCCCTTGGAGGGAAGGGCCTAAGATGAGAATTCCATGGTGTACAGAATAAAAACTTGGAGCAGGAATCTCAGGAGCACCAGAAGAGTTTGGGAGAAAGCTGGCTGTTTCCATGCTAAGACTATTCTTCCTTCCTTCTCCAGGTACTTATTGGAATAACGTCGTGCCTCGCGGCACTGCTTCGGCCACAAAATGGGCGTTTGCGTTGGCTTCCGCAGCTCCAGCAAAAGAAGGTAACGTCTATCCCGGGGCTGCCTTGCCTTGCTTTTTCTGACACACCGGCGAAAGATAACAAGCTCTTTGCATCAATATACTCCATCCATTGATATCGGCAGGTTTTTCTAAGGGCATTAATGTGTACTGGACACAGGGGCGGAGGAAGGGGGTGCGATGGGGGTGGGCCGTCCCAGGGGTAAATACTGAGGGGGGGGTGACAAAATGCCGGGCGGCACTCAACACGGAGCCTGCTTCGAAACGGTCCGCCTGCCACCTCCCCCTCAGCTGTAGTGTGGCTGAGTGGGAGGAGGCAGGCAGACTCCTCGGAGGCCTGTGGAGCGGTTTGCCCCAGCTCGCCCCGCCCTGTGAGCGGCTGGCCCTGCCCCTAGGCACCGAGCACGTGACCGCCCCAGGCGCCCAATCGGCTTCGTCCGCCTCTGACTGGGAGGGCCTTGCAGAGCCAGGCAGAGGCCCGGGCCAGGTAGATAATGTGGCCCCCCCTTTTTTTTTTACCCTTGGGATAATTGAAGTCTAATAAATAAGTAAGTATATAAACAATTTTCACAAAAGTTATGCTGACATATAATTTTATTTCAAGGCTTGAACCGTATCTGCATAAAAAGACAAAATGGAAAATACAATAGTGCTTTTTAAAAATACACAGGGGAAAGGATTATTTTAAGTATTTACATTTAAAATGCTTTCCTAGTTTTCTTTTCTGCAAATTCTTGAATTACGCAGGAAAAATCAAGCAACTTCGCCTTATCGTGGTTTATGTTTATCATTGCGATAAGAAAGCCAACACACTTATCTTTAAGATATGTGTGGTTTTAATTTATTGAAACAAGATTTCAAACAAAAACTCACCAACTTTTAACAGCATCAAAAACATGGTCCACCATCACGTTTGCGGCGCACTGGCCGCTGGAGCCTTAGTCGCCTCCACCCACCCGGCGCCCGTTCCGCACTCCTCTGCAGAGCTGATCGCAGGCCCCACCCCAGACGCCAGGGAAACTTTTCTCTTGTGCTGCCAGCCAGCCATGGCCCCAGGGAATCTGCCCACCACCGCCACTGCCTTTGCGCCTCCGCATTTGCCCCAGTGCATCCCCTGCGATTGTGAATATGCAGACTGAGGCCCCCTTTGGAATCGGAGGCTCGGGCCAAGTGGCCCATATGGCCCCCCCTCTGTCTGGGCCTGCTGACTGGACAGAAAGGAAGGGCAGACCTGAAGAATGGCTTCTAACCCCATGGCTTAGCCTTTGCTCTGCACTGCGGCACAAGTAGGAAAAAGAGCGCAGGTCACCCTAGCCAGTCCCATAAATAATCATTAATGTGGGCAGTTAAGATTTAAGGTTCACAAACAATTAACAAAAATGAAGCATTAAAAGTGTGTGGTCTACTTTCGGTTCACACACACAGACAGACAGACACACGGTATTAATTGCGCTCACTTAAGCCAAACGAAGTCTGCATCTTTGATTTTCACATTCCCGTGTTCCTTTGGTGGTTAAGCTGGTGCCTTGTCTGCACTGCAACAGTTCTTTTGGTTGTGTGATGGAGTAACCCTGAGCAGAGAAGGGCAGGAGGGATGTTCCACCACTTTCCAAAACCTCGCTGGCTTGCACCAGCCAGAGCAGGAGCTGTGTTGTATGTGGCGTGGGTGTTTTCCCTTCAGCCCTGATGATTAGCATGTGTTTAATTCCATCACTCCCATTATTGAAACCAACAGAGCATTGGTGAGATTATTCACAGCAGCTCCAAGCTGGCAGAGCTAGTGAGCCTAATTGCGGGTTCTCTCAGAGGAACAAAAGAGTTTTTGGATCCAAGGCTGCCCAGAATGCATTGCTTCAGAAATTAGCACTGGCTAGTGCTGGCTGAAATACAGGCAGTGGTAGATCTGGACCCAGAGTTTTCTGCAGATGTTGCAGGGGCTTCTGCCACAGTTGCATAGGGTGGAGGACAGAGGGATACTACAATTATTAAACCATCGGTGGAGAGGCACTTCTTCCCCATCCTAACTCATTTCAGCCAGTGGTTAGGATTGTTTGAGGGCAGTGCTGATATGCCAAGAGTTCCTGGCTGATTAAGCAGCATAGGAAATTGTCTTCTCCTGAATCAGACAGTCAAGCCCACTATTGTCACACAGCGTGGCAGTTCCAGGCAGGGTCTGTGCTTGGCCTGGAGATGCCAGGAATCTCCTGCATGCAAAGCATGATGATGATGATGATGATGATGTAAAGGTACCCCTGACCGTTAGGTCCAGTCATGGACAACTCTGTGGTTGCGCGCTCATCTCGCTGTATAGGCTGAGGGAGCGGCGTTTGTCCACAGTCAGCTTCCAGGTCATGTGGCCAGCATGACTAAGCCGCTTCTGGCAAACCAGAGCAGCGCATGGAAACGCCTTTTACCTTCCCGTCAGAGCAGTACCTATTTATCTACTTGCACTTTGACGTGCTTTCGAACTGCTAGGTGGGCAGGAGCTGGGACTGAACAATGGGAGCTCACCCCGTTGTGTGGATTCGAACCGCTGACCTTCTGATCAGCAAGCCCTAGGCTCTCTGGTTTAGACCACAGCACCACCCGCATCCCTTACTGACTTACTTACTTAGTTATTTATTTATTCATACATACATACCCCGCCGATCTGGCTAGATCAAACACTAAAAACTTCCCTAAACAGGACTGCTTTCAGATGTCTTCTAAGATAGCTGCTTATTTCCTTCACATCCACAGGGCGGGCGCCGCTACCGAGAAGGCCCTCTGTCTGGTTCCCTGTAACCTCACTTCTCGCAGGGAGGGAGCCTCCAGAAGGCCGTCAGAGTTGGACCTCATTGTCCGGGTTGAACAATGGGGGTGGAGATGCTCCTTCAGGTGCATTAGCTCCCTGAGCAACTCTGGAAAACTCATTGTGTGTGTTGATTTGCCAGACATAAAAAAACCTCGCTTCCAGTAAATGGTCTTGTGTAAAACATATAGCATGAAATGAAGCAAGTACATACTTAAACTGTGGAGCTCCCTACCCCAAGATCTGGTGATAGCCACGAACTTGGATGGCTTCGAAAGGAGGTTGGACAAATTCATGGAGGATAAGGCCACCAGTGGTTACTAACTGTAGTAGCTCTACATTACCTCCAGGACCAAAAGCAGCACGTCTCTGAATACCAGTTACTGGGGAGCAGCAGTACAGCAGCAAAAGGGTATTTCTTTATGTCTGCTTCTTGGCTTCCTGAACTTGGATGGGCCTTTGGAATGATCCAGCAAGACTCTTACATTACTAAGCAGCTATCTTTCAGCCTCAGCCTTCCCATCTGCATTATGGGGATAATGCTGTCCTACCGTACAGGGCTATTTTGCCAAGATACTGTAAAATTTATATAGTGCTTGACTGTGTTAAAAGCATTGAAGCAAAGTTTATTGAGCGCACAGTAGAAATAGTACTAATACAGTCATACCTCTTGTTATGTTCGGTTCAGGTTATGTTTTTTCAGGTTGCGTCCCGCGGCGACCTGGAAGTAACGTAACGGGTTACTTCCGGGTTTCGCTTCTCACGCATGCACAGACGCTCAAAATGACGTCGCATGCATGCGCAGAAGCGGCGAATCGCAGCATGCGCAGATGCGGGTTGCGTTCTGCTCATGTTGTGAACGGGGCAATTATTTTCTACATTCAATCTAGGTTTGAATACTGATACTTAGACACTGAATGGTTTTGTAACGGCAAAGGCTTCTGGAAAATCAGATTTAACCCTGAAAGTGTTGTCCCTCCCACAGGAAGCTTTCTGTGGTTGTGCCAAAGCAACAAGGATCTCTTTTGTGTCAGTGACCAAAACCCGCAGTTTCATCCTTCGACTGTTCAGCTACCCCCCGATGACGAAATAGAATACTATTCAGCCTGCCAGGATGCCATATGGAGCCTGAACCACCTGGGACGAGTCTTCATAAGGACACTCTCGCCAAATTGCCCAACTGGGATGCACTGGACCAGACTGGACCTTGCCCAGTTAGGTAAGACTCCTTGTGAGCTCATTTGTCACATGCAAATTTCCCGACTTAAACACAGACTGACGGGGAGCATTTCCTCTGCATACCTGGTGAGTATTTGAACACAAAATTGCTCTGACCTGTGAAACCTATGTTTAAAGCATTAAACATGGACATATTCTGGTAGCTTGGCTTCATAGAATTCTTTGCTATCTTAATATCAGAGAAAGGGTAGGACAGAGAACTGCAGGGCCATTTTGACTTGGCCGGTTTTTGCTGATGGAAAGAAAAGATGATCCAGATTTTCAAAAAAGCAGAATAAAGGTGCCATCGGAGCAAGGTGTGATGTGCATCCTTTGGGAGCATCCTTGTGTGGACATCCCACAGGAGCGATGGGGAACCTGTGATCCTCACATCATCCCTGACCTTTGGCCATGCTGGCTGGAGCTGATGATAGTTGGTAGTCGCAACAGTATATGGAAGGCTAGAGGTTCCCTTTTCCTGCCCTACAGGATGAAGGTAGATCAAGAATTAATGCTATCCTGGCCCACAGAGGATCAGGATGTCTGCCACTTCCCTGTGGGTCTGTCCCACTTCTCCAGCTGTGATAAAACTGGAAAGGGTTTCTTTCCATATGAAGGTTTCCTGCCCACCAATATCTTGCATGCTTGTGGGTTGCGGTGTGTTAAAGGGAAAACTGGATGAGCTCATCTTTCTTTAAAAGAAAGCAAAAAGTCTACTTCAGATGTGCACTCTGGAAATCAAACTCAAGGCAAGTAACACCTGATGAAATGGCATTAGCAAATAAGAGGCTTAAAATAGCGTGCCAATAGGTTTTGAAACATCTCTTGAGTAGATTTCTGAGGCATAGCATTTGACGTGATCAGAGCTGCCCTGTCATATCCCGGAGTTCCAAAAAATGAAGCGGGATTCGCTTTGACAGTGTGCTAGTAAGCAGAAAGATTTGTTTCTCTGGATGAGCAATTAGCATCAGCTTTGGAGAAAGGAGGAAAAACCCAAGGTGGAATAGGAAAACAAGCCGAAAACGTTACATAAGAGAAGTGCGCATTTGGATATCAGGTTGTGCTGCATATGTAAATAAGTGCCCAGCGAGGCAGAGCAGGTGATATGTGACCCCTTGTTCAGAGAGCCCTGATGCTTAGCTAGATCAAAACCAACAGCTGAACCGCTGAGGTCCAAAGCCACCGTGATCCAGGATGTCTGTGCCGGGAGGAGTAACAAGACTTTATTTTAAATAGCGCTGCTGAATGTCAGACCCAGAGGAGCAGCAGAATTATGCTGATGACTCTCTTCCCCACCCCACGGCTATTTTGAGCCGGGCAGGTCTTATGCAACGGTGCTAAAATAAAGATCGAATGCAAGAAGAAACTATATGAGAATAAGCTAGGAGAAGTCAGGTGCTCAACACCTTGCTTGTTTTAACCCATTTCAAATAAAGCCACTTTAAATTGTCATTTTATCACTTAGCATATTGGTATCCCTTTCAACCTCTAGGGAACCTTGGGACATTTCTGAGCTACCACTCCCCCCTCCCCCCCATTTCCTCTGTGGTCTCTTTCTTTGACGTACAGTGGTACCTCGGGTTAAGTACTTAATTCGTTCCGGAGGTCCGTTCTTAACCTGAAACTGTTCTTAACCTGAAGCACCACTTTAGCTAATGGGGCCTCCTGCTGCTGCCGCGCCGTCGGAGCACGATTTCTCTTCTCATCCTGAAGCAAAGTTCTTAACCCGAGGTACTATTTCTGGGTTAGCAGAGTCTGTAACCTGAAGCGTATGTAACCCGAGGTACCAGTGTACATGTGGGCTTCTCCCATTTGTGCAGGAGTTTCTAGACTGCAAGCTCAGGACAGAGCTGGTGCCATTTCCCTCAACTGGAGAGATTTTATCTTTGTTCTGTACATGAAGGAAGCGAGTGGTAGTTCTTTTGACTACCACAAGACCAACAATGCAGATACATATTCCCCCCCCCCCGATAGGTTTTCCCCTCAGTGAATCCTTTCTTTCTCTCCCTACAGACCTATTACTTAATTCAGTTTATAGTTTCTTTCTTTTCTGCCACGCACACCTGTGGTGCGAAGGCCTTTTTTTAAAGCCACAACCTGCATTCTGCCACGGCCATTTTGAGGAGAAGAGCACAGATTCCATTTTTGCACTCAGGGAGAGAAGCCACGGGTTTGGCTTAGCATGTTGGCCGAACATCGAGTCGTAGTCAAAGTTTGTCCTTGCCTACAGCTCACGGTTAGAAAGGAGAGACCTTTGCCATGAGCCTCAGTTCAGACAGCAACCTTAGCCCAACCTTGGCTTAGCCTAACATGGGATTTTTTAAAAGAGAGAGAGAGAGATTAGAGCAAAGTGACTGTCAGCTCTTCTCTGGTATCCCATACATTTGTGTGGCTGATTTGCCTTGCTGTGATGTGAGAACGAAGCCATTGACAAGAGATGCAAAAAAACCCCCCTCCACGCCATTCCTGCTCTCCCATAGAACAGGATGCCGCTTCCAATTCTGTGATACTTGAGAATGTTAAACTGCCATCGCATTCTTTTAAAGTACCTTAAAGTACTACAAGGGAGGTGGAAATTTGCCTGTGGCTTATGTGGCGGAATGGCATGTTCCTTGCTCGTAGATCTTTTTTTTTTTTTTTTGTATTTTATTTTTAGTAAATTTTATTTTGCTTTAAACAGACAAATATAAACAACCAAAATTACAAAAGAAAAATCCTTAATAATGGAAAAGGCTAAAAAAACTACAAAAAATATCAAAGTACATGGTATAGAACATAAGCCGTTATGGGAAAGAAAAAGGAAAGGAGAAGGAGAAGGAAGAAAAAAAGGGGAGGAAATGAGCCAAAACACAAGAAGGCTTGTCTATTGTACGCTTCTGTCAAGGTCACAACAGATCATTATTCTTAACAGTTCTCTCTGTCTGCATTCCATAGAATCCCTCATCTTGGTATCAGGGAACATTTCCCAATGCGGTATCATTCTAAACATAACCAGGTCTTTATTGATGAACCCTTATCCCCTAGATAATTATTTAAACGTTCCCATTCTTCCTTCACCATCTAGTTCTTAACGCAACTCAGTTTTTTAGACTTCTCTTTCTCCCCCATCCAGGTGTTTCTGCTACAAAATACAGAAGCGCTAGACATGATAAGGTTGGCCTTGGCTTATAAACCGTAGGTGCTTTCCCCCCCTTTTTCCTTGAAGTGCCTTTTTCAGTGTAAATAGCATAGCTGAAGTTTCTAGGAACAAGTGCTCTTGCTGATGGATGACTGCCTAATGACCTGAGAGAGTCGCTTCACAGCTTTACACTTTTCTATTTCAGTCCTCGGGGAAGCAGCAAAGTTATGATGCTGCCGTACGGCTGAAAATAAAAATAACCTGTTGATGGCACAGTCGTTTTTTGGAGAAGAGCTCCTTGCTTGTGTTGCATGCTAGAAATGAAAGCAGGCTAACTCTGAAATACTTGTTCCACAGTTCGGCAGCCACTGTTTGCTAGTAACATTTGGAATGTTAAGCACTAACATGTATTTATAGACCTGGTCTGTAAGCACGACCGGCTCCCTGGGAGAGTTCACTTGAGGTCATGTGAAAAGTTGCATCTCTAGTTTAGACCAATCGCATTGCATGAAGGGTCCCGCCCCCACCCCCACCTGTTCCTCTTTGAAAATCATCGTTTTAAATGTCAGTGATTTGTGGACTACATTGTGTCCTGTTATCCTAAGGCACTTCATAGAAGGGACCACAAGAGTCATCTGGTTCAGTCTCCTGCAATGGAGGAACATCTTTTGGCCCATTGTGGGGCTCGATCCTGGAAATAAGAGTCTTATGCTGTACCAAGTGAGCTATCCCGCAAACCAACTTCAGTGTTGGTGCTGACCTTTAAAGCCCTAAATGGCCTCTGCCCAGTATACCTGAAGGAGCGTCTCCACCCCTATCGTTCTGCCCAGACACTGAGGTCCAGCGCCGAGGGCCTTCTGGCGGTTCCCTCACTGCAAGAAGCAAAGCTACAGGGAACCAGGCAGAGGGCCTTCTCGGTAGTGGCGCCCTCCTATCAGATGTCAAAGAGATAAACAACTGCCTGACATTTAGAAGACATTTGAAGGCAGCCCTGTTCAGGGAAGTTTTTAATGTGTGGCATTCTAATGTATTTTTAATCTTTGTTGGAAGCTGCTCAGAGTGGCTGGGGAAACCCAGCCAGATGGGCGGGGTACAAATAATAAAGTATGATGATGATGATGATGCAGAAAAGGACTCGCTAAACAAGCAGAATCAACATCTTACATTGCACCTGCCACCAGCCAGCTCTCATACTTGTTTCGCATTGCTAACAAAGTGAAATGTTATATGCCCTCCTTATGGTAGACATAGTATTCTCTTGTGTAAATGATTCAGTTCAGGTGAATTCTCCCAAGTAGTGGCTACACATGGGGCGGGAGCAAGGGAGCCAGTGGATCCTTCTTGCCCGTCTTGCACTCAGACTCTGCAAAAGTCAATGCATGGGTCTAACATCTGCATGAGGGTCTTGCAAACACAAGTCTAACTCGTTCTGTCCGTTCCCTGGATGGCACACAAGATGTCCATGCAGTTCAGGCCTGGATTTTCTGCTGAGAGGGTCCATATTCTCACATACATCCAGTGAGAGGTAATCTGTAGCGTTGGAAGAGACCCCAAGGGTCATCTAGTCCAACCCCCTGCTGTGCAGGAATCTTAACTAGATCATGCATGACAGGTGGCCATGCAACCTCTGCTTAAAAAGAACCTCTAAGGAAAGAGAGTTCGCCGCCCATCGTTTTTCTTTGTAGTCTTAAGTGTCCATGAGAGGCTCTGATTTTTTTTTTTTTTAGTGCAACGGCAGCATTGGGGGAAGGAGTTTCCAGCCCTCCCCTCTCCCCTTGCACCCCTGCCTTCGTGGTCTGACTCCCTTCCTCCTGAAGCTGATTTAGGGGGAAACGAAGGGGGAAACGCAGAGTAGCTTTGTAGTTTGACCCTAACTAGCGTCATAAATCAGAATTGAAGATGGCTGGTTGAATGACTGGGTGCCCCTCTTCCTCTCTTTTTTCAATTAGGTGCTGTGAAACTTAAAAGTTTGGCATGTGGCAAACAGCACATCTGGGCCTGTGACAGCGGTGGCGGAATCTACTTCCGGGTTGGGACACAGCCCCTGAACCCCAGTTTGATGCTGCCTGCATGGATCATGATTGAGCCACCAATCCAGGTAGAAAAACAAGTTGCCTTGTTTTTTAATTCCAAACCATCAGAATGCCTAAATCCAGCTGAAAAAACACGTAAACGTAATAGGCTGTATGGTAACAACTGCAAAGTTATTTACTAGAAACTACTTCTCAAAAATTAGATACAGCTTCTCATAGTGTCAAAATCAACCTTGTGACATCATATATTAAAATGTAGCTTATTCAGTTGACAACCAAGTCCAGTATGTACAAAATACAAATCCTATTATGTCAGTGCCGTAATACATTCATTCCTAATTTCTTCATCTTCTCTTGTATTTTACCTCGCCTGAGAACCTGTTATAAATAAGTTCCATGTAGCTGTTATATACAGTACTGAACTATGCACAGCTGATGAAGCCCCTTCGGGCGAAACAGGGGAATATTCAGGAATCCTTCTCTTGTCTGTCTGTGCCAGCATCTACCAGTGCCAGTTTCTTTTGTCTACCAACTTTATCATCTTCATTAGACACTTAGAAGATTATTTCATGTCACTCTTCTAAGGAATACGTCAGACAGAAAAACAGAAGAGAAGATGAAGAAATCAGAAATGAACGTATTACTGCACTGACAAAATAGGATTTGTATTTTGTACATACTGGACTTGGTTGTCAACTGAATAAGCTACATTTTAATATATGATGTCACAATGTTGATCTTGTTTTTAATTCAGCCTCTAATCTTTAGGCCTTCTGACATGAAAAGATTCCAATTCTTCAGTGGCGGCAAGTGAAGATTCTCAGGTCTGGGAATGCTGTGGGGCAGGAGGGAGGGCTCAGCTATGGACTTAAGGCTGTCATAGACTTGGTAATATTTAGTAGAAGATTGAGATACCAGAATGAACACTGGTGTGCATGGTCAGAGCACCATTCTGTCTTTCCAGCATAGATCCTAGCTGAATTCCTGCATCTGTTTTTGAAGTGGACCGTGGGGTAGCCTTTAATGGGGGGAAACTGGACTTCTGTAGCTGGAGGTGAACTTGATACAACCTGGTTTCTCCTCCTGTCTTGATATCCCATTTCCCCCCCAAAACTGGAAATTCTTCCTTTTTTGCCAAACATCAGCAATGCCTAATGCAGTTGATCTCAAAGAGCAAAGAATTTGGGCTATTCCCCGCCCCCAACCTTCCAGAGAAGTAATCTCTTGGTTACGTAATAGCATCTGGGAGAATTCCAGTTCATTAGGCCAAATGGGTATAAGAAAATGTAAAAAAGTGCAACTTCAAATTGCCTAACGCCCCAAAACCCAGCTCAAATCTAGCTTTCGGCCAACAGATGTTAGCAGGCGAGTGTCTTCTTAGCAAGTCATTCAGCAAGCTTTGCAGAACCCCAGTTAATGTCATTTGGGCTGCACCTCACTGACTTGACCTAGGAAGTTACGTTACATCATGTTCACAGCAATGGGCAAAAGAAGGAATGGCACAGAGCAGGCGGGGAGGGTGAGAGAGGGGTGTTGCCAAGGCTTTCAGTGGCTTCAAGTACAACCCTGCTCTCAGAATACAGCCTCTGCCATCATTGAGGCAGGACAGCCTGATCCTTCAGCCAGATAGAATAATTTGCTGTTCCTCAGAACTTGTGAGTCATGAAATTTGCCTGCAAGTGGCTGACTTTTCGTCTTTAGCTGCACCGCTTGTGTAACACTCCAAAATTCTAGGGCAACACGACTTCTGTCAGGGTTGATATGGATCATAAATCTGTCGCCTAAAATAACATCGCCTTTCTTGGATTTTCGCCGGTGATTTGAGTAACTAGACCTTACCTCTCCTTGTGAATCTGAGCCTTGGCTTTAAATGCTGGCTTATAACTGATAAATATGCACATGTTCCTTTCATCGTGTTCTCTCCGCAGCTTGTGGGATGACTCCTGACCCCTCTCATGTGAAAGCAGATTGGCTGTTTACCATCCTGTTTTTCTGTTTGCTGAGCCGAGATCAGCAGTCAGCAAAATGACAGGCCAGGGAGCTATTAAAATATGGAACAGTTGTTTATCAAAACATAGCCTGTTCTGCTCTGGATGTCTAACAGTATACAAACAAGCTGTCAGAATGCCCTTTTGCTCTGTGAGAAGTGCACTTTTAAATCTCTTGTCAGGTTTGAGAAAAAGTCTGTTCTCTGCTCCGGCATTTGAGCATCCCAGAAGTAAATCCATTGTCTCTTTGTTTTCATTCATCACAATGGCATTTCTATACTTTTACCATGTACAGTGGTGCCCCGCAAGACGAATGCCTCGCAAGACGAAAAACCCGCTAGACGAAAGGGTTTTCCGTTTTTCAATGCGCTTCGCAGGACGAATTTCCCTATGGGCTTGCTTCGCAAGACGAAAATGTCTTGCGAGTCTTGAGATTTTTTTCGCTTTCCCCCCCCTTTTTCTAAGCCGCTAATAGCCTTTTAGCCGCTAAGCCTTTAATAGCCGCTAAACCGCTAATAGCGCTAATCCGCTAAGCCGCTAATAGGGTTGCTTCGCAAGACGAAAAAACCGCTAGACGAAGAGACTCACGGAACGGATTAATTTCGTCTTGCGAGGCACCACTGTAAATCAGATTTTGTTCAACTTATAAATATTAGGGGTTTGTGTGTGTTTGTTTGTGTGTGTGTGTGTGTATTTACAGCACACTCTTGTTGGGTAGAATGAAGTCCTTTTTGTTTTATTCCTTTAGCAATTCTAGTAATCTGTAGCCATAATAGATGGGGAGAGGAGTAGTAGTAGTAGTAGTAGTAGTAGTAGTAGTAATCACCATCATAATCATCAGACACCCCATTAAAAATGCACTGGGTGTCTGATTCTGATGATGTTTAGTATATGATTGTGTTTAGTTCCCAGTGCATTTTAATGGGATGTCTTGTCTGATCCTGATGATCACAGCATAAAATTACAATACAAAAAGCACAAAATGCATGATAAAAAAAGAACATAATCAAACCAATAACCCTCTCCCCTCCCAGAACACATTTAAAAGGGCATTAAATGTCAATCAGCCAAAGGCCTGGTTGAAGAGGAACGTTTTCGCCTGGCACCTAAAGGTGTCTAATGATGCTTCCATGATATGGTCGTTTCAAGTTTTTGAACGTATTTCTTCACTTTTATGGGCTTAGGTTCTGAGTTTAACTTGAGGGAAGTTTGCAGAAGGAGGGTTTCCAATTCCTGTAGCTACCTTGATCTCTCCCTCAGAGCCCCTCATGGTGGGAGAGGGTCTCCTGGAGACTTTCCTTCCTTGAACATCCTTAGATTGATTTATCTTTGCATCTGATCATTTCTGCTGCCCACTCCCCCGCTTGTCTCTCAGTGCTGTGCTTAAGTCAGAAAATGTGCACTATTTAGTATGGCAAGAGAGAGACATGCATCTGTAAAAGTGCTCTTCAATGACTTATCCCTGTTTTATCAAGGGCTCATGTGGATATCTTGTTGTTGTTGCTGCTGCTGTTGTTGCTGTTGTTTTATGCATTGCCTTAGACATGAAGGTCCCTAGGCGACTTGCATAGAAAGAAAGCCCACTGCGTTTTGGTGCTTAGGCAGCAAATCTAAATATTACTTCCCATGATGGTAAAAATGAAATAATAAACGACTTAATACACGATTAGCTACTTTTGCTTCGTCCTGCTTAAAGCTAAGACTGACTCCGGCTTTAAAGAAAGAGAGGCAAGAATCCTTAATAAAACGAGTGTTGCCTTGTTTGTGCAGGATGGGCAGCTTATCCTAATTTTGGTGTTGGAATATGTTTCTCGTAGCTTTTTTAGTTTCCTACCGTGTCTCAGGGGCAGGAGATGGTGGCTCAAGTAAGAGAAACGGAAAAGGGAACAGCTGATGGATGATCCACTCTTTCCAATTCTCAGGTGTTCTTGATCTTTATCTCAGATGACACAGGGAATGTAAACAGTGCTGTAAATAAACAGCAGCTTGAAAGGGGATCCAGGAGAGATGCTTAACTAAACTGAGTGAGCAAGGTGACTCATGTGGGCCTCTTGCATTCGGAATTTCTTAAGGCATTGGGGAATTCTGTGCCATGACTCTGATGATGAAACATCCCATCAGTACCTACTAGAGTAGACACTTGACAGGTATTTTAGCGCCTCACCCTGTACAAAAAAAAAAGAGCTATATCTACAAAAGGAGTGAGAAAGTTACCTCTATTTAGAGCCAGTGTGGTTTAGTGGATGAAAGACCCCTGTTCAAATTCACACTAGGCCACAAAGGTTACTGGCATAACTTTGATCCAGTCGCTATCTTTCTTGCCCAGCCTGCCTCGCAAGGTTGCTGTGAGGATGCAAAGGAGATGGGATGGAAGCACCCTCACTAGAAAGGAGTAGAATAAAAATTTGAGGAGTAATAACATGAATATTGAACTGTAAGAGCCTAACATAGTGATAGGTAATATAACACAGACACACACCCCAAAAATGTTGGTGTACTACTGTTGTAAACAAAATCTGCCCTTCTTCCCTTATGGGGTATCCAAGAGCCCGTATAGAGTCCTTACGTGGGTTCCCTATTGGTAGGAGAAAATAACAGAAGCCAACCAGAGAATATTGAGAAGCAAAGCAGCTAGTAAGCCTGATCTTTAGTAAAGCTGTAGCAACAGGGTGCTCCCCTCACACGCAGGAGAGCGGAGGGGGACCCAGAACCCAGGTGTGCCCGCCCTTATATAGACATTTTAAATTCCCTGCCCTGGACCTTGAGACCACCCCTCCATACATCATACATACATCACATAAGGGGTGTAACCCAAGACCACCCCCAACAAACATCAAACCTACATCTCAGAAAAGGTGGTCTACAACAGAAATTTGAATGTTGTTGTTTTTCCTGTCTGCCCGGTTATCTGATAATGCCTTATCTGATTGCCTTTCCTGGTAGTCTGCCCATTCCTTTGAGATGGTGATTACCCAATTCCTGAGACAATGGGAATGTTCCCTCACCCCCTCCCTCCTTGCAGAGAAAACATTTGGTCAGTTTGGGAGTCAAAATGGTTTCAGGACTGTCTTCTTGTGCTGCTCCAGACATGAGGTCCACACATCTATGCACGCGCCTGGCTGGCACATTCACGAACATTTATATATATAAGACCTTATATATATATAAGACCTTAATTTTTTTATTACACTACAACTCCTTTCATCCCTGGACATTGGCTTATGGGAGTTGTTGTTTAGCAATGCTTGGAGAGCCACCTGTTAGCTAGTCCTGCTATAATGAATCCAAAAGCTAAAACTGTAATGGAGGGATGTGGGGGAGGTCTGTGAAGGGATCTCCATGGTTATTTTTAAAAGATCAAAGGAGATATGCAGGGTGCGTTTGCCAGGCAAGTTTCAAGGTTCCTCTCTCAAACCGCTCCCCTAATCCTTGCACTGATTACCAAAATGAAATCTCTCACAGGTGCACACACACAATTCCCTTTGCCTTGTGGGCAGTGCCGGATTTACGTATAAGCTAAACAAGCTGTAGCTTTGGGGCCCCCTCAAAAAAATTAAAGGAAAAAAACAACAATGTACATTTCCAATCCAAAATATAGGATAAAAAACAAATTACTTTGTTTACATTTTGTTATGTGCAAATGGCTTTAGATACCTATTAGGTCGATAAATTACCATATAGCATATATTCAACACAAAAACCAGCGACCATTTGTTGTTGACAAAGGACAGCTGGACGTATAAAGGGCTCCATTACCTTCAGTAGCTTAGGGCCTCATCAGACCTAAATCCTGCCCTGCTTGTGGTTACCTGCATATTTTGCAACATTGGGCAAATAATAGCTTGGACATGGGGACAAAAGGCTAATGTCTTCCTTCCTGCAGCACTGTGGTGCTGATCTGACTCTCAGCTACAGCTGCTTGGATCTATTTTTTATTGTCAAGGGACATCCTGGTCGTGGATCTCCCACAACACACCCACCCAATGTGGCTACAAGGCAGGATCCTAACAAATCAATGGAAGATTTAGTGGCATAGAGATGACAAGCGGCGCATACATAAGGTCCCAGGCTCAGTATCCATTAAAAGGATCAAGTAGCAGGTGATGGGATAATTGCTCTATCTGTTGAGAAACTGAAGAACTGCTTGCTGCCGGGGAAAGGAGGCAATACTGGCCTCCTGTAAAGACTGGCAGGGACGCGGGTGGCGCTGTGGGTTAAACCACAGAGCCTAGGACTTGCTGATCAGAAGGTTGGCGGTTCGAATCCCCGCGATGGGGTGAGCCCCCATTGCTCGGTCCCTGCTCTTGCCACCTAGCAGTTCGAAAGCACGTCAAAGTGCAAGTAGATAAATAGGTACCGCTCTGGTGGGAAGGTAAACAGCGTTTCCGTGCGCTGCTCTGGTTCGCCAGAAGTGGCTTAGTCATGCTGGCCACATGACCCGGAAGCTGTACGCCGGTTCCCTCGGCCAATAAAGTGAGATGAGCGCCGCAAGCCCAGAGTCGGCCACGACTGGACCTAATGGTCAGGGGTCCCTTTACCTTTACCTTTATAAAGACTGGCCTCCAGTGTCCCTGCAATAGAGATGTGCCCTGCCCCTTCTTTACGCCTCACTGTGAAGATCAGCGTGCACATGGTTCCCCAGAAGTCTTCTATTCAGAAGCTGGGCAATCTCAGACATGCTCATCTTTGCAGCTGTTCAGGGTGCCTCAGACCATGCACGAGTCTCTCTGGTTGCCTGGACATGTGAGTGCAGTTTGCAGATGGGTGCCAAAATCATCCCCAGGAATGCAGAGCTGAAGGGAAGCATGCTCGGCTTTCTACCACTGAGCCTCAAAGAGGTTCCTCCCAGGAAGAACATCATAGCAATGGGAATAACAATAATAATTCATTATTTATACCCCGCCCATCTGGCTGTGCTTCCCCAGCCACTCTGGGCAGCTTCCAACAAAATATTAAAATACCATAATGCATCAAACATTAAAAGCTTCCCTAAACAGGGCTGCCTTCAGATGTTGTCTAAAAGTCTAGTAGTTGTTGTTCTCTTTGACATCTGGTGGGAGGGCGTTCCACAGGGCGGGCGCCACTACCGAGAAGGCCCTCTGCCTGGTTCCCTGTAGCTTTGCTTCTTGCAGTGAGGGAACCACCAGAAGGCCCTCGGCGCTGGACCTCAGTGTCCGGGTAGAACGATGGGGGTGGAGATGCTCCTTCAGATATACTGGACCAAGGCCTAGCCCTATCAATTGGCCAGAAATGGAGCAGCTGCAGAGAGCTTGCTTCGTTCTTCCTTGCCAGAAAGCAGGAGTGCCTGGGTGTTGCTGTTTTCCCCTCCTCCCTCCCTGTCATTTTCTCCTTTTGTGCCATGTCTTGTGTATTGCACAAGGAGCATGGAATCGCAGAATTGTAGAGTTGGAAGGGAACCCCGAGGGCCATCTAGTCCAACCCCCTGCAGTGCAGGAATCTTTTGCCCAGCATGGGGCTCGAACCCACAACCCTGAAAAATTAAGAGTCTCATGCTCTACCGACTGAGCCGTCATCTTGTTACTGATCATTGTAACCCCTTTCTGGAGACCTTTTCAGCTGGAGAGCAGGGTAAAAATACTTTATTGCCGTTAGGTCAAGGAATATATGGGCTTTAAAAAAATATTATTTTAGTAGAGTGGAGTGGGCACAGGAGAAGGTGCATGCAGCAGAGCAGAGTGTGGCTCTGTTTAAGGGTTTTCAGAGGACACCCACGTGTCTGCCTAAGCACATGTTCAAACTTGCAGCACTAAATTTTCCTCCAGGCGCCCAGTTGTACTTTTGGGAATGAAGCTTGTAAAATGAGATTGCAGGATAAAGGTCAGCAATGGGCCCTGCTCACGCATCCTGCCTCGAGTGATTCCCAACGTAGCCCCTGTTTGGTGGTCGCTTTGAGAAGAGGAGCCTTTGGATGAAGGGCTAGCTCATCTTGCTTGTGCCACCCACGTTTGACTGCTTTTTCATTCCTTCTTTCTTTCTCTCTTTTTTGCTCACTTCCCTTTTCATCTTTCAAGTCTTCTTTTCACAACATGCGTGTTGGGAATGCACGAATGGCTTATTAAAGGCTGGAAAGGATTTCTAAATAATTATCCTGAGTTTGGAGTGATAAAAGTACTGTTTCTGAACATTTATGGGCAGGATTTGACCTGTGCAAGGACATCTGATTGGACAACAGGGCTCCCCTACCTTCTCCTGCCCCCCATGGATGCCCTGGATCTCCCAGAATAATGTGGGTGGCGGGGCGGAGGGTGTTTCTATATTATATATTTTGTCATCTCGGTTTGTATTTTTCTGTTGCAAACTGCCCTGTGTTCTTCGAACGAAGGGTGGTATACATCAGGGGTAGGCAACCTAAGGCCCATGGGCCAGGAGCAGCCCACGGGGGGGTCGTTTAACTGGCCCACGAGCTGCCCGCTTGGCAAGTCCCCGCGTCCTGTGCTAAACCGGCGCAGCGTGGCGCCGTAAATCACTTCTGCCCAGGCGCCGGAAATTGCGTGCACATGCGCAATCCAGCCCGCAGAGGGATCTCCGCTGGAGTGAACCGGCCCAGGCGAGGTAAACCTTGCCAACCCCTGGTATACATAGAACCATAGAATTGTTGAAAGGGAACCCCAGGGGTCTTCTAGTCCAACCCCCTGCAATGCAAGAATCCTCCCCACAGCCGTCCCTGGGTGGACTCGAAGCACCACCTTTCTGGTTAGCAGCCAGATGCACTGACCCATTGTGCCACTAGGGCACACCTTTAATAATAATAATAATAATAATAATAATAATAAATAATCTGCAATGCTTGCACAGGTAGAACAGCAGGAGGAGTGCAGTGTTCAGTTCCACCCTGTATCCTCCAAGTTGATGAGGCTCGTTTGACATCACCACGAAACAGAGCCTTTAGTCTCATCGGCCCAGTCCTATGGGATGCTCGTCCAGCAGAGATTCAGCAGGTGTCTTCTGCCTTAACTTTCAAATATTTGCGGGGGAATGTTTTCTGTGCCGCCAGGCTTACACAGACAATTAAGAAAATATTTCCTGTAATAGTTAGCTGATGATCCACTACCTTAAATTTTGTACGCAATGTGTGTGTGTGTGTATAATGCTTGGTAACTGCTTTGATATTTTTTATGATGCAGTATACAAGTATCCCCCCGCCCCCCCCGCCCCCCGTAAATGCAATAGGTTTATAGTCTAAGCTACAGCATCTGGTGCATTTAAAAGCTAGCAGGTCTTTTTGTGGCTTTTGCGAACTAAAGCCTAGTTTGTCAGATGCCTAAACCATTGGCAAAGAATGGCACGGTGCTTGACTTTGCTGCAGGGCTAAGATTCAGCAACCATGTAACCGGAGTCTTTTAAAATTCAGCCTTGGATTTTAAAAAAGAGTCTGGCTCACACTCCATATTACTGGCCAACATGCATGTGGGGAATATGTGATTTGAAGTTGGGGGGGGGGGCAGAGGAAGGAGGACGAAACATAAAAGTAACTGTGTTTGACCCATAAAGAAAAATCTCCTAAGTTGGCTGCTAATGTGTAATGAGTAAAAGATCCCTTGCAATACCCAACAACTATTCCTTCATGTTTGTTATTGTTTCTGTTGGTGTTCGGAGGGTATTTCATAGCTCATCCTCAACCGTGCAGTCACACAAGACTGGGAGGCATCGTGTGGGTGTGGGACTCTGAAGAGCCTCATACAAAACTGTCCTGCTTGACTTCCTCTGTGCAGCAATGTGCTTGCTATCTGCCTGTCCAGCTTATTGTGGGTGCTGCAAAGTGATAAGAAATGATGTGTTCCGCATAAGATACTGGTAGCTTCAAAAACTTCAAAGAGCTGGCTAACGTTTCACCTGCAATGCTCAAATGGCCCTTAAAATAAGTTGGCATCGGTGACATTTGCAGTAGCCGTTGTTGACACACACAGCGATCCTTCTCACAATTCAGCAGCAGAGGCTTCATTTATAAATGTTTGCTTTTTTTAGAGAACAGGATAATCCCCCCCCCCTGTTTTGTTGTCATCTGTAGACCAGAGCGTGGTGTGCTAGATCAACAGTCTGTGTTCAGGACCCAGACATCATAATTGAAATACTTTATTGTCACTTGTACAACTTGTATACAGTGAGATTACATGAGCACCCCCCACTCAGCTCTCTTAGTCTTAATTCCCCTCGTTTACTGACGCACACCCACCAAACCCGAAAGTCAGTTGCCCTGTTGTTATCTTTTCATTCAGCAGCCTAACAGCCCATGGATAGAAGCTGTTCTTTACCCTGTTGGTGCGACTAATCATGCTTCTTCTATATCTTCTGCCTGAGGGCAGGAGATCAAGAAAGTGCCGGCCAGGGTGTGAATCATCCCTGAGAATTTTCCTCACTCTCCTGAGGCAACGTTCTTCCACAATTTCTTCCAGCGGATTCACGGGACAGCCCATAATATCTTGAGCTGTATTCACCACCCTCTGTAGGCACTTCCTATCAGTTGATGTCAAACCAGCGTACCACACCGTGATGCAGTATGAAAGGACACTTTCTATTGTGGACCAGTAGAAGGAGATCATTAAATGTTGATTGACGTTGTTCTTTCTCAATACTCTGAGGAGATGGAGTCTCTGTTGGGCTTTCTTAACCACCTGGGTTGTGTTGATTTTCCAAGTAAGGTCTTCACTGAGATAAACTCCTAGGAATTTAAAGGAAGAGACTGCCTCCACACAGCCCTCCACACAGGGCTAAGAACGTCCTGACACCTGTCCTCCACCTCATCCCCAATGCATAGTCATCCAAACATTTAAACCTCATCGATAGCTAAAACCAGGGTGGAGAGCCAGAGGCTGAATGCGGCCCTGCAGGCTCTCAGTCTGGCCCTTGGCACTCTCCATAAGCCACAGCCTCTCCCTAGGCCATGCCCCTCATTGCTTCTGCTCTGCTGCCACCTTGAATGTTTTTACCTGGTTGTAATGTGTCCTTGGACAGCAAATAGATTCTTGCTTGCCTGGGTAGAGGCTGGAGAGAGGGCTTTTTGCGTATGTTGGTAGAAACCTCAGGCTTTTGGGTGTCTGGAATTTAGCCTCTTGCACAAAGGTAATAATCTCCCTTCATCACCCACCCCCTTCTCATTTCCCCCAGCGCCACCTGCGTCGGCTTGTAGCCCCAGGAGGGTTCCCTATTAGGGCGTGGAGCCCTCTGGCTGAAAGCCTGATGTTGCCCTGGGAGGGGTCCCTAGGGCAAGAGCAGAATTCAGGGTGACTCGCACGCTGCCGCCGTCGTGGCAGTGCAAAGTAGCAGGGCAGAGACAGAGATCACACACCCAGAAACTTAGTTGATCTTGTAGCTCTGATCACACAATACAGGAGAAGGGATCTTTGGGTCGCTTGCCAGTTTGAGCTGGAGGAGAGCTTTTCATCCCAATCGCTATGATCAGATTCTGACTGGAAAGGGGATGAGCTTCTTTGGCTTCTAATACACTCAGCGTCTGTTCTCCCGGTAGCCATAATTTCGCTAAAGGCTAAGATACAGAGTGTAGATCGAGTTGTGCAGAATGGCGATAATTCAGATAGGCAGCTTTTTACTCCAGAGCACAATGCCTATGTATTCTATAATGCAGAAATAATAGGGAGCCGAAAGAATCAAAAGGCATTGACACTGCAAATAGCAAGGGCTTGTGTGCATGTATCATATTTGGATGTATTCTGTATTATTTGGTATTTAAATTGAAACACGATGGGGAACTGTAGGATGCAGTCATGAAAAATGAAATGTGTGTGTGTCAGAGAGCGAGAGACGGAGAGAAGAGAATCTCTTTGTCAGAACAGTATGACATGGAGTCTCTCGCCTACCATATTTCTCTTTCCATGACAGATTTGCTTCCTGTTGCACTTAATGGAAATTTGGCACCGAGTTCAGATTTTAAAACAGAAGCGTTATATAAATATCATTAGTTAGTTTGGGTTTTTAGAGAAAGTGATATTGAGCCTTCATTTTACGGGTGTTTTTTGCCTTCCCAGAGGCGAAATGGAATGTTATCTATCGTAATTTGCTTTGAGTTTGCTTTCTGCAATAAACAACAATAATGCTACTTTTTCTGAGGCTCTTTTGACTGCCAGTATACATCCAGCACTTTCTCTCCACTCCTTCCAGCAGTTCATCTTTAATTTAATTTCCCACCTCTCAGTCAGTGCCGATCCATTAGAGAGGGTTTGTATCAAACGGCAGAGGATGACATTGACCGTTGTATTATCTTTTGCAGCCAGTTGGAGTCAACTTGGTTAGTGTGTTCTCAAGTCCCAACGATCAGAGCCTGTGGGCGATCGACAACAAATGGAACGTCCATGTTCGCACGGGGATTACAGAGGAGATGCCTGTAGGCACAGATTGGGAACAGGTTCCAGGTGAGAATATTTTGCCTTCATCATTTGGTCGCTGTTGAAATGCCATTGGGAAATGTGTAACGTCCCTTTCCCCCATGAAATTAGAAGCAGAAGAAAAGGGAGAAGTGGTGTGTTGGCGTTCCTCCTCCTCCTCCCTGCCTTCTTTTTGCATTTCCCTTTACTGACACTGTATTTTGCTTTTGTATTCGCTCTTCTGTACTTTGACCAAACTTATCCTTTGACTTCAGGGCTTCAGGCATGCCAGCTGGCGATAAGTACAAGGACTGTTTGGGCACGTTGTCCGAATGGCGACATAGCACGTCGGTACGGCATCACGGATAAAAACCCCGCAGGAGATTACTGGAAGAAGATTCCAGGGAATGTTACTTGTTTGACAGGTGAGTTGTATTTCGCTCTCTTTTTTTATATATACATGCTCTTGCGGTCTTACGGGGCTTGTAGTGGGAATTGCATCCAGTACAGTGATACCTCTGGTTACATACTTAATTCGTTCTGGAGGTCTGTTCTTAACCTGAAACTGTTCTTAACCTGAAGCACCACTTTAGCTAATGGGTCCTCCTGCTGCCGCCGTGCGATTTCTGTTCTCATCCTGAAGCAAAGTTCTTATCCCGAGGTACTATTTCTGGGTTAGCGGAATCTGTAACCTGAAGCGTATGTAACCCGAGGTACCACTGTAGAGTCATTCCTCAGGTTACAGGCGCTTCAGGTTGTGTGTTTTCAGGTTGCGCACCGCACCAAATCCAAAAGTATTGGAATGGGTTACTTCCCGGATTTGGCACTCGCGCATGTGCAGAAGACTAAATCGTGCTTTGCACAGAAGCACCGAATTGCAACCTGTGCATGCGCAGACGCGGCGCTGCAGGTTGTGAACGCTGTGGGTTGTGAATGTGCCTCCCGCATGAATCACGTTCGCAACCCGAGCGTCCACTGTACTTGAAACATGAAGCATGCTGGTCTGAGCAGGAGCATAATTAATAGCTGGATCACTCAGTGGGTGGAGCATGCAACTCTTCATCTCAGGGTTATGGGTTCAAGCCCCATGTTGGGCAAAAGATTCCTTCATTGCAGGGGGTTGGCATAGATGACCCTCAGGGTCCTTCCTTCCAACTCTGCAATTCTATGTTGCTGTTTTCAAAGTGTTGAATGTCCTCTTCTTAAAGAGAACATTGGATGAATACAGTCATACCTTGGTTTTCGAACAGTTTAGTTCTCGAACATTTTGGCTGCTGAACGCCGCAAACCCGGAAGTGACTGTTCCGGTTTGCGAACTATTTTTGGAAGCCGAACATCTGACAGGGCTTCCGTCAGCCAATTGGAAGCCGCGCTTTGGTTTCCGAACGTTTTGGAAGACGAATGGACTTCCGGAACGGATTCCATTTGACTTCCAAGGTACAACTGTACAGGGTTTCCGCAGAAAGCTTTGCGGAGAGCTTACTAATAATAATAATAGTAATAATAATAATAATTTTTATTTATACCCCGCCCTCCCCAGCCAAGGCCGGGCTCAGGGCGGCTTACAAGCAATAATAAAAACAAATTGAATGATTACAACTTAAAAACAAAATTAAAATACAACATTAAAATATTGAAACATTAAAATATTAAAATGTAGCCTAATCGCAGGAGGAGAAGGAAAAGAAAAAAGAAAGAGAGGGAGGGAATCAAATTGGCTCCAAGCCAAAGGCCAGGCGGAACAACTCTGTCTTACAGGCCCTGCGGAAAGAAATCAGGTCCTGCAGGGCCCTGGTCTCATGAGGCAGAGCGTTCCACCAGGCCAGAGCCAGAATTGAAAAGGCCCTGGCTCTGGTTGAAGCCAATCTAACTTCCTTAGGGCCCGGGACCACTATTTATGGACCTTGAGGCTCTCCGTGGGGCATACTTATACTACTTATACTAGAAAGTAGGTGGAAAGGAATTGACCTAGCGTCGGGCACCCGGCTCATCAGTGGTGATGCATCTAACGTCCCTTTGGGCACTGCTTTCATAGGTGTGCTTGCCACACATACGGGATTAAAAATCAGGTGGTAGGCGCACTTGTGGGCAGTTTAATCAGGTCTGTTTTGGCCCTTCCTCTGTGTGGCATTTAAGTAGGAATAGTTGCAGCGATACTGTCAAACAACTCCCCACCCCATCCTGCCTTCAGCTGAACTGTTGAACCTGTTAGGCTTCAAACGGGATCTTTAGCACAGGAGACACAGCAATGCAAAGCAGGCAATGCTTCTGGGAGTTGTAGTACAGGATGGGATGGACTCCTTAGCTAACAGCCTGTCTGTTGGCCTGCTAAAATTGAACCTGGCAACTTTTTTCTTCCTCAGCTACTCCTCTAGATGAACTGTGGGCTGTCGGTCCTTCAGGCTGCCTCCTTCAGCGCCTCACTAAGACCTTCCGCCATTCTCACACGTTGCAGAAGCACAGCGACGCTTCCATGTCGTTCCACTCAGACGAAGACGAATGGGAGGTAATATGAGGCCCCGGAGACCTGGAGCGCTAAAACAGCATGGACATGCACGTGGGAGTGTTGGGCCAGCGTCTGGCAACAATTAGCACTTTGATATAAAACACTGACTTTGTCGAATATCCCCCAAACTGTGTAGTGAGGTGTCTTGTTTCTGTATCTCTCGGGCGAGATGGGCAACGTGGCTTTAAGAAGTCTTTGCCGTAGCTGTACCGTTTAAAAATACTTATCGATTTAACCTCGTTAGCAGCCAAACAAATGTTGCTCCAGCATGCAAATTAATATCTGTGCGACATTGGGGAGGACGTCTGTTACATAGGCTGAACAGCAGAAATGCATTTTTTAATGTCCTTGTACTTTTACACCGCGCAGGGGGAAATGGGTGCAATGTGGAAGACGGTTACATTTCAGAACGAGAGAACTTTTCTCAGTAGAAAGTCAACTTAGCAAGGCACAGTTTGGCAATTGAGGTGAAAAACTCTTGGGACCATTTTCGTTGTAACTTCCAGGGTTCCACTGAACCTTCACTCTGCGGTTACTAATTTCATACCTTGCTGAAAAGGTTGGGTTCATCCCAGGCTTTGTGCAGACATTGGCTCCTCTTATGCCTAAAACGGGGACACTAATGGCTTTTGTTTCATAGATACCCATGAGAGGATTAGGCAGAACATTGAAAGTCAAGCTTGTAATATGAAGGGGGTGGGCTGTGGGTGCCCATTGAGATCCATGCTTGGCCTGACTGAACTGTAACTAGAGGAGACTCTGAATTTCCACTTTTGTATCACGAAACAAAACGAAAATAAAGAAATTGCATCTCACGAGAGAGTCTCTGGTATTGGTTAGGTTTTGTCTTCAGAATGGTCCTTTTTTAAAAAAGCTATATTAGCGATATATTGCAATGTCTTATACTTGAGATGTTTACAGCAGAAGTGCTTGATAATTTACTAATCACTGCAATTTACCGTATTTTCCCATCTATAAGACTCCTCCATATATAAGACGCCCCCTATTTGGGGGGACTCAGATTTAAGAAAATGGGGGGAGATGTATCTGTGTATAAGATGCCCCCAATTTTTGACATTATTTTTTAGGGGGGAAACCTAGTCTTATACACGGAAAAATACGGTATATTTCATGAAGAGTTTTAAAAAAAACCAACCCAAAACTCTAAGAAAGAGCTTGATTCCAGTGGCTTGGATGGGAAAGCCTTCCCTTATAGTTTTAAGGATATGTTTATTTGAGGAACAGAAGCACCCTTGGGGTTTTTTAAGCAGCTGCTAATGAACCTGTGGATGAGCCAACTTAACAGCAGGGACTGGGGGAGGGGGGGCAAGTGTGGAGAAGCTTTGGGAACCCAATGCCCAGGTCAAGTGCCACGCCTGTTTCCTCCTTAAACTGCCCTGTGGTAGATTTTCTGGGGAGAAACCACTGCAAACCAAGAACACAGCACCTCTGCATATCGAGAACTTAACATTTGGTCACGGCAGATACCTGTTTTGCAACAAGCGCTTGCATAATGAGTGTTATGCTTCTTCCCTTTCAGTTTAGGGTGACTAGCAGGTCATATTTGTTTCCCTCTGAGACCTGATCTGTTTTGCTCGATCCCTTCCTCATCTATATATGGAGCCGGCCTCGGAGTTTCTTTTTATAGTCTGCCACTGGATCATAACCAACTCAGCTGCCGAGGTTCACCCAGGTCACTAGATGGCCCGTTTGGGGAGCTTCATCGGCAAGCGAGATGTCAAAAGGCATCCAAGACATTTCTCTGAAGTCGGGAACTTCTGGAGGGTGGAAACGGGGCTGTTTTGCGCTCTTCCTGGTCAAGAACCAGATGTTCATGTTACAATACTGAAATATTATACTTTTTTAATTAAAAAAAGACCTCATGATAACAGCTTGGCTTGCTAGTTTGTATTCTTTGTAATAGGGCACCTTGCTTTGTTCATTAATATTAGCTGGTGTTTACAACCCTTTTAAGCCAATAAGTTTTTTTTTTATTATGTTTCATCCAACAGTCTGAAATGTTTACCACCTTTAGTTTCATTTCTGTACACCTGTGCATGTGGTTTTTTTCCCCATTGTGCTTTCAGATAAGTGCAATAAACTATCCTTTTTCTTAAAAAAATAATGCTTGGATTTATTTATGTTTAAATACGGCTTTCGTGGGGCAACTTAACATCACTAAACCAATACACAAACTGCAATGTGAGCTGAAATGGAGTAACAACTCACCCAAGATTCAGTTTTCTTCTGCAAAGCCTGGAATAATTTAAATGCAACCGCATGGACCATTCAAGCTGAGCATACACCAAAAATTCTGTCCTGGTGCACTGCAAACACGCAGTCACTCTTGCATGGTGGCGCAGGGAACATGCCGCTCTCCAGATGTTGCTGGACTGCGGCTCCCATCGGTCTCAGCCGGTGTGGCCAAAGCTCAGGGATGATGGGAGTTGGGAGTCCAAACAATGGAAGGCCACTGGTTCCCCGTCCCTGCTACATGGGACTCTCCTGTATCTACAGCTCTTGAAGCCATGTGTCTGAAAAGACAAGACATGCATCTTTGGAGTAGTGGGAGCTGCAGGGGTCTCTGCTTAAGTAACATTAGCCTGAGGTGGTGTAGTGGTTAGTGCGCTGATCTAGGACCTGGGAGATCAGGGTTCGATTCCCCACTTGGCCATGAAGCTTGCTGGGTGACCGCAGGCCAGTTACTGCCTCTCAGCCTAGCCCACCTCACAGGGTTGTTGTGAAGGTAGAATGGAGAGGAAGGGGAATCATGCACACCACCTTGAGCTGCATTTGGTACAAATGTAATACCGTATTTTTCCGTCTATAAGACGCCCCCATGTATAAGACGCCCCCTATTTGGGGGGGCTCCAATTTAAGAAAATGGGGGAAGATCTATCCGTGTATAAGACACCCGCAAATTTTGCACATTATTTTTTAGGGGGGAAAACCTAGTCTTATACACAGAAAAATACGGTAAATAAATTCCTTTCCCTGATGCAAAATATTAGGAGGTAACTGAAGAAAAGGAAGCATGGCAATTTGATCCCTTGCCAAGCAGAGAACATTTCTGCGCATTCTCCTATCTCATGACCGTCTTTGTATATCGACGTTGCTAACTGTAATCAAGGTGTATAGATGACCAAATAACCCTAAGTATTCCATTACACTAGTGTTATTTGTTCATGAGTGTATAGAGATCTCGAAGAGCAGAGGACAGTCAGGAAAGAGTGGATTTCTGCAGTGTTACAAAGGAAGAAGGCAGAGAGTTTGGCAGCAGGACTGAGCATGCGAAATGGCAATTTACTTGATCTCGTACAGGCACTGCTTAATAATGGCAGGCGCATTAATGTCTAATGAGGCCAACGTTGTTGTTACTATAACTATGAAGTGAATTAATAATGGCTTAAAACGATTCCCAGTCATGTATCGCATTCCAAATAAACTCGTGAAAAACAAGCTTTTAGTCACAGACGTTTAAATATAATATGTGTGGTAGATCCTTGCTGTCACTTCTGGGGACAAAAGAAAAGTTGTTCTGTTTTCTTGGGGAAATTTTCTTTTGAATATTTAGATTTCCTAGATAAATAAATGAGCATTCTTTCTTTCTTTCTTTCTTTCTTTCTTTCTTTCTTTCTTTCTTTTGTATCCTGCCTTTCTCCCACAGACCCAAGGTATCTCACAGCATTACTACTACTACAAATACTACTACTATTATATTTATATTTATATGCCTCCCATCTGACTGGGTTTCCCCAGCCACTCTGAGTGGGTCCCAACAAAATATTAAAAACGCAATAAAACATCAACCATTAAAAACTTCCTTAAACAGGGATGCTTTCAGATGTCTTCTAAAAGTCATGTAGTTCTTTATCTCTTGGACATCTGATGGGAGGGTGTTCCACAGGGTGGGTGCCACTACCAAGAAGGTCCCTGGAACCTCACTTCTTGCAGTGAGGGAACCGCCAGATAATAATAATAATAATAATAATAATAATAATAATAATAATAATACTCCGACCATCTGACTGGGTTTCCCCAGCCACTCTGGGTGGCTTCCAACAAAACACTAAAATACAATAACCTATTAAACATTAAGAGCTTCCCTAAACAGGGCTGCGTTTAGATGTCTTCTAAAAGTTTGGTAGGCCCTCAGAGAAGGCCCTCGGAGCTGGACTTCAGTGTCCGGGCTGAACGATGGGGGTGGAGATGTTCCTTCAGGTAAACAGAGCCGAGGCATAAATTAAGACAAGTCTTTAAAATAATGAGGCCTCAACTGCAGTCTATAGTGTTATCCAGCACAGTGGTACCTCAGGTTACAGACGCTTCAGGTTACAGACTCCTCTAACCCAGAAATAGTACCTCGGGTTAAGAACTTTGCTTCAGGATGAGAACAGAAATCGCGCGGCGGCAGCGGGAGGCCCCATTAGCTAAAGTGGTGCTTCAGGTTAAGAACAGTTACACGTTAAGAACGGACCTCCGGAACAAATTAAGTTCTTAACCTGAGGTACCACTGTAGTGGATTCAAGCATCTACTATTTCTACACAGTACATGGAATAGTCTTTTGACGTCACAGCAGCACTTGACATGGAATTGCAATGGTTGGTATGATAGATGACTTCACCTACCTCCCTCATTCATTTTTTCCCCATAAGGCTCTGCCTATGTTAACTTGTAGATCAAGGACTGCACATGCAATTTTGCCTTTCATCTCTCATACCAATTGAATTATGGTGCCAAGATGGGCTGCTCATCTTGGCACAGCTCAAAGCAGGCTCTTCCTGCCTCCGAAATTGCTGATTTATGCCTTCTGAGATTTCTTCGGCTCTATGATATACTCCAGTAGTTCTACTGGAAAAGGGGATCTCATCAGATTAGCTCTGATGTACCTCCCGTCTCTATAATTCCACCAGCTCCAGAACAAATTGAATATGCTATCTTTGAAACATTATAGTCTTACAATTCTGCCTTACAAAGCAGCATGTGTCATATTTCTCTTAAAGTGTTTTACATTTTCATTTTGCCCTGTCATTTGTTATGCTTATTTGTTATATATATATATGTGTGTGTGTGTGTGTGTGTGTGTGTGTGTGTGTCTATAAGACTCACTTTTTCCCTCCTAAAAAGTAAGGGGAAATGTGTGTGCGTCTTATGGAGCGAATGCAGGCTGCGCAGCTATCCCAGAAGCCAGAACAGCAAGAGGGATTGCTGCTTTCACTGCGCAGCAATCCCTCTTGCTATTCTGGCTTCTGAGATTCAGAATATTTCTTTTCTTGTTTTCCTCCTCCAAAAACTAGGTGCGTCTTGTGGTCTTGTGCGTCTTATAGAGCGAAAAATATGGTATATTAAGTCAGACCACTGGACCAATTAGCTCAGGTGTCCCCAAACTAAGGCCCGCAGGCCGGATAAGGCCTGAGGGACTCATTTATCCGGCCCGCGGCAACCCCTGCCTCCCGCTGCCGCCGCCTGTTCTTACCGGCACAGCACGGCGCGGCTGCCCACTTCTGGGTTGGAGGAGCACTGGAAATAGCTTGTGCGCATGTGCAAGCGTTATTTCTGGTGCACATCCGGGTCATAGGAGGCCCGTGTACATGCGCACAAGCTATTTCCGGTGCTCCTCTGACCCGGAAGTGTGCTGGAAATAGCGTGTGGGCACGCGTATGGGAACGTGCTCCCCCGCCCTCCGGCCTACCACGCGATCGGTGCTGGAGACACTGGCCTGAGGCGCGGTAAGTTTGCTGACCCCTGATCTAGCTCAGCATTGCATGCACTGACTGGCAGCAGCAGCTGTCCTAGCTTTCAGGCAGGAGTCTTTTCCTAGCCCAAACTGGAGATGCTGGGGATTCAAGCTGGGACCTCCTTCATGCAAAGCAGATACCACAGAGCTATGGCCCTTTCCTTTGCAATGCCAGTTTCCCAGACTGGGATCTGGCTGCTCTACCAGTTAACTTGCAAAATCAGCATCCCTTGGGAGGAGAGTCCGTTCGCCCTGTGGCTGAGAGCCCTCCTCCCATTATAAGAGAGCCCCCTTCAGCAGCAGAAGGAAGCAGGGCCTTGAGTCATCCCTGTAATAAACGAAAATCTGCCCTTATTCCCTTATGGGGGACACAAGAGCCCGTATAGAGTCCTTTGTAGGTTCTCCATCGGTTGGAGAAAAGAACAGAGGCCAACCAGAGAATATTGAGAAGCAAAGCAGCTTGTAAGCCTGATCTTTATCGAACTGTTGCAACAGGGTGCTCCCCTCACATGCAGGAAAGGAGGAGGACCCAGAACCCAGGTGTGCCCGCCCTTATATAGACATTTTAAATTGCCCGCCCTGGAGTCCAAGACCACCCCCAGACACATCATACCTACATCACAGAAAGGGCGGTCTACAGCAGAAATCTGAGCGCGTTGTTTATCTCCTGTCGTTGTTTCTCTCCTGTCTAGCAGGTTACCTCTTAATGCTTACTTGATTAGATACCCTGGGGAGCCTGGCTAGTCTTTTGTACAGTGGTACCTCGGGATGTGAACAGGATCCGTTCCGGAGCCCCGTTTGCATCCTGAACAGAACACAAGACACGTCTGTGCATGTGCGGGTCACGTTTCGCCGCATCAGTGCATGCGCGTGACATTTTGACCGTCCACGCATGCGTGAGCGGCGAAACCTAGAAGTAACGTGCTCTGTTACTTCCGGGTTGCCGCGGAGCACAACCCGAATGCGCTCAACATGAAGCATATTCAACTCGAGGTATGACTATAGTGACAAATACCCTATTTATACACAGATATACCCTTAAGACAGGTTTTGTGAATGAAAAGACATTTGGTCAGTTTGGGAGTCAAAATGGATCCAGGACTGCCCTCCTGTGCTGCCTCAGACATGTGGCCCATACATTTATGTAAGTGTTTGCCTGGCAAATCCATGAACATTTATTATTTATATATATAAGACCTTAATTGTTTTATTTCATCCCCCACCCCAAGGTTTCTCTGCCCCTGCACACTGTCCCGTGGAGCTGATTTGCGGTGAAGCGAGATCACACTCCAAGGGGGTCCAGTGCTTAATGTTTTCTTTCTCTCCCTGCGTGTGCTTTATATCCCTCCACGCACATGGAAACACTGCAAGGTTTTGC